TATATTTTTTGAGAGGGAAATGAACGAATTCCTATGCTCCACAAATAACCCAGAGATGCATTTTAAATAAAAGGACACATTCTACTCATGTAAAAACACGCTGAGTCCTGAACCATTCGAGGGCCGGATTTAGAAGGCGATTGGGCCAGCTCTGGCCCCCAGGCCTTAGTTTGCCTATCCACGGGTTACATGAAATGAGATGGAACTGACTCCCTTGGAAGGTGGGGGACTCTCCTTCCTTGGAGGTTTTTAAGCAGAGGTTGGATGGCCATCTGTCATGGATTATTTAGTTGAGGATCCTGCAATGCAGGGGGTTGGACTAGATGACCCTCAGGGTCTCTTCCCCACCCCTACAATTCTGATTCTATGATTGCGGTTTGTTTCCCAACAGACTTGGGCTGCAATCATTCACTCACTCACCTGAGAGCAAGCCCCACAGAACACCGATTGAAACCTACTTCTAAGCAGATGTGCCAAGATTGTGCCAATGTTAGCAGCAGTTCTTACACACTTATTCAGTGGCCATTAACACTGGGGAGTTCGTTTCTGAGCAGAGATGCGTGGCACTGGGCTGCTAACCCCAGAAGCCACTGCAGGACAAACTATTTCATTAATTAAAGCAGTCACAAGCTTTGTCCAGCATGTGCGTGACTGTCCATGATTGTGTACAGACAATGTTCTCCAGTGTGTAAGGTGAAGTTGTCATAGTGTGTGAAAACCACGAAAATCCATGAGGATCAGTGGTCCCCCCCCATTTTTTTCCTTTATTTTATAACACAAATAAAAAACACAGACAGAAAAGACAAACAATACGAACAAATTCTTGTCATATCCTTATTTTTCTAAACATTGTTAAGTTGGCTTCCCCAAGTCCCACCTAACTGATTTCCATTTTACTTCATCTTTAGCAGTTTACATATATCATAATTTCTAACCATCTTTTTTTTAAATCATAGTTAAAATAACTTCACATTTTATCACTTACCAATAATACTATTTTAAAATACACTATCTTCTACCTACCTCTAACCCTACAGCCTAAATCCACTTCCAAAGCTATTCTAAGGTTTAAATATTAACATATTTTTTTCAGATATTCCTTAAACTTCTTCCAGTCTTCTTCCACTGTCTCTTCTCTCTGGTCTCGGAGTCTCCCGGTCAGTTTGGCAAGTTCCATATAGTCCATCATCTTCATCTGCCATTCTTCGATAGTTGGTAAATCTTGTTTCTTCCAATTTAGGAGGATCAGTGTTTTGAGCTGCATGCAAGATGATCTCCACCTTTTTCCTGTGAAATGTTGGGGGCACATATATTATGGCCTGGCACTGTGTGAATTATAGAGGAACGACTACTGTAACTCAGTCCCATTCACAGGCCTTTAATTAAAGCAACAGAAGGTGGCTTTAAAATTATTGTCCCGATTGCCTGAGGTTCTTTAAAAAAGACCTTATAGATTAGATTAGATGAGGGCAAGAAGTCCATATGTGGTGGGCATTTTCCACAGGAGATCTTAATCAGGTTGCCCTTAGGGGAGTTTCATTCTGCGCTCATTGTGCGAGAGTGGGGGCCTGCGCTGCATTTTGAAGACACAAAGAAAGGTAAGCCCCCTCCTGCTGTGAGTAAACATGGCCATTGTTCCCTCACCCCTGGTGGCTGGAATGAATGCGAAGCACTCGGATAATAAATGAAATTCCTCAAACCTGCAAGGAATGTGTCCATTCAGGCAGTGTGTCAGCCACCTGTCATTTCCCTTTATTGCCATTAAAGGCCCATCTCTGATCTAATCATAGGTTTGGGGGAGTCTGGCTTTTAGAGACTAGGAGGATGGAGTCTGGGTTAAAATCCTGGAGTTAGCCCTTCATTTGCAGAGGTGTGTGCCTAAAAACCCAGATCCTTTGCAGAAGGGGGCGGGAGGGGAACAGTGATGTTTAAATAAAAATTGAAAGGACAGAGGACCTGGAACTTTGGCTAGCCAAGGTATGCTGCATTTGTAAACTCAAACTAGAGACACAATTTACTCTTGCACCACAAAGCAGGGTCACCAACCCTTTTGGACCCATGGATATATTTTGAATTGCAGGAGAGGGTTGTGCTTCTCTCTTCCCAGTCAGTCTCCACTCACCCCAGGCAGGCAGGCACAGACATAAAACACTTAACTTTTCCACAGGGTCTGTGGACAAAAGCTGAAAAGGACCCACTTGCATTTCACACGTGGTCCTCACAAAACAGCTGTCAAATCGCAGCTTACTATGGCAGGCTGCGGCAGTGCAAGCCACAAAAGCACAGATCCACAGCGTGGACCCTCATGGATGTTCATTATTTTTTTACGTATTGTGACAACAAAATTACCCCCAACACATCTGCATGCACAGAGGTGACCTGTGGTTCGATGATGATTTGGAGGGGAATCAATCCCTTGTAAAAATTCTAAGGATCCATGAGAATCTGTGCCTTTGATTCATGCTTTTGCACTAGGTGTGATTGTCAGCGGACAAAGGTGTGATCAGTGATTTCTTCTGGAGGGGGGTTAAGGGGAGATGATTGTGGGGAAGGGGCAAAAGTATGCCATTTCAGAGAATCTGTTTTATTGGACCCGATTTGTGTTTGTGCATTTTTCTGTGTTCCCTCTCCCACTCCTTCGCCATCCTTACTCCTGTGGCATCCTCCTTTTTCCTTCCTTCTCCTCCCTTTTCTTTTCCCCAGTCACCCAAATTGCTCCCCTTTCTCACTTCAACACAGCACCTTATACATTTGAAGTGGCACTGAGATTGCTATGAGTGCATGCTGGATTAGCAGAATTACCTATTTCTTCCAATGGATGAGTAAAAGTAGACAAGGACGTGTAATCATACAGAGGCACAACAGGCAAACTCTTCCTTAGTTGGTACTTGGTGATCCTGGGTTCCTTTAATTCCATTTCCTGTCATGCTGGTTGTTCACTTGCAGCATACAATGCGCTCTGGCACACAGTGTGGGAATGGCTGCCATAAGGAAGCAGAACACTGTCAAACTGTTGTGCAGAAAGAGCGTGTATCAATAACGGCTGATGGAACGCAGGACAGAAAATGAGTTCTAGCTGGTGTGCTGGATCGTTTTAAATGAATCCCGCATTGTATAATGAAAGGAAAAATGAAATGATCTTCAGTGAAATGTGGTCACAGATTCCATCCAAGACTTTTCCTGCAATTAAGTTACATTTGCTGATCCAAGATGCCTTTAAGTGAAGCATTAATATAAAGGCTCTGATTATTCACAGTCAAAGAAAGTTGATTCTTTTACTTGGAAATCAAAGCATTCTTTCACAGTGGTTCTTTTAGAGTTGTCTTCACACAGGGATTCATGCGCACAAGCTATGCTTGCTGTCTCCGGCAAGCTTGTCTTTCTACTTTCTACACTCTAAACAACATGGTCAACATTCAGTATTTCAGCCCTTTGGATATACATGGGAGCAAAGTTTCGTCCCCTGCTCACTTCCTTACACAAAATGAAAATGGTTTTTAAATTAATTGAGTCTCTGCCAAGGGCCCCCCAAAAAACATCCCAGCCTTCAGTGACAATCAGAACAATGTACAGGATTGCGTATGCAAAATTAGCCACTTCTTAGCATTTCTCACATTTTGAAGGATTGCAGATTTTGCCATGATCAGAGAGCTAAGTTTGTGAAGCCAACTGTGAGCCCTTAGACTTGTTCAAGCTTAGAGAATGAATGAATCTTTATTTGTGTCAGCCATCGGCCATACCAATAAAACAACAATACAAAGAATAGAAATAAAAAGCCAATTATATAAAATACATTTTGGGGTTTTGAATCAATAGTCAAATAGTGGATCTTATTCTGATTTCCCCAGCTAAAAACCTTGCAACCTCAGACAGCATCTCCTTATAATCAAGGGTTAGCAGACTCCAGACTTCCTGAATCTGCTTAGTTTCTCCCCCCTTTAACTAAGATCCCAAGATCTACCAATCAGAGCCAGGTGCAGAAGACACAGAATGAGAATGAAAGAGCCCAGTGGAGAAATTCTGAATCAAATATGTTTTCAGTAACAGCCGAATTGGGGTGGGAAAAGTCATCTTCTCATCTTTAGACAATTGAGAGTCAGAAACCCATGCTGATTTACTGTAGATAAGTCTGATTTATCTTCTGCCCCCACTCAGCCTAGATCACATAACAAATTACTATTCAAAGTGGGTGGTGGGAGTAGCTTCAAAAGTACTTTGTGACGTAGTGCAGTTCAAAGAGGAGAAAGGCATTGGTTTAGCCTGAAGAAAAAAGTCCTCTGTGAGAACACTCTTAAAAATTCCGGAAGGGATGTCTCATAGAAGAGGGCAAAGGCATGTTCTGGCATAAGTCACAGGGCTAGGTGAACTGCAATATTCGGATCAGTCTCTACACTATTCCTGTTTCTAGGGCTCCTTCCAGAGTGGTTTTTTTTCCTGACTATGTAATTAAAGGGGGAAGCTAGGTCTTTTTTTTTCAGATGGGAGACATTAACTTTAACATCCTATACCCTTTTAAATGTATTTGTGGGAGGGGATGGGGGAGGGCAGCTTATTGATTTGTGTTTTTTTGTTCTTGTTTTTATTATGTATTTTGTGTTTTTATCTTGTATTTTTATGTTGTGAACCGCCCTGAGATCTATGGATGAAGGGCAGTATACAAATTTAATAAAAGAATTTGACTTACTAGTCAGGTTTTCTTTCTTTTCTTTTTTTAAACAAAAAGACAACTCAAAGCAATTTACAACACAAGACAAAAATTGAAACAAATATAAAACTAAAACAAAACAAAAGCTATAAACATTGATATATCTATAAAGCAGGCCCACCCACTAAAGGGGGCTAAACCTCTCCCAAATTAAAGGCTATAAGCCTGGCTGAAAATGAAATGTTTTCCTGGTGCTGAAAGGTGGCTGGTTATGGTGCCAGGCATGCTTCCCTGGGAATTCCATAACTGGGGAGCCACCACTGAAAAGGCCCTGTTCTTGTATTGCCACTCTCCGAATTGTACATACATGTATGTATGTATGTATGTACATGTACATACATACATACATACATACATGGAGAAGAACCTCAGATGAATCCAGGTCTAGGTTGGTTCATGTGGGGAGAGGAAGTCCTTGAAGCTTTGGGTCCAGGTCTGCACACACCACACTTCAAATTGCAATAACTCAGGGTGCATTGACACTGACTGACTAGGGCTGGAGGAGCTCAAGGGAACTTCTAGTCTCTGGGCTTTGAGGACATTTTTGGAGAAAGCACCTCTCTCCTGCTACGGCCACTCTTATCCTATTGATTGTCTGTCTACTGCACAACTGAAAGGGGGTGAGAGGATTTCCAACTTTGAGTGAAAATAGGTTCATAGCTACTACAAGTCTCCAACTTTGTTTAAAAAGAACTGCCCTGAATTGCAGTGTGAATTCATAGCCTGACTCCAGTCTTCAGCTTCATTCCAAATTAAAATGATACAAATCTATGGTATGACTGCATCTGGAATACTGTGATGAGTTCTGGTTGTCGCACCATCAAAAGGATGCTGGAGCGTTGGATAAGGTAATGAACCAAATAATCAAGGGCAGAGTTACAGAGGGATGTCTCCAGCAGAAGTTTCCTGAGCTTCCTGCAGGTGAGTCATTATGTCGTTCCTTACTCCCAGTTAAAGATAAACCTTGCAAATTAGGTTTCAAAAGAAGGGACTCGGAGAACAGAGGCTAAGAGCCTGTGATGTACATATGCATTATCTATACATTTTGAGATTTGACTTTGATGCTTCCAGCTGCTTCGAGAAGATCTGAATAACATATGGCCTTATAATGTAAATCATATTGTTGACTTTTAAATGACTTAATCAGATTACCTGGGGGATACGAAGTGTGTGCCAGACAAACGAAAGGATCAATAACAATGAGAGAAATGGACAGATTAACAGAGCTGAGACATTCAGTGTGTATTTGATCATTCCTTTCACTGGAAACAGCACTTTGATCTGATCTCAGGGGAATAGCAAGGAGGGTCTGTAGGAGGCAAAAAAGAGTGGGTAACATGGCGCCTTAAAGACAAACCCATTTATTGTGACATAAGCGTCTGTGAGCTCCGGCCGCTATTTTAACATTGCTACTCCAGATGCATTAACTACACACCCCAAATCAGAGGGTGGTTTACAGATGCTGGCATTTTGCTCTCCACTCTGAACTCCTTCCCATCCGTGATTACACTAGAGGTTCATCCACTGTACTCAACATTCTGGCAGTGGTGTTATTGAACACTAGCTCGGTTCATAATGTTGATCCCTGGTCTCACCGTGAGTGAACAGGCTGGTCTAGCATGTGTAACGCATGGGGGATCTGATGCAGCTCCCCCTTGCTGTGTACTGTGTCCAATACTAATCCAGACTAGAGGGTTTGTAGGGAAGGCATTTCATAGTTCATAGTTCATTCTCCCTCACTGAGAAGCCTCTCCTCTTAGCAGCTGGAGTAGAGGGCCTGTGTCCGGTGTGGGGTCAAGGAGACAGGTTGAGGATGCTGTTGCTGTACTGCCCACCCTGCTGCCCCCAAACCTCTCTGACCAAGCTGGCTGATGTAGTTTCTGGTGTGGTCTTGGAGGATCTTCAATACCCAAGGACTCCTCAGAGGCAGCTCAGGGCTTCATGGCTTCCAAGGCAACTAAATGGAACTGCCCCATGAGTGTCAGCAGCTCAACATAGACCAGAATATACACATGTAATGTTCATCTCCACATTCACAGAGATTCATGTGCTTTGCTCACATGAATGCAAAGCCATGGTTTATGGGTTACATGAGCCCATTCCGCCTTCTCCCTGTGTACACTTCGTTTCATCTACCAACATTGGTTCAAACCATAGTTTCCAATCCTGGGTTGGAAGGCAACAGCAAACCAGGATATAAATGAATTGGAGAACATGAGAGGAAGCACATGATTCCATGAATTACTTGTAATTTCCTCCTGGCCACCAAGTTGAGGTTATGTCTCAAGTAAACCATGGGAAACTGTACTGATTGAATTTCTACTTTCCACAGTGTGATCAAAGGCACAAAGCCTGTCTGGAAACATGTGCCATCCCAGACATATCCAAATCTGAGTAACAGAAAATGCTTTCCTTGCAGCTGAACATAATTGCTTCCCAACAGACGGATGCTTAAAAATGATCTTTTACAAGGATATTCTCATGTTCCTAGAAGTCAGAGGAACACAAAAATGGCTTAGTACATAAAATTATTTTCAAATATGAACTCTTAAAGAAACACCAGTTACAGATTAACAAATTCAAATGCCTTTAATAGTCAACCTTTCAGCACAAGGGCTGGTATATGAATTTTGAAATTCACAAAAGCGATTCAGAAAGTTCTCTTTAAATTTGAAATAAAGGGAATGAAAATAGAGGTGTGTAATTAAGAAGTTTTTAGAACACGATTATAATTATCAACATTTATTTCTTGAAATAATAACCTAAGATGCTTTTTTCTGCTTTACCTTCTTCAAGTATTGTAGTGGAGCTTCGTTTGTCTGTGGAATAAAACAAACACATTTGTGTAGTTGAAGGAAGCAATAATAAAGCAGCAGTGGTGAGCACTCGCCTAACACTTAACCTGCAACCATTTTGGCAAGTTTCAGTCCTACTGCTATCATTTCATTAGAGCTGCACATTTAAAATGAATCAGGCAAGCAAACAAAACACAACCACCAAAACAAACAAGTATGCAATTCAAAATCTACCTCCAGAAAACCAGAATTCTGTAATCTCTGAACATTATGAAAATGAAACACATTTGCATACATTTGCTCATGTTGTATAACCTAGTCTGTTTGTGCTGGGCACTGAAAGAGCCAAAGAACTATGCAAATCAATGAACACTTGTTCTCTGTGTTCAGCCTCACCTTTAAGACCTTATGTAAGGCCTGCCACTACATTTTCAAACCTACCTTTACAGTTTTAGGGTGCTTCTGCATTTTACAGGTGGTTGGCACCATCAGTCAAGGTGCTGTCCACCTAAAAGCCAAATATTCAATTGGGGCAGGGAGCAGCAATCTGTGTTCCAACCACTGTTAAGTCCACATCAATGAACATACTCAGCAGTTGGGAATGTTACCAATATTATAAAAAAAACCTGATGGGTCAAAACCTCCATAACAACAAGTACCTTGCTTTGTTTCAGAAGCTGTCTTTCTGCTCTTATCCGGTCTAGAGGTACCCTCATTATCAAGATCAGGGGTCAGCAAGGTTTATCTTGTTGGGGCGGATTGGTCCCGCAGAGATCCCTCAGTGGGCCTGATCGCCCACCCGCCCGTGGTTTTTGGCATCTGCGCAGATGTGATTTTCGGGGCCACGGAAGCAAGTCCCCACACTGTGCCTTGCCGGTTTAGCCCAATGTGCGAGTGGGAAGCTCAGTTCGGGGGCGGCTCGGGGGCCGGTCAAACAACCTCTGCAGGCCGCTTCTGATCCGTGGGCCCTAGGTTGCTCACCCCTGATCAAGATGCTAATTTCAACAGTTGGTTAGAGCATGGTGCTGATAATGCCAAGGTTGCAGGTTTGATCCCCATAAGGGACAGCTGCACATTCCCACATTGCAGGGCGTTGGACTAGATGATCCTCAAGGTCCCTTCCAACTCTGATTCTATGATCTGTTGCCTGGACAATTTGATGCTTCTGTCAGTGCAAGCATTTCTGCTTGCACAACAAAAAGATCTCCCCCAGACCCCACTGCTCTGGCGGTTCTCCCAACCCTCCAAAGTAGACTTGCAGAAGGTGCAGGGGGCATGCATGGGGAGGAAGTCCCACTGTGCTAGTAGGAGTCCTTCTGCTGGTGGAATGAGTTAGTTTAATCCAGCCCCATACTTTGTGTATGCAATGTGACTGGAATAAATATAGCTCTCTTCAGTGAAAAATAATGGCATACTATATATTAAGGTGTTAAAAAAAACTTTCAACTCATGAAGATGCTAAAGAAGAGCTAGGGGAAACAGCAGCTGTGCTAAAATACGGAGATATACTAAGGACAATTAATTTAGTATTAGAGATGTTTGGAAAATAAGACTTGAAAGTAGCGGTGTCAATTACATAAGGTTAACACCGTCTCACTTGCATTCTGTCTTTAAGGCCCACTGACCATATCTTCTTTTGCAGAAGATACACAAAAGAGAGCTGCACCAAATTCAAACAGAAATCTTGTGTTCAGATTGTGATTAGCAGATACGATTTCTCCTGACCTCCCTGCACCCTCCTCTCAAACAACAACAACAACAGTACAAGGTTCTGCAGTCAAATCTTTGGAATAACCACGGAACAAAGACATAGGGTGGTGTGACATGGCATCCATTTAGATTAGTCATTGCTGAAATGGATGTATGCCTCAAAGAAGCATAATGAAGTTTATTATTTGGAATACCTTTTCTTTATCCAAGACACTGTTCCATTGAGCATATTTATTATTTCTCAATCACCTTTACTGTCAAACCTGGGAGGTAATTTTCTCCTATTTGCATTTGTTGCAAAGCCATTTCCCAGGATTTCCATAAAGTTCTGTGGGCGTCTGCTTATTGAGAGCTTGTGTAGTTTTTAAGTTAGTGTCGGACTTAAGACTGGAGGGGCCAAATCGCCACTTAGAGGAAATGTGTGATTCATGGTGACACTTAAATATGTGTCTTGAGCAGCTATGGGAGCAATCCAAATCCAAGATCTGTGAGGGTAAGTGGAATTGGGTACAGGTGGGGCTCTGGCTGAGCCTGGGCTCAGCTGTGGCGACACTGGCTGGAGTCCCCCATTCTGGCTCAGCCACAGATGCACTGCCTAAGTCCTCCATCCTGGCTCAGCTGGCATAAGTCTCGAAAAAGGGACATTGCAGGAACATGGCAGGGGGAGACATTTCCCTCTTCCAATCTCTGTTTAGTTCAGTCATGTGACCTAGCAACACAGTGGAAGTGACACTGGCAAATAGGGTGGTGTAAGTCTAATTCTATCTTAAAGGTTTGCTTATTATTTTCTTAATTTCTTAATTACGGTATATTTGTATACTCCCCTATACCCGTAGAGCTGAGTGTGGTTTGTAACAGAAAATCACATATAAAAAACAGAAAATACATAAAACAAAAATAAAGGCAACCCTCAATCAGCCAAAGGCCTGGTTAAAGAGGAATGTTTTTGCCTGGGGCCAGCTGAACCTCTCTGGGGAGAGCATTCCACAGACGGGGAGCCACTGCAGAAAAGGCCCGTTCCCGTGTTGCCACCCTCTGGACCTGTCGTGGAGGAGGCACACGAAAAAGGACCTCAGAAGATAATATCAGGGTCTGGGTAGGTTTAAACGGAAAGCGGTGGTCCTTGTTTTCCCTCTGCGAGACTCAGACCAGCTCAGTTGGCAGTATCCTTGCTCCTGAATTTGGAACAGGAATAAATTGCCCCAGGATAATTTACCCTGGTGTAACATATGCTGACGTCCGATAGCTTGGATTGCTCTGCCCCGTAGGAACTACAGTCGTCCCTTGGGATGAAGTAGCTTCAGGTTGAGCGTTTTTGGGTTGTGCTCTGCGGCGACCCGGAAGTAACAGAACGTGTTACTTCCGGGTTTCGCCGCTCGCGCATGCGCAGATGCTCAAAATGACGCCACGCACATACGCGGAGGTGGCGAATCACGACCCGCGCAGATGCGGGTTGCGTTCACGTCAGGATGCAAACAGGTCTCTGTAACGGATCCCGTTTGCATCCAGAGGTACCACTGTATTCACTTCTCTCTTTATTAGGAGCATTCTGGTATGGTGGTTAGAGTATCGGATCCTGGTTCAGATCCTGACAGAGCCATGAAGGTCGCTAGGTGATCCTGAGTCACCACCTCACAGGGTTGTTGTGAGGATAAAATGGTGAGAAGACCATGATATGCTGCCTTGAACACTTAGGTGGAAGGGTGGACTAAACATTTACCGTATTTTTCGCTCTATAGGACGCACTTCCCCCCCTCCAAAAATGAAGGGGAAATGTGTGTGCGTCCTATGGAGCGAATGCAGGCTTTCGCTGAAGTCTGGAGAGCGAGAGGGGTCAGTGCGCACCAACTCCTCTTGCTCTCCAGGTTTCAGGAAGCTATCCGCAAGCCTTTGGAGCGCGGCGGGAGTGCCTGCCGGGCTCCGAAGGCTGGCGGATAACAGCCTGCGGCCCGAAGCCCGGGGAGCACAGCTCTGCGCACCCTGGACTTCGGGCAGATATCCGCAAGCCTGCGGATCCCGGCGGGAGTTCCCACCAGGCTCAGAAGGCTTGCGGATAGCAGGCAACAGCCCAAAGCTGCTTTTCTGTTTTTTTTCCTGTTCTCCCCCTCCTATGGTCCGGTGCGTCCTATAGAGCGAAAAATACGGTAATTTGTTGTGAGGATAAAATGGGTAAGAAGACCATGTATGCGGCCTTGAACACTTTGGTGGAAGGGTGGACTAAAGATTTAATTAATGAAAATAAAATAGACATATTTTTATTTGAGAGCTCATAGTTCCAACATTGTATCTACCACACTGATCTACCAAGATCTAATAAAAAGCATAAAAGTTGCTGTACCATGAAAATAAATAAAAACTGTTGCTGTACTTACAAATAATGTTGGTTTGGGTGCAAAGACATTTCCTTCCTCGTGTTCAAAAGGCAAACTGACTGCTGGACTTGTTACGGCTTTTGCATGCAGATTTTGACTCTGTTTCTGGGGCAAACTATCTCCTTGGGGTTTACCATGAAGACGAATCAACATCTGTTTCATCACAGCCAGTTCCTTAACAAAAAAGAAGTCAAACTATAAGCCTCCATTACTAGTTATAGAACACCCATTTTCTATTCACCAAAGCATGGAAATGGAATCATTACAGTACAATAGGGATGGTTATCTCCCTTTCTGGTCTGATTACTTATTTGAAACCACTTCATAAAGGAAGTAATAAAATAAAAAAGGCACAAGATTTATATAAATAGGAGCTCATCATTTGTGAAATGCTGTGACAGAAAAAGATTTACAGAGCACAGTTAAGCATCCCACTGGCTCTTTTTCACTTAAACTGCCATTTATTTTAAAACGATTCTTTTTAAAGGTTTGTTTTGAAAAGGCAGAGCACTGGCTTAATCCAATCTGCATGCTTACAAATAAGAGGCAGATGGCTGGGATAAGAGAGCATGTCTTACAAAGGCAGATATAAAAAACACTTATTACTCCCAGTAAAGCGAGAGGAGTGGGAACATCCAGGAGAAGACATGCACACTACAAAGATCACAGTAAATATAGGAAAAAATGTTGTAAAGAGACGAGCTTCCCTCTCTGAAACAGAAAAGCAATTTTTTGCCTCTCTCAACAAGTCAGTGCTCTGAACTTGCCTCCCAATCGGGAGAGATGCTCAGTAAAGTAATGAAGAGAGAGACATAGGCCATGTTTGCACACTACATGGTTGAGCATGAATGCGCCCCATCGGTGTGCACCTCTCCCTTCCCCATGGCTTGTGCTGAGGCAGTGTTTAGCTTGACAGTTAAAACACTTCAACTTAGTGCTATGGTTGAAGTAGTTATATCAGTTTAAGAGAATTATGTTAAATTATGCAACAAGTCCTCCTGCCAACCTAGCAGTTCAAAAGCACGTCAAGGTGCAAGTAGATAAATAGGTACCACTCTGGCAGGAAGGTAAACAGCGTTTCCGTGCGCTGCTCTGGTTTGCCAGAAGCAGCTTAGTCATGCTGGCCACATGACCCGGAAGCTGTACGCCGGCTCCCTCGGCCAATAAAGCGAGATGAGCGCCACAACCCCAGAGTCGGTCACGAGTGGACCTAATGGTCAGGGGTCCCTTTACCTTTATGCAACAAGTCAATGTCAAACCAAAGGTTATGAAGCTGGTTTGCTAAACAAACCAGTTTGTTTTAGTATAATGCTAACCCAGGATTTTCTAATAGTGAAACTAAACTCTACTGAAGCTCTCTTCCGCATTGCATGGGAGGTGAGGGGATGTAGTAGACATAGTGCTAAACCCTGGTTAAATGTTATGTTTGAATACAACTGCAGAGCTCTGTTGAGGGTGGATTATTCTACCCCTTTCATACTTCATACTTCAACCAACCAAAGCAAACACTTTTAAACACAAGAATGAATCAAGCATCCAGTTTCAGTTCTGAAAATGAGTCTTCTTCATTATCAGAAGTTGGAAAACAGTAAATTAACAGAACCATCTGGGCATGTAAATTCTAGTTTGGGGTTCCGTTTGTCATTTTTCATCTTGACAGATAATATTTATCTATTTCACAATGATTTGGGCTTCAGGGAAATGTAAGGAGGCCTGGATAAACTCATGCAACAATGGTGTAAAAAATGAATGCTTGCAGTTTAATGTCAGACAACAACAGGCAAGTAGCAGTAGACTGTAAGTTAACAATAGATTTCTTAATTCACATTGATTCACAGTTTTGGTTACAATTATGAAAATGAGCCTTGGAGGATGAAAGCATGCCATTCCTCATACACAATTACTTATAAGCAGCTCTATAATACCGTAGGATGTAAATTCTTCTGCTCAAAAGGTAAAAATAGGCACACTTTGTTGTACTGACTGTTACATCTACTTAATAAATGCCCAATATTTCAGTTATGGGCTCCTCATAACACTACCGCAAACCCTTAAAGCACACCAAACCACTTTATCCACTGGGTGCATTCTTCTTATTGCTCAGTCATTTAATATTGCAAGTATTTGCATAATTCAGCCATGTGCAGTGGCATGTCAAAACAGCTCAACTGCAGAGCAGCTGTTTCAAAGGGCTGCATAACTGATACCAACATGTTGCTGAAAGTTGTAAACTCTGCAAAGATGTTGCCAAAGCAATGCATAGACAAAATTTCTCGATGAAAATAACTTGGACAATTATATTACAAGCACATGCTTCATCTTTACAGTACTGAGGCTGCAATCCTAAGCATATCCACTGGGAAGCTATGGAAATAAGTATTCAGGCAGGTTTAGAATAGGGATGCAAATCATGTTTTCATTTTAGCAACCACTGTGAGTACTACTTTGCTGCACCATATTCCGATTGAAGAGATGTTGAAATTGTACTCCAAAACATGACAATGGTAGGCAATTCTCAGGCTGATAGAGAGTTTACATTTCAGAGAACACAAAGCAATCTTTTAGTAGTTATTTGGCCATCGTATCTCCTGGAGAGAGGCCAACTCTCTTGCCCTCTCCAAAAATCTTCCCAACTCCTTGTAAACCAGCGCAGCCTTGCATGAGGTAAGTCATGGTCTTAATTTCCATCACAGAACATGAGGAAATCACATTTGAGAAAGTAGGAAAGCCTTCCATACACTAAAAAAAAAAAAAAAAGGTTTTATGAAAACCTCTTCTAGCCAGTATCTAGGTGTCTTCCAGAAGTGATGCGAGAACCTTTTATTTAAATGTAATCATTTTAAGTGGGGGCTTTGAAGATCAGCGAATTGCTACCCAGCCAAAGCTTCATGGAACACGATATAAATTGAGCAAAGGAACAATACAAGCACAACGTAGTGCTAAGCAGATTGTTCCACAAGTGCAAGAAAAATCTTTCCCCCCTGCACGCTGCATTCCCCTTAAATCTGCTTTGGTTCCCCCCCAAAACCTTCCAGAACAGATTTGGGGATGGCGCAGAGCACACATGGAGGGAGGAGAAATCGCTAGCGCAATATGTAACTGAATACTGCTCAGTCTGTTATAGCTCTCTAGTGCCAGTCTTCCCGAATGAGAAGGGAAATCAGACAAGGCAGTCCTTAATGTATCCTGGTCCCAAACTATTTGCAACTTTAAGGGTCTTAAATGACACTCTGAATTGGGTTGAGAACTGGAAGCAGTCTGAGTGCATCCATTCCCAGAGAGCTTTTCAGCCTTATTGCAGCATCAGTCCATGAGCTGGTTCAAACCACAGAGCCCATGACAATAGTAGGTTGTTGTTGTTGTTTTTTTGGGGGGTGTTATAGTGCCCCTGTCATGACAGTTGTGTGCTGCCTTTGACCCCTTTAAGAGAAGCAGAGTTTGACAACACTCTGGCACATGTAGCAGGACAATGCTTTGTGGAAGGAGATCACAACCTATATCACAACCCTTTGAAAACAAAACAAAGAACTTTGTTCTGTCTGCTGGAGCAAGGGATTTTTTTGGGTAAACTCTGAATGTATTGTATAGTTTGGTTGACACAATGAACATAACTTTCAGGCAAAGTACACAAAGGTAAAATTTAAAATGTAAAATGCAGCGATTTCCAGCATCTGCACAGATGCAATTTCCGGCATCTGCACAGACACGATTTCCGGCGTCTGCGCATGCGCAGATACGATTTATGATGCCATGGAAGCGAGTCCCCGTGCAGTGCTGGTTTAGAACAGCATGCGGAGACTGGCTGGGTGGGCAGCTTGGTTTGGGAGCAGCTCATGGGCCGGTTAAACGACCCCTGTGGGCTGCTTATGGCCCATGGGCCTTAGGTTGCTGACCCCTGCTCAATGATATAAAGTGTACTAGAGTAGTTCTTGGGATCCCAAGCACTGAATGCATCCCAAATTACTTATGAGATCTCAATGGGTCTACTCTGAGGAAAACAACCCATTCCTTAAAAAACAAAACAAACGTACAGAATATCTGTAGGTGTTTCTGCTCCAGAGCTATCTCTTGCTGCTTTGGTGGTTCATAAGTATGTTTCTGTTCATTTGTTATATCTGAATAGAAAACTAGAAGGGTTTACACAGCTGGACAGCTACTGCAACATGATTGAAAGATTCACAGTCGCCTGGGAAAATGAATTAAGGACTCTTTAAATATTTGGATGATCTTACTGGCAACTGTTTCTTGCTAAAACCCCTATCCTTAATAACAATAATAATAAAAAACTTGGCTCTCTCCAAAGTACGTTCTGTATAACGTGCTTGCCAGTTTGCAATCTAAACAAACACAATGAATTTTGCCTATATTTTGCGGAACATTTCCCCTCTAAATCAAAATCCGAGGCGCTTACATTGCATTCCTATCAATTTACATTACAATAAGCCTTGCTTATTTTTGTAGCACATGGAAGCTGTGTTTCCTGAAAGCCAGATTTTATCCAGCACAAGTTTACTTTATAGGACACAATAAATGAAAATACAATTCTCAGGTGTGTGTGTGGGGGGGGCGTCTAAGAAGGAGAAGCAAGTTACTCAAAGCTGCCCCTTCTCACCCAAAATTGTGTGCATGAATGGGCCCTGTTTGCCAAAAAGCTTCCAGGTGTTCTAAATTCAGCAGCCTTTTTGTATTCATGTTTAAGTAACACAATAACTCAATAGATAACATAAAATAAAAATGAGAAGTGCTGATAACAGCACAATAGGAACTGAACTGTCTTGACAATCACTTAGCAGTGTAATTGTTGCTTGCTTCTCTAAACTGTAGTTGAGAATAGCTCCAGGGCTAACTAGGGATACAGAAATTTCCCTGTAATCTCTTGTCTCTCTGTGTATGTGTGTGCATACACAAACAGGACATTAATAGAAGCAAGGATCTCAGAACAGTAACTTAGTGGAAGAAAAATGATAATTACCTCGTGGCTGAATGTTTGAAGGAACTGAGCATTGTTCAAGAGCAAATTTTTATTTAGAAGGTTGTAGCACATATGCAAAAAGGAAGAATAAATTCTCCCTAGAAACATAATTCTGAAATTGCCTTTTATAAAAAAGCAAAACAAGGAAGGAACTTGGCTAAAGGCAGTTTAACCAAAAAGCCTGCTTTCAACTTTTCAACTAGAAAGATGTTTGCTGTTCCCTGACAAAACAGAAAACCAATGTTAATAACCTCAGAGTTGTAGGAGAGCCAGAGGCCTTTTCAAGAATGCCTTCAGTCTACTGACTAACTCAGGTAAATAACCTTTAGAAAGGTTCAGTAGTTTAATCATGGTCGAGAACAACTCTAGTAAAAGGAGACGCAGCTATAGAAAAGCTGACAAACACCTTCACATGCCACAGGATTTCAGTATCAGAACAGATAAGCCTTTTTTAGGGAGGTGCACAGTTGATTAGATTAAATACAATGCAGTTTGACAGCTTTAGAATTTCACAGAACTCATGACGAGACTGGATATTCATTTTTTAAAACTATTTTTCTTTTCCAGTTAATACAAAACACAAAATGGAAAAAGAATAAAAAGGAAATCCCTCAACTGACCCATCTCCCCCACCCCCAATGGGTTGGATATTCATGACAAAAAAGGAAAATATTTCAGAGATGAAATAGGTATTTTGAGCATTGGCAATATTTAGTCCTGTTCATTCTAGTCTCCATTTTTCTTTTTCTTTTTTAAAACTCCCAAATTTATATACCATTTGGCTGTAATAAAACCTCAAGTGACCTTTATTGATCTTTTTTTAAGATTTCTTATAAAAGCTGAATAAGTAGCAAATACATTTAAAAGATAATTAAAAGTAACAATATACTAAAAAGATTAAACACATCTGCATCTACATGTCTGGATGTACAGTGAACCCTCTAGTTATGTACCACTCTGGATATGTAACTTTTGGGTTACGAATGCCGCAAACCCAGAAGTGCATAATTCTGAGTTTCACTGCACGCTTTGCACATGTGCAGAAGCGGCGCTTCTGCCTACGGACTTTTCGTGTTCCGGGGGACGGACCCCCGGAACGAATTTAATTCGTATCTGGAGAGTCAACTGTATATGTTTTAAGCAGGTAATGGAAAAGGTTTGTTCACAGACAGCTTTCTGGGTCATGTGGCCAGCATGCCTTTGACAAGACTTAACCATCCAGGGGAAAAGGTACAGTGAAGATGCCTGTCTTATGTCAATAGGCAAGGAGTTCCAAACTTTTGGTGCTGTCACATTGAAAGACTGATTTCTTACATGTGCGGAATCAATATTAGGTGCTACCTCTAAGTAGGGTGTGCTGAATTTTTCAACTTTCAAATTCCAGAAATAAGTGTTGTTAAAAAGTTGTAACATTACTTGGAAATTCAAAAGATATTCAATATAATTTAGTTTTGTTTGGTAAGTAAAATGCATGCACAACTGCACAGAAATCATTAAAAAATGATTGCCAAGTTCTTCCAGTTATAAGGCTTTCCAGGACAGGCAACTGGCCACTTTTTCAGACATTCACCCACAGTGAGCTTCTATCTCCCCAATATTCAGTCTCAGCTTATTTTGCATTATCCATAACACCACTGAATCCAGGCACCAGTATTGGAAGGCCTCTCCTGATTCTGATATTATCCAGCTATTTCTATAGGGCTTATTATGGGGGATGTTTTCGAGTGAGAGCTCCTTTGTAGAGGGTGCAGGGGACAAATGCTGCCCCACTTTCCTCTTTGGTATCACTGGAACCGGTTGTATTGGCTTGGTGGCTAAAGAGAGAAAAACAAATGTTGATGAAAAATAGCCACAGCCCCTTTGCTGCTGAGGGAGTCCTCTAAAGGACATGTCTCCTGTGGGCAAGGAGCTGGGATGTCCTTGTTGCCATCAGCTGCTCTGAGAAGTGGCTTTTCTATTCCTTTCCTTGGGAATGTCTTTATGTCTTTAAGATTGTAAGTAGGTCTGACTACTGAATTTTGCAAGCCACTCTGGGAAGCTTTTTGGCTGAAGGGTTGGGTATAAATGCTTTAAACAAATAAGCAAATAAAGCAAGCAAGCACACCAGTCCTGGAAACTTCTTGTGCTGCTGCTGCCCATTCTCATTCTTCTCAGGAAGTATTTAATGGTGTGAGCAAGGGCGATGACAAGAAGCCCCTCCACCCAGTGGCCTCCAGAGAATGAGAAAATTAGCAGAAACACCAGAAGCATCCAAACACTGTTGTACACAGTACAAAGGGGGGATCCTCCAAATGAGAGCAGCAATTGCAGCAGGAAGAGAAAGAGGGGAAGGATGAAGTGCAAGGATGATCATGAGTCTTAGAACATAGCATATCTGGGGGGCGAGGTAGAATGCTTTTTAGAATCGTCAAAATAAGGATCACAGAAACAGCAGGCTGCCCACTCCACTTTCCTTGAATATACAACCTGAGAAACACCTGGAAGCCCATATCCTACATTCTGAATGTGAGTCGGCCTAATAAAATGCATTATCTCACATTCCCTGTGTCTTTTGTGAAATGCAGAGTAGTCTTTCAGCAGTTCAATAAAAAGGAAATGTGTGACTGGAAACTTATCAGACCACACAAGCCTCGGAGAAAGAAAGAAACACTTTTCAAGGCCTGTGAAACATTCTTGGATCTCACACAAAGGTTTATTTTAATTCAATCTGAATCTGGCCCTAAATTGCCCATGTAGAACAATATAAAAACATATGTAATCTGTCAAGTGTATTCAAGCAAGTGTATTATCCACTGTGTAGCCAGACAACGGTTCAAAAAACAGTGTAGCTGTGACTCTAGTATAGAAAAGGAAAAAGTCAAGAGGCAAGAGGTTTGCTGAATGCCGTGGAAGGTAAGCTTTTTCAGACTGAGACCTTTTGCCTTTTGGCATGTATTTTATGTAATAAATACTGTTATCTGCACAGAGCATCTGGGACAGAATGAGCTATTATTCTCTCCCCAACTCTGCCCTGCTTCACTCCAGGGTTTCCTCCAGGAAACATAAACCACCCCAGTTGTGCCGAGCTCTGATAAGGCAAGAAAAGGCCGCTGGCAGCCTTTCTTGACAGTTTACCCAAAGCACTTCTGAACTTGCTTCTGCTTATCTGCCCCTTAAAACTACCTGCCTGCTTCTTGCATCTTTCTCAAGACTCTTAGGGGGCAATCCTATGGCAAGATCTGCTGGGATGAACAGCTTACGATGGCTTAGCTGGATGATTCCTGTCTCAGCTGGCATTAAGTCATCAACCCTGGCTCAGTCAGAGACACGCCAGTGCAACTTGCTCAGCCAGGCCATTCTTAGGCAGAGCAACAGCAGCAGCTACCGCACTGCCCGGGGGTGCCTGTCCCCCTGCGGAAGCCTCGCTTACCGGGGTCGCACAGTGGAGGCTTCTGGCAAGATCTTGCTGGAATTCTCACGAGAGCTCATTGCTGCCATAGGAAAAAAATTGTCCAGTAGCACCTTAGAGACCAGCTAAGTTTGTTCTTGGTATGAGCTTTCGTGTGCATGCACACTTCTTCAGATACACTGAAACAGAAGTCACCAAACCTTTACATATAGTGAGAGGGTAGGGTGGGGTATCACTCAGAAGGGTGGTGGGAATGGGTGATTGGCTGATAGCTGTGGTAGACCTGTTGACGACAGTTGTTGTTGTTTAGTCGTGTCCGACTCTTCGTGATCCCATGGTCCAGAGCACGCCAGGTACTCCTGTCTTCCACTGCCTCCCACAGTTTGGTCAAACTCATGCTGGTAGTTTCGAGAACACTGTCCAACCATCTCGTCCTCTGTCTTCCCCTTCTCCTTGTGCCCTCAATCTTTCCCAACATCAGGGTCTTTTCCAGGGAGTCTTCTCTTCTCATGAGGTGGCCAAAGTACTGGAGCCTCAGCTTCAGGATCTGTCCTTTCAGTGAGCACTCAGGGCTGATTTCCTTAAGAATGGATAGGCTTGATCTTCTTGCAGTCCATGGGACTCTCCAGAGTCTCCTCCAGCACCATAATTCAAAAGCATCAATTCTTCGGTGATCAGCCTTCTTTATGGTCCAGCTCTCACTTCCATAGATCACTACTGGGAAAACCATAGCTTTAACTATACGGACCGTTGTTGGCAAGGTGATGTCTCTGCTTTTTAAGATGTTGCCGTTGACGACTGTTAATGACTGCAATTGGTCTTACAGGAAAAAGCAAGGGATGAGATGGCCAAAAATAGTTTTATCATGTAAAATGAGATAAGAATCCAATGTCTCTATTCAGACCAGGTCTCTCCATGGTTTTAAGTTTGGTAATAAGTTGTAATTCAGCAACTTAATTCAGTTGTAATTCATTGTTGCCATGTGACTCTAACACAGTGGAGAGATTTTTAAAAGCACTGGTGATACAATGGTGATACAATGGTTATTATTATTAATTTCATTTCTATACCACTTCATATTTTAAAGGAAAAAAATCTCAAAGCAGTTTACAGCAACATTAAAACATCAAATAAAACAATCCAGAGTAAAACATTACTGAAGAAAGTCAAATATAAAGTATACATTCAAAGCAACATAATTAACGGGAAACTAAAATATTATCTTAAACATCTCAAATAAAAACTTTACTAAAGGAGGTAAAATATAAAATGCACATTTAAAACAGCACAATTAACAAGAGGATCTATCATCAATAGCATAGAACATATCTGCTGCTGTTGCTGCCAGTCCTGCCATGGTGGTTCATGGCAGGCGGCGGCTGTAGAAGCTCAAGCCTGATGACCTGGGTCTGCACTAAGAGACGGCCAAGATGGTACATCACAGCATAAACACAATGGGACCAAAAAAATTCAAAATCTTACTGCTTCATTAACAGTGCAATCCTATATATGTCCACTCAAAAGTAGGCCCGACTGTGTTCAGTGGATGGCAACCTAAGTTACTTTCATATCCGTAAAGACTTGTACTGTAATGGTGTGATACATTTTTTTACTGTAAGTGTTTACGACACAGAGTTTTTCAGGAGTAATAAAGGAAGTTTAGCTCGACAGTGTCAACAATATGGACATTCAATAACCCCATTATAAGGTACAACCTAACAGGAGTGCCAACTTCGCCCCGCGACCATGGGTGCCATGCAGACTGCATGGCCCTGGCACTGGAATTTGTGGGTGCCCAGCCCCTTCATGGGGACTTTTGTGGGTGCTCAGGCACCCAGGGCCTCATGCAACCTAACATGGGAGTCATGTTCCTTCTTCTAGTTTAAGGAATATAAGAATAGTTGCTAAGATGGATTTTGTTAATCAAGTTTCACGAAATGCCGCCAGATAAAAGAAGCACATTTAGAATAGTTAACATCTTGTTGTGGGAGAATGTACAAAGTCTTCAACAGTTTATATAAAGCTGGTAACTTTTGTCTTTGCATGTATTTAAAGCTCTCTTCTTGAGAAACATCTTTTTTCACAGAGGGTAAAATGAATGAGTCCTCTGTTAATACTGCATGACACCATGTGTTAAGGACATAATAAAATGCTATAATACATCTAGTGTAAGTACTAAAATATTTTTAATAGCATGTGTATCACAACTTAACCATTCATTACACATGCAAGACAATGGTAGCTAATAAATGTATAAAGAAAACAGCTGGTGGCATTTATGAAAATTAATGTACCAAGAGTTCTTAACACAAACTAAAGCTCTTTGTAATTTAATAGAACTTTTCATTTTATCATCTGAAAGTACTTTGCCAATGGTTAAACCTAGAACACATTTGTAAAGCAGAATAAGGGGTGATATAATGATTTAAAAGAGGAAGAAATTAAGCGCACAGATATTAACTTAATTGCTCAAGTGAAATAATACCCAGAGTGGCACCAAGGTACTAAATACAGAGTTTAAACATATATACAAAAAGCATATATCTGTGTTCACAGTTGAGTACAATTTTTAAAAGTATTCTAGCAAGGAATGCAATGCATCAAGAGACACACAGCCTCTTTCCCCAACTCCTCCCAATCAAAGATAGATCTTGGTTTTGGAGGACCAAGTGGTTCCATTTGATTTTCAGTTTTCTACCTTGGTAATCTCAGGACATTTCCAGTGGGGGGGGGGGGGAAGAGAACAGCCTTGTTTTGATGCAACACTAAACTGAAGTGAACAAAACCTGGGAAGCCTTGGGCTCATGCACTCCCCCACCACCGCCCCACCCTTGTCCACAAGAAGATTGGAAGCTTTCGCTCCGATTCTCTATTAACCTCAGCTAATAAAGAAGCTGGAGGCATAAACCACAAATTGACATTAACTACATTTCACAGAAACGAACGAAAACTAAACACAGTTTGTCCAGATTCAGACGTAACATTGAAAATGCCTGTATTTGGAAATGAAAAACTTCAATTACTTCTCTTGTGGTTGCAATAGAGGAGGTGGGGGAGATGGAGGATGACACAAGACTCAGGCTCGCTTTGGCCTGCTTGTGTAATGCTAAACCATGGTTTCAGTGACGGCTGCCCTGCTTTGCAAGTTGTGCTGAGAACAAACTGTGTATTCCCAGTGGCCCCGTGAGTAGAAATGTGAATATATATTTTCCAAATAAAAAACAAATCCCGTATTTTTCCGTGTATAAGACCAGGTTTCCCCTCCTAAAAATTAATGTCCAAAATTAGGGGGCATCTTATACACGGATAGTGCTGAGGACGGATTTTCTTAAATCTGAGACCCCAAAAATACATATGTCTTATACATGGGGGCGTCTTATAGACGGAAAAATATGGTAAATGCCAAGCAGAGAAGTAACGTGGCATGGCCTAGGCCACCATGATGGCTTGGGAAGGTGCAGTTTGCTGAACAAAGCAAGTCAGACTGAGATGTGGCAGTACATTCTGTGGCTGGCATGAGTTAATTTATCCATCACAGAAGCTACCATCACCCAAGTTAAATTTCAGCAGTGAGAGCAACCTTCAACAGCCAACCTTATGAGGCAACTGGAGGGGCAGAGGATAAAGGGAAACAGCCTGGGAAATGTGATGAGGGAGGTGCCTGGATGGGCATTTGCTTCCAGTATATTTAATAACATTAGTGGAGAGAAAAACAAAACAGCCCCATGACTAACATGTTGGGAAAAACCCAATATATGGTAATAGCGATGCTAAAACAAGAAGATTACCTCACGGTGATTTAGAAGTCTTTCTAAATCTGCTGCCATTTGATTCTTGACACGCAGCAAAGCCGCCTTTTCTTTATTTAAAAGACTGGTAGAAAAAGCGATAGTATTAGGAAACACAGTAATAGCAAGGGATGATCTTTTCTAATCTTTTATTCTGGTTACAACATGAATTTGTAAAGCAATTCTTGGCAAACATGAGCATATGCTGAAGCAACAGCACACAGAAAAACTTTGTCCTCGTTAAAACCTGTATGTTTACACTCATTTTCAAAAGGAAAAACATGAATGCTATCTTTAGGCTGTGAGCTATAGGCCATTTTAACCAGTATTCAAACCATCGCACGTACCACTGATTTCAATGGGACAAACCACCATAAACATTAAATATTCTAGTTTAAGTAGTTCATGCTTTGTACTATTAATCAAATGAGAGAGCTTAGTCAGCTGAGCTAATTTTCTTTAATATTGCTCTATACCGAAAAGCACAATAAATTAAATTCTGGTTTGATTTATTAGCATTGTTCAAGCATAGCACAAGCCATCAAAGTTCAAGGAGGCTGTTGAAAAATTGGATGGGATTCAGATTAAAAAACAAAACAAAATGAGGTTGATAAAAATGCTGTAGAAGACGTATGAGGAAAACGCTGGAACAACTCTATGTCCTTGTTCAGGTTTACGAGAAAAAGGTGGAGTATCGTTTGGGGATACTTTAAATCAGGGGCCAGCAACCTTTTTTAGCCATGGGCCAGTCCACTGTCCCTCAGACCATGTGGTGGGCTGGACTATATTTTTGGGGGGGGGAAAAGAACAAATTCCTGTGCCCCACAAATAACCTAGAGATGCATTTTAAATAAAAGCACACATTCTACTCATGTAAAAACACCAGGCAGGCCCCCCAAATAACCAAGAGACGCATTTTTTTTAAAAAAGGACACATTCTACTCATGTAAAAACACACTGATTCCCAAACCATCCGCGGCCGGATTGAGAAGGCGACTGGGCAGCATCCGGCCCACGGGCCTTAGGTTGCCTACCCCTGCTTTAAATAAAGAGATGAAGTGTGTCACAATGAGCTTCTCCACGCTATTCTGCTTAAATCACCTAGATGTAACTGAGATTAAAAAACAATCAACAAAAATAAAAGGAAGGAGCAGCATTACCCTTGCTGGTTTTGAATTAAGGTGAGACAAATTAAGAAATGAGGTGAAGTGGGCAAGATGGAAAGTTTTAAGTTCCAGGCACCCTAATCCTGGAAAGTTAAAACTTTATGTTACTGAGCTGAACTGTAATTGTTGTATGTTTTTCTTTAAAAATGTTTTATATACACCACTTGGAAATTCTGAATTTGATTTGTTTATTGGATTTGTATACTTCTTTCTTTGCCAAGGTGTTCAAGGTGGTTTACAATTTTACATTTCTACTATTTTACAATAATGCAAACAGGTGGAGGTAAAGGGAGCCCTGACCATTAGGTCCAGTCGTGACCGACTCTGTGGCTGCGGCGCTCATCTCGCTTTACTGGCCGAGGCAGCCAGCGTACAGCTTCCGGGTCATGTGGCCAGCATGACTAAGCCGCTTATGGCGAACCAGAGCAGCGCACGGAAACGCCATTTACCTTCCCGCCAGAGTGGTACCTATTTATCTACTTGCACTTTGACGTGCTTTCAAACTGCTAGGTTGGCAGGAGCAGGGACCAAGCAATGAGAGCTCACCCCGTTGCGGGGATTCGAACCACCGATCTTCTGATCGGCAAGTCCTAGGCTCTGTGGTTTAACCCACAGCACCACCCGTGTCCCAACACCCTCCCCAAAACCCTCCTCTTCCTCCTTCTCACAGGGCAATGGTGTCTGTTGGCCCTGTGGGGTGGAGAGGGGACAGCCTTGACCGCCACAGGCCCTAAGGGTGTCTGCATGCCTTCCTTGCTCCCATCCTTCTCACAGGGCTGTTGGCCCTGAGCAGGGCGAGAGGGGACAGTCTGACTGGCCTGACATCAAAACCAGCCTTCCTTGTGGCACTCAAGACATATATAATAACTGTGATCCATAAGGAGCACACACATCCTATAATGACTGCTATTATAATACAATAGGAAGAGACTGTAATTAGCGGAACATGACGTGTTATCTGAGGGCAAAGATGACATTAGCAATTCTCAAAATTTGTCCTGGGGTATACAAATGTGCCTTGAGAGAGAAACTAATTAAAAGCTGCAATTAGCACAAAGTCTCTACTGGCAAAGGAGGGGGCCTGTTGCACTTCTCCCCAATTCTATGCTCTGGCTTTCCCTTTTTCCAATCAGTTCCCTGTCCTCCCTACCTCTTGCCCAGGGTAAAGTAACCGTGTTGTGGGTCTGCATCCATCAATTGCTTTTGAGACACAGAACAGAATTAAGTTACCATTAGATGGGATTGCCTGCCATCTCCCTATACAAGTTGTAGACTCGGCTACTTCCAATTAGGAGGCACTTATCCACAGGGCACAGGCTCCTCTGTGGGTAAGTAATTCACATGTTAAAGAAGAAGTGTGCCTACAATTTTACTACAGAAAATGTTCCTCAGATAGAAACCTGGGAAACATCGCTTTGGAATGCATGACTTGTGAAACGTAAGATGCTGGGACAGTTCGCTCTTCGGCCTTATAATGAAGAAATACATATTTGCTGCCTATAACTGACCTAAAGAGCAAAGGAGGAACACGGGTAGCACTCTACACCAGGATTCTCTACAAATAATAAGCCACAGGCATTGTTTTAAGCATACTTGTCTGGCTGTACAAATAATAATAAGCTTTATGACGTTTGAGAAATCATTTCTTACACTGAGAATTTAACCATTGCCCTTGGAGAAAAGGGAATAAAATGTTGCAGAAGGACTAACCTCTGCATACATTGCTTCCTAAGTCAATGATACTTCATAGGGAGGAGGCGTGGTATTAAGTACTAAGAAATTGAGCCCATCATTCAGAGACAATGCACAACTGACCAGTGAGATTGAATCTTCATGAGTAATTCATGCCCCCTGACTTTCAAGGAGGCAAGGAAATCATGTGTGTGACTAAGATTACAGTACATCTTTGAATGTCTGTGCTGATTGCCACTTTGAAATAGGAATTTAATAAAGAGGAGCAGTGTTGTAAAAATGGCTTCCTCAAAGGTTCAAGTAAAATAGTTAATGACATGCAACCAACCAATAAAACACACCAAAGCACAAACAAATAATGCAGTAGGTTTTTTTTTATACTGGCAGCCAGATAAAAACTTTTGACTAAACCGTCATCGTTTGGCATTGTTGTTTAATCTGTCCTGCTGTCAAACTGACTTTAAAATGAAGAAAAAGAATCCAGAATCCAACTAAAATAATACACAGTAAATTCTGAATGCTTACCTAATATCCTTCTCAAGCTGTGCAATCTGTTCTTTCTGCAAAAGTATCTGAGAATCTCTCTGTTGTACAGACTCAATGAGATACCTGTAAGGCTGTTGTACTTGGTTCAGCAACGAATTACCTCTGTCCCGCTGTGAGGTGGAAAAAGTATCATTCTTTCAATTTCAGGAATGAGAACTGTACTCTCTTAATAAAAAAGGTAAAGGACCCCTGGACAGTTAAGTCTAGTCAAAGGCAAGGAGTTGCGGCGCTCATCTCCCTTTCAGGCTGAGGGAGCCGGCATTTGTCCACAGACAGTTTTCTGGGTCATGTGGCCAGCATGACTAAACCGCTACTGGAGCACAGAGGACCGTGACGAGTGCCAGAGCGCATGGAAATGCCATTTACCTTCCTGCTGCAGCGGTACCTATTTATCTACTTGCACTGGCATGCTTTCGAACTACTAGGTTGGCAGGAGCTGGGACAGAGCAACGGGAGCTCACCCCATCGCAGGGATTTGAACTGCCAACCTTCCGATCGGCAAGCCCAAGAGGCTCAGTGGTTTAGACCACAGCGCCACCCGCATCCCTATACACTCTTAATAACATCATCTTGTAAACTGCACATGAACACAACTGTGAAAGTTGCTGGACAACAGTTTAAACCTCATCAAGCTTAAATTTCAGTTGCTACTGGCTGAGAGTGAGCCACAACTGTCACACAATCTCAGACATACAGCCAAGATGTGCATTTAAAGACTTCTTTGTTTCCTTCTCAGACTTGCCTTAGAACATACCACATCAAGAATCTGGCAATCATTTCAAATGTATAACATATATAATATAGCAAACACTTCCTAAGGCAAATCTAGAGAGATCAGTAAAATGGATGCTAACCTAGGAATTTTTAAAGTTTCATTTTTTAGAGTATTTAGCTCCCATATAGCTTGCTAACACTGTAAAAAGCCTTTAGGGAGCAATCCTATGCACAAGAAGCTGGCGTAAAGCAAGCTGGTGTAAATTAAATGGGTGTGTCAGATCCCAGATCTCAGTCTTACAGAGGGAAAACAAGCCTTTAAAATAGTATCCGAGTTACACCACCCTTTTGGCTAGCTTAACTTATGCCGGGCTGCCAGGTCATGTGACAGAGCTGACCAGTCTAAGCCCCCACTCTCTGGTCACACCCCTGGACGCCCCTTTCTCAGGGCATACAATCCATCAAGCTTGGCTCAGTTGGCTGGGTCCTGGCTCAGCAGGGATGGGGAGATACGCTAGTATAACTTGGTATAAGGCACCTTCTTTATGCAGCAAGCCTGCAACATATGCACATTTAACTTGTGCACATTCAGCTTTATGTGCAAGGTAAAAAATTAAAATAAAATAGAAAAAGGTTGTGGGGTTCCATGAAAAATGACTTTGGCAAGACCACCCACTATGGAACCCAGTGTGTTTTGGCTATAGGCAATTTGCCCCCTACCCCCATGGCACAATGGGTTAGTGTGTCTGGCTGTTACTCAGATGGTTGGTGGTTCAAGTCCACCCAGGGCCAGCTGTGGGCAGGATTCCTGCATCACAGGGGGTTGGACTAGATGACCCTCAGGGTCCCTTCCAATGCTACAATTCTATGATTTTTGCATTAGGCGCAACAACCAGAGTATCAGTAAAATAACACTCCATAAATTTCAGTTAAAAGCAGATTTTTAAAGACTGGTAAGTTCAGAAAGAATTTTGCTATTTTACCAGTTGCGTCAGAAGTTAACAAACTTTGTATGCCAAAAATCTCAAGAGCCAGAGAAATCTGGGAAAGCTAGTGACTTCTCAGATATGTATGTTTTAGTGGATAAGAAATCTGAAAGAAACTATATAAAAACAGCAATATTACATGTGAGGGGAGGGAAACCTCCAGAACATTGAACCAGTTTTGCTAGTTCTTCCCCAGCTCAGAAAACAGAGACTTATCTGTCTAGTCTGCATTTTTGTTTAGTCTGCACACTAATCTGTATTTTGATCTCTGCTTTAATACAACATAAATTGCTCTGAAAAGGGTTAGTGTGCATGCTTTCTTCAGTTGGCTAATCATAACAAATGCAGTAAAAATGTTGCTTAAAAATGCCAATTCAGGATGTATGGAATACACACACACACACACACACACACACACACAGATATTGTTGAGAGTTGTGTACCTCTTGTGAAATTTGGGCAACTTGTTCCTTCTGATGCTCCAAATCTTTTACAAGCAACGTGTTTTGCTTTTCTAGCTGCAGCAATCTTCTTGCCAAATGAACACTGCGCCAAAATGGAGGGAAAGGACATTTCAGATATGTCTTCCAAATATGACAAATGAAGCCACCTACTTTTATCCACACTTTCCACTAATGCTTTAAGATGCAAAACAAGACAATAAAATATGAGTTGCAAAGATGTTTTGTTAATTCTGCTATAGAGACATTTCTGGAACAACATGTCAGCTCTCCATTTGTGCCACAACAGAACAAAACAACGGTCACTCACCTGATGATGATAATCATGAATTAGATCTCTTACCCATCCTTCACCATGAAGTCCCAGGTAAGGTTACAACAATTTTAACAAACCAGTATTAAAAACAGTAAAAAGAGGTTGCAAACCATCTGCTTGCTTAGAGGCTATATTTACAATTAAGTGGTGCACAATTTTTGTTAAATAAACTATTAGAATAGAATAGGATGAGTCATTATCTAATCTATCTATCTATCTATCTATCTATCTATCTAGGTAAAGGTAAAGGGACCCCGACAGTTAAGTCCAGTCGTGAATGACTCTGGGGTTGCGGCGTTCATCTCGCTTTGCTGGCCGAGGGAGCCGGCGTTTGTCCGCAGACAGTTTTTCCGGGTCATGTGGCCAGCGTGAGTAAGCCGCTTCTGGTCCAACGGAACAGCGACACCAGAGCAGCACACAGAAATGCCGTTTACCTTCCCGCCGGAGAGGTACCTATTAATCTACTTGCACTTTTTGGCGTGCTTTCGAACTGCTAGGTTGGCAGGAGCTGGGACTAAGCAATGGGAGCTCACCCCGTCACGCCAACCTTTTGACCGGCAAGCCCTAGGCTCAGTGGTTTAGACCACAGCACCACCCACATCCCTATCTATCTATCTATCCATCCATCCATCCATCCCAGGTATGAAAGGCCAGGGTAATGAGGTGCATCTTCAGGATATGGTGTGAACGACATTATGAAGTTGACTCCTCTGTGGGGAGGGGATTCCGCAGTGGAGGAGCTGCCACAGAGAAGGCCCTCTCCAATTATCAAATTATGAGGATGATCATAACACCTGAAAGGTCTGTAGGGAAGGAGGTGGGCTTTCAGGTATTTGGGACCTAAGTTGACCCACTTGTGAAAGGTAAAAAGCCTCCATACAAACAGGCAAAGAAACTTCTGAAAACGTGCTGCCTCTTCCCTTTGTGGGCTGTATGTGAGAAGCCAGGTTAGTAAAGTATTTTGGTGAGCTTATTTTCAAGACTGCTTTAAAACATATTAGAAATGTTTGGGTGTGGAAGAACCTGCTTTAGTTTGGGGGCTGAACTGGATTCTTTCCCATCTCTACTGTTCGAAGCCCATAGGCCACACATGCAGCTTTAACTGGGTTAGAACAATAATATTCAATATTTCCCCTTCTTTCCCATAGCATAATCGTATTACTTTGCTTACAGCAGCAACAGCCTTTATCTGTTGCATTTTAGATAATTATCAGAAAGCATCTATGGACCACAAAATTACCTTTAGGCAGTAATTACAGAAAAACATCTCTCCAGCTTGCACTTATCTAAGTCATAGTAAATTATAAAACCAATGAAGTAAACACATGAAGTAATGTATTTTTTAAAAAAAGTTAAGAAAAACATGAAACAATTATTGAGCAATGCAAAGTTTGCTTATTTTATGTAGTTGATATGGTGTCCTGTGGGTGAACTATTATCAAATAAATGAAAAAATTGATAGCATTTTCTATATTCAGAAAAAAAGGCAAATAGCTATATTCTTGTTGAAGCACCAGTAGTCTAGACACTTAAGCTGCACAATAAGAAATCTCTACAAATCTCTTTATTGGGGTGTAACTTTATCATTTTTAGGTTTGGTGTTTTGACAGATATAAAGTCCCATTAAATTTCAATGTAACTTCAAACATGCTTAATTTACTTTGGCAGGAATGCAATGGCTTCAGTATTATTTTATGGGCAGAACTGGGGCTGTGTGGGCATTCCTGTTGTTGAGATCATGCACTGAGCACCCATAACCTATTTGGGTGCAGTAGCAGGGCATAATCTAGACCTTCCCCTCCAGCTGTTTAGTGAATGTGCATGTGCAGCAAAACGGAATGATCTATAGATCTAGGCTTGTTTATAAAATCTCTACATTCCTGAAATGAATTCCAAGATGATTCCACAATTACTTCATGAGAATTTGCCAGTTTTAAACTTTTTACTGTACCATGTAAAATGTTGATGTTTGAATACATTTTACGTACCTAGGGAAGTCTTTACCTCTTCCTCATTGAGTATATATTTAACATAATGATATATTAAACACCACTGTCTCAAATTGAGGATAATCAAAGTGGAATCCTACGTCACTGGGAGGGCATCTCACAGCCTTCAGAATAAAGTGGATCTCCCTCTCAGTTTATGGAAAGGGAGAGCTGTCTATCCAATTCTCTGTGTTACAAGCACTGAAATTTGCCACTATGCTGTTGGCAACTGAAAAAGGGGGTGTTCAATGGGGAGGCTTCAGATCCTCTGGACTTCCTAACATGTCCCCTTAATGAAGGAAAATATTTTGCAACAGTAAACTGGCACTGCAGCTGGCAACTTATACATTTGTTGCCGCAATAAATGTCTCACTATTGATTTTTGCAAGCTACTGTGGGAACCTTTTGGCTAAGTGCTTCAAACAAATAAATAAAATTGGGTTCTAAAGGAAACTGAGTATATGCCTGAATGAGGTACTAGATGCTCTTATTCAGTTTCCAAATCCGCCATTTATTCAATCCGTGATGGTGGCAATTGATAATGGGAAGCAAGCTTTGATGATATAGGGTTTAATGTAGACATGGGAACTTTGGTAACGTACGGGAGAACATGCATTTCCCGGGCTAAGGCTCTGTTGTGTGGTCATGAGGTTGCTCAACTCCTCTGTCTTCTAAGATAATTTTCAATTTATGTGGCCAGATGATATGGACAAGAAACTTGTTGCTTTGCATCTAACACACCCTCTGGACCTCTGTCCATCATGGCTGATGGAAAGACAGCCAGCAGTGCTGACTGGCTGGGTACAGGGTGTGGTAAATGTGAGATGGGGTAGTGTGTGCCAGCTTGAAAGAAGCGGTAGAGTGTAGCGGTAGAGTGTCCAGGCCTTTAGAAGCCAGCTTTAAGACCCAGATGTCACAAGAAGCACACACTCTCTCTCTCTCTCCAGTTGTACCTTGGATCCCAAATGCCTTGAGTCTCAACCGTTTTGGCTCCTGAACGCCACAAACCTGGAAGTGAGTGTTCCGGTTTGCGAATGTTCTTTGGAACCCAAACATCCGATGGGGCTTCCGATTGGCTGCAGGAGCTTCCTGCAGTCAATCGGAAGCGGTGCCTTGGTTTCCAAATGTTTTGGAAGTCAAACGGACTTCCGGAACAGATTCCGTTTGACTTCCAAGGTACCACTGTATAAAATAAATGTGCCTGTTGTGTATAACGTGAATCAGCAATGTGACCAAGAATTATGCAAGCAATATACATACCATGCTGAAAACAATTACGTTTTCAAAACTTCTCTCATGCTGATTCAGATGCTTAAAGCTAATTTCTAATGGATAAAAATAAACATTTTGTGTTTTGCTTTTTCAGCTGGAGTTTATATACGAAACATCAAAAATGCATAGCCAGGAAGTCTTCTCTGCTGTTTTCAAACCAAATTTGACTGAAATGAACACTTTATATGCTCAAGTTCAGTCAAGCATAGGTAAATGGTTTTCTGTTTCAAACAAGCAGGCCTCTTGGAATGTCCACAATACTTCAGTGTGTCCAGGAAGAGAGAGTTTATAACAGTCATTACCTCTTTGGGAAATGTTTACTTGTACTTAGTGCAATAAAGCACAGTGTATGTAAGTAACGTGCATTTATTGCAGCATGAGCTGAAGTTGAAATGTGCTGTGCGAGACGTTAAGGGGAAAAACAGACAACTAGCCACAGACAGACATGTGGTGAAATTTGCTCTTGGTTTAATTTTCTAAACAAGCAGAGCTTTCAACAGCTTGAGAAATGCTGACTTACTACAGCAAAACAGATATGGTTTTGCTTTTCAGCATTGATTTGTATAGATGAATAATGCGGGAACTCCAGCCAAATCTATCAGCTTACCTTATGTCAGATATGTTTCCTTCAAGTGGGATTGACTACAATCCCAGACATAGGTAGATAGCTGTGTTGGTCTGCCGCAGTTGAAACAAAATTTAAAAATTCCTTCCAGTAGCACCTTAGAGACCAACCAAGTTTGTTATTGGTATGAGCTTTTGTGTGCATCTGAAGAAGTGTGCATGCACACGAAAGCTCATACCAATAACAAACTTAGTTGGTCTCTAAGGTGCTACTGGAATGTCAGGCATGTTAGTTTTTCCCATACTGAGCCTGACTAGGACCTTAAAAACAGTCCCACCACTCCCCTAGCGCTAAGTCATTTCAGCGGAATGATACCGTCATGAAATGTAGAAGAGGAATAGGCTTGCTGCAACACGGGGGGCGGGGGAGCAATTGCTGTTGGCCACCCTGGTGTGGTTTTTGGTTAATGAAACAGAAAAACACTACAATGCAAGGAAGACTTTAAACTTGCAGTGCAAAGAGAGATACAGCCCCGGTGACACATTTGGTTTTGTTTTACATTGGAGGGGGGGGGCAGGGTTCGGGAAGTGCAAAAGTTGATCAGGAACGCCCCGTGGATTTGGGGCGCCTTTCCTCTCCTTCTTTCCACCTGCTGTGTGCAAATTCCCTATTTCTTTTGCACTGTAACCACACGCCTATATTCTGTTTGTTTGTTGATTTATTTGCTAAGAGCACTAGGCACGCTTCTAAGCACGCAGGTGTAAAATACAGTGATTACCATAACCATGGTTCAAACTCTGGTTTGCAGTTTGTCACGGTTAGCATTTGGACTGGTAAAGGTGCACATATATTGCCAACCATGATCAACTCACCAGAAAAAGGGGATAATTCACATGCGAGGGGGGAGGACTGTGCAAGCCCAGCGGAAACTCACAGGCTCTTAACGATGATTATTTAATCTATTTATTTATTTCATAAAATTCATACACCACATTAGGCGGTCAGGGAGCATTACTTATATCTGTACTGGGTCTATGTGCTCTGCAGTTTAGTTAGATCCTTAAGATGTTTAGCATCCCCACACAGGATAGGAGGACCCATTATTGTGGTACTAATACAGGTTGTGATTTTTCTCCTACACTGAAATAGGATTGAAGCCAGAATGGATAACAAACAAAACCTCTTTACTCCTAGAATTTGTTCCTCGGTGCTCTGGATCCATTAAAAGGAGGAAAAAGTCCATGTGATGCACGGCACTCAAGCCAAATTTTATTTTCTGACTCATGCAGGAATTCTTGATTTTATGTGAACTGTGTAACAGTAATGAGCTATGTCTGGATTATTTTCGTTCACTGGGATTCACATTATAACCTGACACACAGCACTGTATTTTCAATTTTTTAATGGTTGCTAAAACTAATTTTATTTTTGTATGTTGCAATGCAAAACTATAACATATAACATTAGGCAGTATGCATCAACTATTAAGTAATAGCTTATATATAAGAAATTTCTTATAATTTTTTTTTAAAAATGTATCCGTTTTAGATGTTAATGTCCATGTGCTGACCTAAAACTGTTGTCTACTTATATATATATTTAAAAACTACACATTTAAAAATTGAATCATTCTCTCTCTCTCTCTCTCTCTCTCTCTCACACACACACACACACACACAGCCAATTACCATTGAGTTTTAGCTTTAGTAAGAATGAATGCACTAACAAAATATATTTTAAATACTTTAATGTTTTTAAAGGCAGGAAGCATGCTAGAAAGGCAGCAAGATGAGTATGATGATTATGAAAGGGCCATTTACAACTGCTTAGCTGCACAAAATTATGAGCTTGGGAAAGGTGACAAGCTTATCAAGTCATATTTATCTCTCCATGACAACACCCTTCTCTACACATCAACACCCCCCCCTTCCACATGTCCTGTATCACAGAGTGCAACAAGCAATGCAGACAAAGACCGAAGAGACGCCATCCACTCACCAGAGGAAAAGACACAATTAGCAATTGTCTGCAGAATGGAGACACTTTTCCTTTCTTAAAGAGGAAAAGAGAAAGGAAGTGGAGGGAACACATCTGCGAGTTCGTATTGTCCTTACCTCTGCTTCAACCGCCTTTTGGCTGTTGTGGGAACATTTGCACCATATCCATAGGAGAACAGAACTCTTTCTGCCTCTTCTTCACTTTCAACTATAAAAATACAAAATAATCTTCAGTAGAACATCTAGGAAAAAGAGAACAATTCATACCTTTGAACAACTCTATAAATTATATGTACACATAGAGTGTAAGAAAGATCAGGGGGCTTCAGGTTATGCTAATGGAATTGTTCATTTTAGTTTCTCCATCAGAATATTCCTTTTTTCAAATATTTTAAAATAAACAGTACACAGAAATGAAGGTTGAAGATACACAAGGGGCCCAGCTATTTGATTTTTAACTAACAAGGATTAGGGTAAATAACAAATGGAAATAAATAAGGTGACGAATCCAGGACTCAGTATATATTCAGTCAATTAACTTAAAATAGTACGCAGGAAGCTATTGTACAGCTGCCAGAAATGAGAGATTTGTTGCCCAGTGTACTTCATGGCTTCATAGGATTTGAACTTTGGCCTTGCTGGTTTTATTGCGCCCCAACAATCTCTATTCCAATATGCTAATACTAATTATACAGTAATACTGTACTATATAATTATTATTTTACAAATATAGTAATATATGGTAACTTATTTTTCTTCATGATTATTTATGGTCTTGGCCTCTCCTTCAACTGTCACCTGATGGCAGCCGTTCAAAATGTCTTCCTGAACTTTCTCCGTTCCAGTTGGTTGGTTAACTTTAAAGTCTGGTGCCTGAGCTTGCTTTTTGCCTTTCTTCTCCCCATCCCTTTTCCCTTGTGTTACATTTTTAAAAAATAGGAAGCAGGGATCGTCTTACCTTGGATTTCCATAAGCCACTCTAAGAGCCTTTTTTGCTAAGGAGTGGATTCAAAATGCTTTAAATTAAACAAAAAGCCAATTATCCAATTGGTAAAGGTACCCCTGACCATTAGGTCCAGTTATGGACGACTCTGGGGTTGTGTGCTCATCTCGCTTTACAGGCCGAGGGAGCCGGCGTTTGTCCACAGACAGCTTCCGGGTCGTGTGGCCAGCATGACTAAGCTGCTTCTGGCAAACCAGAGCAGCACACAGAAACGCCATTTACCTTCCCGCTGGAGTGGTACCTATTTATCTATTTGCACTTTGACGTGCTTTCGAACTGCTAGGTTGGCAGGAGCAGGGACTGAGCAATGGGAGCTCACTCCGTCGCGGGGATTCGAACCGCCGACCTTCTGATCGGCAAGCCCTAGGCTCTGTGGCTTACACCACAGCGCCACCCGCGTCCCTTATCTAACTGGTTGTTGTTGTTTAGTCGTTTAGTCGTGTCCGACTCTTCGTGACCCCATGGACCAGAGCACACCAGGCACTTCTGTCTTCCACTGCCTCCCGCAGTTTGGTCAGACTCATGTTTGTAGCTTCGAGAACACTGTCCAACCATCTCGTCCTCTGTCGTCCCCTTCTTCTTGTGCCCTCCATCTTTCCCAACATCAGAGTCTTTTCCAGGGAGTCTTCTCTTCTCATGAGGTGGCCAAAGTATTGGAGCCTCAGCTTCACGATCTGTCCTTCCAGTGAGCACTCAGGGCTAATTTCCTTAAGAATGGATGCGTTTGATCTTCTTGCAGTCCATGGGACTCTCAAGAGTCTCCTCCAGCACCATAGTTCAAAAGCATCAATTCTTCGGCGATCAGCCTTCTTTATGGTCCAGCTCTCACTTCCATACATCACTACTGGGAAAACCATGGCTTTAACTATACGGACCTTTGTTGGCAAGGTGATGTCTCTGCTTTTTAAGATGCTGTATCTAACTGATACTGTTTGGTAAATATTGAAATTTCACAGATGTGGTGAATCAAAAGAACTTCAAGAATTACACCAAAAACATGGAGGACAGAGTGGGGTAGATGAGCCATGCTTGCAGCAATATACCAGGCTTTGGGTACGAAAGGAAGTTGGGAAATAATAATTTAAAAAATATTTTTTTATTTATACCCCGCCCTCCCTGGCCAGAGCTAGGCTTTGGGCAGCTAACACCAGTAAAATTACAATAAAAACTTAATGGGGGGGGGAGACCAATTTAAAATACAGGTTAAAATACAATTTAAAATGCATCCTCATTTTAATAGTAGCCCATTGATCAAAACCATAAGGGGAGGGAAACATAAGGGTCAGACTGAGTCCAAACCAAAGGCCAGGCAGAACAGCTCTGTCTTACAGGCCCTGCGGAAAGATGTCAAGTCCCGCAGGGCCTTAGTCTCTTGTGACAGAGTGTTCCACTAAGTCGGGGCCAGTACTCAAAAGGCCCTGGCCCTAGTTGAGACCAATCTAACCTCCTTGCGACTTCCAAAGTGTTGTCATTTGTGGACCTTAAGGTCCTCCGCGTGGCATACCAGGAGAGGCGGTCCCGTAGGTACGTGGGTCCTAGGCCGCATAGGGCTTTAAAGGTCAAAATCAGCACCTTAAACCTGACCCTGTACTCCACCGGGAGCCAGTGCAGTTGGTAAAGCACTGGATGAATGTGGGGAGGTTGTTTGGTACATGTACTGAAAAAGATGTGTGCGTTGTCCTCAAAGCCAAGCTCAGTTGGTAAGGGAGACATGGAATAGGCCAGGCCAGCTTTATTTCATGTGCACAACTTCTACACCCTGGCTTCCCAAAAGAGGTGAGCAGTATCATTCCCTTTGCAATAGTGGGCAAATGATAAAGACAACAGGCTGAATGTTTACGTCTCACAGCAATATCAATGTGTCATTTCTGAAGACTGTTAGTGTTGGTTCCCTTTAAAGAGCCATTCATTCGTGAAATACATTAATAATATCTCCCGCCCTGTTCTAAGATATAAAGGAGAAAACAAGCACTCTTCAGCTCTGGAAGTGAGTGTTCTTTTTCCTGGCAGCATATGCAACAGCATAATTATACATGGTAAGGGGAATAATTACGAGCACAAAATGTACAGGACAAAATATTTTTGGCAACAGTCTCTCAAATCTGAATGCATATATATATATTCTCTGCAAGCTCTAGCGAACACTATAAAAACATACATCCAGCTTCTATCAATAGGCCTTTTGACAACAGAAAACATAGCAACATGGATCTTAAACATACCAAAGTGATATTTCTGAGTATTTTCAATCAAAATAGTACATATACATTAGCATTATAGTAAGACTTGTTCACACACATACTACTGAAATGTGAGCTATTATATTATCAAAACAAATGCCAAGCTTGCTTGGCAGAGTCTGATCTTGCCAAGTATAGACAACAAATAGAAGATTGTAAGGAGAGAGAAAAATTAGGTTGCACACATTGCTGTTGCTGCATATTTCTCTCGATTAAATTGATATGCTTTAAAACCACAAGACAACTATTGTACAGTCATCATGCAAAGCGTATGTTTTAGTGTTATTAATAATGACGATAAGAAAGAGTAGATAGTCCATCTTGCAAAAACTTGAACTTGTGATATATGCTGCTTATTCTATTTTTTTCTCTTGTCAATAGGCCACTGAATGGGCCATATGATGTTATATATTCCCTCAGTAAATTTTCTTCTTAAAGTGTTTTCTTACACACAAAAATTAGGCTCCCACACCTGAAGTTTTTCTTATAATATTTCAAATAGCTCTGGACAAGAATGAAGGATGGGTATATGCTAGTATGAATATCAGAGTATGGAAACTGGAAAGAGATTCCAGAAAGTCTAAGCGTTTTGTTACTAACTGGATGATCTATGTGTTCAATGTCTGATTGATTTATTGTTATGACTGTTAAGAAACAAATGAATTATCTTTGCATTCTAAACTTATTAACACAAAAGTGGATAATTCACATTTACATTATGTTAAAGAGTTCTATCTAAAGTTTTCTACTTGATAATGATGCAAAGTCAAAATCATCTTTGGACCAGAGCTGCTACAATACAATACATAACTAATAAACCATTTATTTCCTTGGTCTGGATCCTAGGCCACCTTTAAAAGTCAACAGTCTCTCAGAACAGCTTACACAGGAAATGTAACAAAGTATAACTACGGCCATAAAATCATTAATAAAAACAACAAGCATCCAGCACAACAAATAAATACTAAAACACTTTCCAAAACAGTCACTTTAGCAGAAGAATAAACAGCAGCTAAAGAAAAACTAGGGACGCGAGTGGCGCTGTGGGTAAAACCTCAGCGCCTAGGACTTGCCGATCGTCAGGTCGGCGGTTCGAATCCCCGTGGCGGGGTGCGCTCCCGTTGCTCGGTCCCAGCGCCTGCCAACCTAGCAGTTCGAAAGCACCCCCGGGTGCAAGTAGATAAATAGGGACCGCTTACTAGCGGGAAGGTAAACAGCGTTTCCGTGTGCTGCGCTGGCTCGCCAGATGCAGCTTGTCACGCTGGCCATGTGACCCGGAAGTGTCTTCGGATAGCACTGGCCCCCGGCCTCTTAAGCGAGATGGGCGCGCAACCCCAGAGTCGGACACGACTGGCCCGTACGGGCAGGGGTACCTTTACCTTTAAAGAAAAACTGGGATGCGGATGGTGCTGTGGTCTAAACCACTGAGCCTCTTGGGCTTGCCGATCAGAAGGTCCGCAGTTCGAATCCCTGCGATGGGGTGAGCTCCCATTGCTTGGTCCCTGCTCCTGCCAACCTAGCAGTTTGAAAGCACATCAAAGTGCAAGTAGAAAAATAGGTACCGCTCCGGCGGGAAGGTAAATGGCGTATCTGTGTGCTGCTCTGGTTTGCCAGAAGCGGCTTAGTCATGCTGGCCACATGACCCGGAAGCTGTACTTTGGCTCCCTCGGCCAATAAAGCGAAATGAGCACCGCAACCCCAGAGTCGTGTGCGACTGGACCTAATGGTCTTTACCTTTTTTTAAAGAAAAACTGGACAAAAATAACTGGGGCTTTTCTGAAATGATGGGGTATGTTGGTGTGCAGCCCTGGTGTACAGAGAAGAATCTCTCTCTGGTAAAAGAGGGGATACAGTGAGCAGTCTAAACGTACTTTGATTTGGGGCAGTATATGCTCACTGGAAGGACAGATCCTGAAGCTGAGGCTCCAATACTTTGGCCACCTCATGAGAAGAGAAGACGCCCTGGAAAAGACCCTGATTTTGGGAAAGATGGAGATCACAAGGAGAAGGGGACGACAGAGGACGAGACGGTTGGACAGTGATCTCGAAGCTTCTAAAATGAATATATAATGAACTAAAGAAAATGTTCAAAAATGCATTTGTTAAAAAACCAGAAGTTGCCTTACTAGGTACAATAGGTGAAGAGTTTCCAAGAGAAGATAAAAGACTTTTAATGTATTCAAAAACGGCAGCGAGATTGCTACTAGCCCGTGCTCGCTTCGGCAGCACATATACTAAAATTGAGAATGCTGTTAGCCCAGAGATGGAAGGAAGGAGAAATACCAACAAAAGAAGGATGACAGATGAAACTGATAGAGTATGCGGAGATGGCAAAACTGATGGGGAAGATCCGAAACTGGGAAGATCAAGTATTTTCTAAAGACTGGAGTAAATTTTTAAATTTATTTAAAAAACCACTGTAAACAGTTAAAATCTTTGGCAGGGATGTAATGACACTTGTAATACGGAATTATTTATGGTAATTATGGTTATATAATAGATGGATAATTGTAAAAGATGCTGCAAATTTAAACTTAAACATGGAACCCATGGAGAGAGGGAAAGGAGGTCCGAAGGTTCAAAAGAACCTTGTATTTTAATGTTTGAAATGGTTATGTTTATATGTATAAAATTATCAAAAATCCAATAAAAAATCATGTATAAAAAAGAAATTCTCCTTGCCCCCCCATCATCACCTTTGATAGATCATGGCGAATTGTTGTGACATAACAGAACTAAAGAGATGTGCAATGGGGTGCTTCTCCCTGTTTTTCTCTTCAACGGCCTTTGTGCAAAATCTGCCAGGCAAATATGACAGGAAAGAAAAACAAACCAAAAACATCTGCACATAGATTTGACATGCATGTCCCCGGGGGAATCTGAGCCAGTAAAAAATATTTACTATAAAGTAATTTAAGGAGATAATCAAAATTAAATAAATATTCTCACTGCCAATTAAAGCACAATAAAATATGTATTTGATGTTAAATATTACACTGCTGCATGTTCAATATCTACTAAAAATTCCTGGGATTTAAAATGTTCCAAATCTCATTAACAGCGATCAGATTATAAAAATATTCCAACACAGTACACTACAGGAAGAACAGGGCAAATTAAAAGAACTTACGTTCTGCACTTTGCATGATTATCTCATCAAGTTCTTTTTCCAGCTTTTCATACGTGTCAAGCCTTGCCTGGTACTCAGAGTTTTGTGCCTGAAGTTCTGAAATCCGTTTCTCGCTCAGTGCTTGAAGATTATAAAATTCTTTGGTTAAAACCTATATGAAAATTAAAATGAAAGTTAATTAACAGAAGGCTATAAATTATTTATGATGGAGACAAAAGCCCAAACGGTTAAAAAATAATGAGTTGCACACAGTTCAATTGCTATTTAACTTATAATTAAGATAAGAATCCAATATGTTCTATTAAAAGCAGTACTACGTACAGATTTGTATCGTGATTCTCAAATCCCAAATCATTAAACATGTTTCAGTTACAAAAGGAATCCAACCTTTGGTAGTCTTTGCTGAATCCCTAAATTAATATCTATGGTTGTTGGTACTCTAGTGTGTCAGATTAAATAGTTGGCTATCTTTGCTTTGGGGTACAAACTTCAGATTCTATGCCACATGGAAACAGGTATATAGAAAGACATGCCAAAAAGCAAGGCTCCCATCTGTACAAATTTAAAGTAGTATCGTATCACTTTAAATAGTCATGAATTTCCCCCAAAGACCCCCAGGAGCTGTAGTTTGTTAAGAGTGCTGAGAAATGTTAGAGACGCCCTTTGCCCACCCCTGTGGTTTAACAATTGATCACTCTTCTCAGAGAATTCTGGGAATTGCAGGGGTCTCCTAACAACCTCCCTTTTCAGGTGACCATCTCCTGCTTCCTACTGCAGTCCTCCAAGAAGCTGCTACTGAAAGTCAGAGAAAGGTAGCTTGAGGTACCAGGTGGGTGGAATTAATAGAATTATTTTTTTTTGTGGGGGAGGGGGGACCTCGTTTGAATCTTGTCTCCTGTTTGTGCAAAAATCTGAGCTATTACACTGAAAGAAAAAAAGTGTCGTAGAAGAAAAGATATAGTTTTATTTGCAGAGAAAAACCTATTTTAAAAGGGGGGGGGGCGCAACTTAACCAGCCCTAACAACTCACAACGCAGCTGTGCTTGAAGCAAATGCATGCAAGTGTGAAAACAGCATACATTATTAAAAAAAAAGTTTATTGCTATTTCTATCACAGCTCTTTAAAGGTCCTGTGTGATTAACCATTTAACAAATTAGTAATACCAAAAGGTAAGACCCAATTAAATGTACGTAAATAAAAAACATAAAAATAAAAAAATATCCGTACATGCTTAACCTTAGGTTCTAAACAAGAAAGTTCAGTCCAAACAAGAAAGCCTTACAGTGGTACCTCGGGTTACATACGCTTCAGGTTACAGACTCCGCTAACCCAGAAATAGTGCTTCAGGTTAAGAACTTTGCTTCAGGATGAGAACAGAAATCGTGCTCTGGTGGCACGGTGGCAGCAGGAGGTACTTCAGGTTAAGTACGGACCTCCGGAATGAATTAAGTACTTAACCCGAAGTACCACTGTACAATGCTTCCGGAAGACATATCTCAGGGGTTACCAACTATGAACTTCCTTGGGTGCCCACAACATGTCTCAGTACATATCCATTTTGTGTTTTTATCATGTCTCCACAGCAACCATTTCAAGTTATGCTGTGCCCCACACTTCCAATTTGTGATATAACATGCTACCATAACAGCTATTCTATGATTGGCACCAATGGCCCTTCCTTAAAATTCTAAATGTGCCCACTGGTCCAGAAATGTTAGTGACCCCTAGCATATAGGCTTAGATATGCAAATGAAGGCAAAAATATTAAAATTATTAACCATCTAAAATGTACTATTAGACATTAGAAATGTTGTTGTTGTTTAGTCGTTTAGTCGTTTGTGACCCCCTGGACCAGAGCACGCCAGGCACTCCTGTCTTCCACTGCCTCACGCAGTTTGGTCAAACTCATGCTGGTAGCTTCGAGAACACTATCCAACCATCTCGTCCTCTGTCGTCCCCTTCTTCTTGTGCCCTCCATCTTTCCCAACATCAGAGTCTTTTCCAGGGAGTCTTCTCTTCTCATGAGGTGGCCAAAGTATTGGAGCCTCAGCTTCACGATCTGTCCTCCAGTGAGCACTCAGGGTTGATTTCCTTAAGAATGGAGCGGTTTGATCTTCTTGCAGTCCATGGGACTCTCAATGGGACATTAGAAATATGTGATAATAATTTATTTTTATAACTGTTAGGAGAATGATGGCTAATTGGCTAGAACACTGAAGAGGAAAATTTTGTTTGCAGGTCCTACCTGTCTCCTTTCTGCCAATATACTATACTGAGAAAAACAGATGTTCTAAGAATAAGTATTGCCACCTGTAAAGTCAACAGAACACAGCTGCCCTCTTCTCCAAAATGACCTTTTAATGTCTACTGACAAAATAATTAGTCTTCATTTGCTTAGAATGGTTTCAACAACAGTGCGGCACGATTATGATCAATACTTGCCTTAAGCAAATGCCGTCCTACTGTTCCTCTTTCGATTGTTTCACGAGCTACAAGCAGTTGCTCTTTACCCCCAAATTGCAATGATGCAGTTCCTTACCAGCCAATCACCACTCTGATGGAAGCAGGGCAATGGCGTTGAGGAGCCACGCCATAGGACCTGCCCACACTGAAACAGCTTACGGAAGCTTTTCTTACGTACCTCTAGTTTTCGCTGATATTTTTCACATTCCAGCTGACACTGTGAAAGGTTCTTGGAGGTTTCTTCTTGCATCAGCTGTAGACGTTCGCTTTCAAACAACTTCAGTTTATTCTGATGGAAAAGTTCGGCTACTTTGCTTTCTGTGCTGATCTGCAGTTGTCTGTACCTGAAAACACCCAAGGAAATAAAATGCAAAACAGTCAAGAAGCTCAGCAAAGTCAATTAGACAGCAAACAATTTATATCCTTAATATTATGATGATATGGTTTTGCTGCAAAGAGACCATGGAAAAGTGCACCACTGGGGGGTAAAGTCAAACTGTTGGAGAGTTACAGCGCCTGCTGTGGCTGCAGAGAACAAAATGGGAGAGACATGTTTTACTGCAGCTGGGGCAGATGATGGCATCCATTTTCACTGGTGCAGATGCGCCATAGTGTTTCTTCTCTCTGCACTCCTCCCAGTGGTCATTCCTCCTCTGGCCATTGAGATGTGTATATATGGCCTGACTGTCTTGTCTCCAGGCACAGGGTAGTGACCTCTACCCTGCCCTATAAAAAGCATTATTCAGAACAGCAGTTTGCATGAACCACTAAAGACAATATTAACACAATTAATTTCACATTAATTCAAAATCCAATTAAAACCATTTAGTTTAATTAGTTTAAAGCTGATACCAGCTTTTCAAATGCATCTTAGATACTGCATTTAGTAACTACTTCACTTTTCAGTAACTTCTTAAACAATGGATGGGCTTGATGAAATGATACCAGTTTCCCAATGTCTGGTTTAAAGTCACTTAAGCAGGAGTTTTAAATCGCAATGTTTAGCCACCTAGTAGTCGATTTCTTTGCTTGGAGAAAAGTTGGATGACCACACTAAAAGCACATTCCACCAAATACGATATTAGGAATGCAATAAGGAGCTTCTTAATCACTTTCCATAGTGCAGGATAGAGGTAAGAAATTGCTCCTGTAACCAAAACTCCTGGTACGATTTCATAAACTTTGACTTCAGATCATTGTCTTTTTGTAGCTCAGTTAGTTCTTCCTCCCCTACCTCAATTTCCTCGGCATCTGAAAATAGATTTGTCACCCAATCTGGAATTACCATAAAAAACCCTCTAATTGCTCAGCCATATCTTTATGTAGCATATCCAAACTGTCACAAAAAACTTACAGATTATCATACTGTATCCCATCTTCTCTTCTGGCTCAGACAGACTCTAGCCTGGTCGATTGTAAATAAGCAAGCAACATGCTCAGGGGGCCCACCTTCAGGGACCCCTGCTACTCCCTTGCCCAGGGGTAGGCAACCTAAGGCTGGATCCAGCCCAATTGCCTTCTCAATTCGGCCCACAAACGGTCTGGGAATCAGTGTGTTTTTACAAGAGTAGAATGTGTCCTTTTATTTAAAATGCATCTCTGGGTTATTTGTGGGACATGGGAATTCGTTCATATTTTTTTTCAAAATATAGTCCGGCCCACCACATGGTCTGAGGGACAGCAGTGGACCGGCCCACGGCTGAAAAAGGTTGCTGACCCCTGCCTTTGCCTCTTAGTGCCCCCAAAGTAATCCCATTGGCCCTGGGGGGAGGTACCACCCACTTTGAGATCTGCTGAGTGAGACATCTATTACAAGGTTGCCATAGGTACAGCTAACACAGTTTAAAATACTTGATTTTCCTAAACTTGGGGTCCTCACTCCAAGAAAATTTTTTTGTCTCCCCTCTTTGTGTTCTCTGGAAACTGCAAAAGTTCTGTCTAGAACTGCCAATTCTTAATTAAATATTTTCTAGCATATTTCATGACTGGATTGTTTAAATGCAATAAAATTAATTACATTTAGAAACAGGAACCATCTTCCTAATCTTTCTCTCACACCCCCATAATCCAATGTAAAACCAGATTAAGAGATAAAGAACTCCACCTTTCTACAGTTTAAAACCCCAGGCAAAGATTGCCATCGAAATAAAAAAGGGCTTTTGGTGCTTCAAAAGAGGTGCTCAAAACCTGGGCTATCAAGTACTGTGCAAAACATCACTTTCACAATTTTTCCTGGGTGGAAGAAAACTGTATGAAATTAATGTGCATAGATTCACATGTATCCATTACACATACTTGCAGCCCAGAATTTGTGCATGTAGAATACACTTACTGGGAAAGCCACAGCCTTTCATAGCTTCTCAGTTATATATCCATCAATAGCACGTCCTTGCTAAATGGGCTTCATTCAGAAATGATAACCTCAAAGTCGGATATACAATGGATATATTTAAAACATGCTTTAGTCGTCTGTGCTGATGGAAATACTCTGGAGAGTTAAGGCTAATTGGAAAACATTTTCTAGACAAAAAACAAAGTGAAGAAATAATCAGTTTTGAATTGAGAGCTGAGAAGCAGAGCTCACTCCATTGGCTCGGCTGTGATAAGCCAGCTCTATCAGGAACCTTCTGCCTCTGAACTATGCCGGCCAGTCAATATGGGAACAACTGTCTAGAAATTGGCGTCTGAGTTTTGAGTTTTATTTTCCTCTCCTCTCACTGTTCCTTTTCCCTTTTGTGGAACGCCTTCCCTTCAGATGTCAAGGAGATAAGGAACTACATAATTTTTAGAAGACATTCTGTATCAGGAGGTTTTTAATGTCTGATGTTTTACTATGTTTTATATATGCTGTAAGCCGCTCAGAGTGGCTGGGGAAACCCAGCCAGATGGGTGGGATATAAATAATGTTTGCTTGTTTGAATGTAAGCCTGAGCATAGGGAGTGTCTTGTTTTGATTTCATGTAATCTGCAATGGGGGCCTTTTTTGTCTGGAGAGCGGAGTACAAATGCTCGAAATAAATAAAACAGAAAACTGAGAATCTCTTGCAGCAGAATGTGCAACTTTAATCTAGTTTGAGAAGTGCTGAATCAACCAACTAATGGAATATCCACATAAGTCCATTTTAAGGGCATTAGGTAACCTAAAGTTGACCCCCCCCCCCCAAATCCTGCAATGAACTTTAGCCCAGTAACCTGCTCTTAGATATCAGCTTCTATTGTCCAAATAAGCCATTTGCTTGACCATACAATCTCATTTAGCATAATAATTGTTTCTCGGTGTAACTGGAGTTTGTATTGTGGCTCCTGTAGCAATGTTCCACGTAAGTGAATACAGAAACAAGAGGAAGATTTATACTACTATTTTTTTTGGCAACTGCAGCTACAATTCCCAGTAGATGACAAACCCTTAGTGCATGTTATCTTCTTTTAAGTACTATTTCTGTTGTCCAAAACAGTAAAAGTGATTTAAACTGAAGTTCTTGCCAGATGTTGCATTTGCTTCCCATCTAGTAATTAAACATACATAGCGTTTTGCATTTTGGTTTAGTAAAATCTCTCTTTTCGACAGACTGAGGAGAAGCTTACGGCTCTGTTAAAGCTTCTTGCTGTAAATGCTGTACCATAATCACTGCTTTAATGCCCTCTGCCCCACCACTACCAGGAGCTACTGGGCCAGAAACATGGAAATGCAGCAAAACAACATGCAGAATAAAAAAAGGAATCAAAATTAGAAATCCATTTATCACCATCAACACAGCACCATTACACAGAAAAGGAATGCAATTTTAGAATACCATTACTAGGCAAGGGCTCTTAGCCTGCAGAGAAATGTGCATTGAACACAATGGAAATTAAACTAGATGCGTACAGAACTAAAATCATGAAGTAAATTAAATTAAAATAAAGTAAAATAAAATAAAATAAAATACATAACAATGAGTAAACTAAATAAAAAATGAAATTATTTATTCCCATTCATTGGTAACTTTGACCAGGGGCAGAAAACATGACTGACTAGAAGCCACACGAACAAACGGGGTTTGGTGATAATAGTAATTATTAAATTACCTCAAAGACTGAACTATGATCTAATTTACCTCAAACATTTTTTGTCCTCTCTTACCATGTTGTAACACAGAACACTATTAAGCTTTGCTGATTACAATGGAGACTTTGCTCTTCAAGTGAAATAGCTGGGATTTATTTTCTTAACCTGAGCTTGATATGTCCAGCGTTCAGGCTGTTTTGTCACTGTGGTAATATTTTCAACTTTGTGCAAACATTTGTTAACAGAAGAACAACATGTAATGATCTCCCTGGCTATGGCAAAAGGTTTTGAAGCAAGCTCACCAATAGCTTACAAGGCGGAGGAGCATTAGTCTGACACCGCAAGCACAAAGAAATACTTCATTATCTACATTTGGGATAAATCCTTTCAACGTGACAACAGTCAGAAGATCCATCAAAACAGCAGTCACATTCTAATGACTGCCTCTTAAACTTTTTGAATGCTGAGCAGCTCCGCTAGTAGCTAAATAGTAACCTACGTCATTGCCACTCTTCCAACATGGCAATAAACATTTGCAGTTTATTTTGGCATGTGATAAATACACAGAATTGAAGAAAGACTGTGTAAGTCTCATGCACAAAGAAAATCCACAAACCTAAATCTGTTTCTGAAGGTACTGGTGATAAAATAAACAATAAATAATATGCTAAATAGCATTTGTTTTTAATAGTAAGTGGTCTTCTATGATCCTTCCTCTACTGTGTATAGTGCATCACCGTACACTGATGGGCCAGGGTATAAATATTATTATAATTATATTATTATTATTATTATTATTATTAAAGAACATGGGAGTTAATGATTTTATTAGCCAGATATGATCAAATATCAAATCGGTGAAGTGTCTCTCCAGGATACAATTTATGAATTTACACATGGCGAATACTAAATACTACATACAGCATACATACCTATGTATTTCTATATTATTATATACCACAGATCTAAATACGTTGAAGTAAAAATGTTGAGTGCTTGAAACTATTTCATGAATGTCTTTTCTTTTTATTAAAGGTGTTTCTACCAAGAGATTCCCCTTCACATTGGCTAAAAAGACTGGTTCATCCACGTTTGCATGACTAAGTCACACGTTTGAAGGCTTCAGGTGTTCGCGTCGCAATGAAAATAAAACAGAAATATGTTGTTTTGACACTTCACCATGACCATCGCTGCCAGAGAAGTTTGGATTACAACAGAGGTATGAGACTTCTTGGAAACTGGCCATTTTATGTACACCTCCCTGCCTGGCTGGAAATCTGAGTGTCCATCAACATTCTTCCAGCGCAGCTCCATCCATGTTCAACAAGCACCTGCTTGCTTTGCAGAATGGAATGATGTTGCAGTGTAATGAAGCTGGGGAAAGCAGGAGAGGTTGTGGCAGATACAGTCTGCTGAGTATAAGACGACACAGGCTACATACATTTCCAAAGTACGCCGCAGCACGCATAGATAGTTTACAGCAAGTTAGTAATGAGATCGGTCTTTCCTTGGACCTACATGCTGAGAGAGGCACCCACGTGGGTTCCTTTGCTGGGGGGGGGGGAGGGGAGTAAAATAAATAAATCAGATGCCAGTCTTTTGATCAGAATGGAAGACCTCTTTTTTCCCACTGTCATCTCAACAACAACCAAAACCCTAACAAGATTAATCTAAAGTGAACTTGTGAGTGAATAGAAATTATAAGCAATGCCACTTCTTCCAACAATTAAATGAGCTGGAAATACTACTCTTGGCAAGTTAATATTCCTCATGAGGCCCTTTATGTTTCCTTTTACCTCTAGAATTGGTAAGAAGTCTTCTTTTGCCAAAATCAAGTACCACAATGTGGCTATGTCCGTCATAAAACATCTCAGCTGTAATATCATCTGTGGTCGTTGGCTGCAAAATGAACCACTGAATGAATGCAGTATTTTTATTTTTTTGCCTAAGCTGAAGATGCTGAGTATGCCCAACAAATGGGCTGATAGGAATCCCAAGCATGCATTTAAAGAAATCCAATTCAACTCTCTCGTCATGATTTTTAAAAAAGGAATGCGATGTGATTTAAGCTGAACCAAATATTGCTTCTTTAAACACATTTACTGTTCTAGCACCCAACAAATTTCAATATCTGCTGTTGTGAATAAGCTCCCAACCGATTACCCCAATGCAAATGTGAACCTTAAAAAGATCCCCCATTACTGCCACACAGTATATCTACTAGAACAGGTCTATTTGTAGGGAACGACATAAGTGAAATATCAATGTAGACTTCTAAATGAAAACAACGACCACCAAATACTCATGTTACGAAAGTATTTTTCATTATGGACCAATATAGTTTGATCATAGATTATTTAACTAACTATGTATTAGGTAAAGGTAAATGTACCCCTGACCGTTAGGTCCAGTCGTGGCTGGCTCTGGGGTTGCGGCGCTCATCTCGCTTTATTGGCCGAGGGAGCCAAAGTACAGCTTCCGGGTCATGTGGCCAGCATGACTAAGCCGCTTCTGGCGAAACCAGAGCAGCACACGGAAACACCTTTTTTCTTCCCGCCAGAGCGGTACCTATTTATCTACTTGCACTTTGACGTGTTTTCGAATTGCTAGGTGGGCAGGAGCTGGGACCAAACAATGGGAGCTGACCCTGTCATGGGGATTCGTACTGCCGATCTTCTGATTGGCAAGCCCTAGGCTCTGTGGTTTAGACCACAGCGCCACCCGCATCCCTTTTAGTTATGTATTAAGCTACACATAAAACAATCCTACTAATTTTAGCAAAGCCACATTTTCCCCTATTGTTTCCAATAAAAGGGCTAGAAGCCATGGATAAATAAATTTCAAAACTAACACATCATGTTAAAATTAGAATGCTATACATGCAAGAGGCTCACGGGGGGGGGGGGCAGAATTCTAACCAGAGCAATGCCTTTCAGGTCTCCATGTTGATACAAGGTCAATTAACTCACAGGGCAAGGCTGTTCCTGACACTTTGTCCAACTATGTTTGAAAATTGCTTCCTCTTTATTGTGAGATTTTAGGTATTTTTAATCTCTAATCTTTAGTGTGGGCATCTCTATTTGCCAGGCTTGTGGTCTTATCTAAAGCTTTAAATTTCAGATATATATTTTTTAAAAAAATTATGCATGCTAACTATTCTAGTGTCATTTGTTTTTTTCTATATTTAATTCAACCAAGAGCCTCTATATGAAATATTCCCCCTTGCATTCCCTGATGCCTCAGACATTCAGCTTGCCAAAGAATTGAAGTCTGGTGCTCAAAAAAGAATAAGCAGATCTCTACTGCATATTTTTGGCTGAATGCGCTCTTGAAAGATAAACCTAGAAAGATTAAATTAGAGATTTCAGTTCCTAGTTAGACACACTGTGACCTTTCCTTTCCGCCACACAATCTGTTATTGTGGTGATACATTTCTCTCATTCCTACCCCCCTTCCCTGATGGCTGGGTAAGGAATCCCTGGACTGTGTGTACTATCCTGGATTCTTCCACCCAAGAGGCAGTTGTATTTGTTTTCCTCCAGCTTCTTTCCTTCAACTCCCACATTATATGACCCACATGAAATTCAGAGAACCCACAAGAGGAGACGGATGCAGTGTGTGTGTGTGGGGGGGGGAATCTGTGTTTCAAGGTAGCCAGAAGCTAGGAAATGGAGCAAAATACAGCATTTGTAACTCAGGAAAAGATAAGAAAGAAAGAAAGAAAGAAAGAAAGAAAGAAAGAAAGAGTTGCTTGAATCAGCTTTTGCAGCAAGTAAAGCCTGCTATTGTGTGGAACTGTTTCCTTTGCTGGGGAAAGTGAAATACAAAATCTTAATTCAAAGTATATGCAAAATTTTAAAGAAAAATAAGGATAACGTGCCATGAATGCAGGGTATTATTGAGATGATTTTAAAAGTCTTTTGTCAAAGCACCACTCACATATTGTTTTTGCATACTGAAAACTCTCTCTCTCTCTCTCTCTCTTTCTCTTTCACACACTCTCTCTCAAATCCTGCGGGCCTCCAAGATTACCAAACCTAAAGAAAAAAACCCATGAAAACGTGTCACCAACAGACATTAAATCACTCTTTCCTAGTTGCTACCTGATGGCATCCAATTCAATTGCTGCCTACACTCTCTGACACCACCACAGTACGATGTTGGTATCTGATACATGCTTAACACCTGCCCTACCAAAGCTGACCCTAAATGAACCTGCTATGTGATCCCAGGTCTCAGTTGCTTCATGCACCAAACTGGCACTTTACTGCAATCTTTTTCTGTTGAGAGTGTTCATGTCCTATAATATGTAACTTTATTCATACTTGTTGTTCTCCTGGCCTTAACGCAGGGGGGTTTAACCAAGATCTGGCTATTTCTTTGATCGAGCTCAGACACTAGAAAGCGCTCATCTTTTACTTGGTGCATCCTTCTTCCCTATGAACACTAAAGTATTGAGAGTCAGAGTCACTTCACAGGGAGGCCCACAAACGGTTGTTGGATCTGGATGGTTCTTCCTACTCAAAAATGGGACACAGTACGCAAATCAGGCTCTTTTGTATACATACGTGAAGATATCCACACATACAGATATCCACACAAAGTGTTACTTTAGGTGTGTGCTGGCTGCGTGAACACTGACTGCTCCTCCATATAAGGACCAACATCACCCATTAACTATATATAGCGGGCCAAAATTATTATCGTTTCTATGCAAAGATCCAGCCATTGCTTATCGGATGGCTCTTTAATTTTTGACTGATTATGAGATCGTGAGCATGATGAGACTAGATACAAGCTAGATAATTCAGAGACACATGCACTGTATTTGCCATTGGAGAGGGTGGCTGTTTCCACCTGCTTAGCCCTGAGAGCCTCCATAAGGGAGCCGCTTGCGGAAGAACTCTGTGTAGACTTTCTAACCTTTTGAGGCATAAACGACAGGAGGGGAGGATGCTTGCCAGACACTAATATCATCAGGTATGGGGCCGCTTTTGAACAGGAAGTTATTTGATATTTTCTTTGACCCATTGGTGGGCTTCATACTCCCTTAAATTTTTATCTCTGTTTATTTGTGTGTGTTAATGTTGTACTAAGGGCATTATGTACTGTTATTGTACTACAGTATTGATACTGCTTTCTATGTGAAGTGCTTTGCGCAAAGATGAATTTCTGGGAATATGTGGTATATAAATAAATTGACTCTGTCTACTTAGAAGCCTGTTAAACTCATTGAATAGAGTTATTAGTATACAAAACCAACATTCATTGGCAATTCTGAAATAAAAACTAATAGGTGCTCAAAAATACTGATGGCCTCCAGATGCGAGAACAAATTGCCGATAAAAATCACAACATCTGGACCATCATTGAATCGGCAATGATCAATTAAGCAATGCAGAACGCTCAAATCCAGCACAGAACACATAGTACATTTTAGTTTAATAAGTGCAAAGTTGTAGTTAAATCCAGTGAGACCTAGGCACATTTATGTTATAAAATCAGTTCTGTTTAATCCTCATCCAGATTTTTATATCTAACAGCATCCTTTTAAACTGGGTGCGGATTGAAAGGATAAAGCCTAATTTCCAAAGGAGGTTCTGCATTGCTTCAAAAAGCCAGGGCAGAAAATACATTTGGGCAAGCTCTCTCTCTTCCTTCTCTGTCGGTCAAGATTATTTCCAGTTCTTTCTTTGGAACAACAACCTCTCTGCATCTTCTTCCATTTCCTCTAAAGCTTCCATCTTAACTACATATTGCAAAGCACAATAGAACTAGTCTGCTTTTATAGTTAAGGACTGCAGCTTTATGACTGGCTTCACCATTAAAACGGCACATATCCCTACAGGAACAGATACAAAAATAAAGTATATAGAGATCTGACATTAACTTCCAAGAGATGACTGTAACAAATACAGGGTGTGTGTTGCGGCACAAGGGAGCCAAAATTAAGCCATCTCCCGTGTCCCTTCAAAGAACCATCATATAAAAAGGCAGAGCAGGCAGTGGGGAAGGGAGAGAATTATTATTTTTTAAAGCCAATACAATCTTTACTGTCCCTCACTACAGGTTCCCTTTTATTTTTGTCTATTACCACCGCTGGAGAAGAGAAGTGAGGTGCATTCAACATAGGAAGGACTGCAGCTCAGTGAAAGAACCTGCTTTATAGGCCAGTGGCAATACTTGATTCAACAGTACCTCAGGCTGGTTATGTACCTGAACAGGTAGAAGCCTACCTTCCTGGTCAAATGTACCACTTACCAACACAACTATCACCTTATACATGAAATAAATAAATAATCTACTGAGCTTCAGTTTACTGGCTTTCATTCAATACATCACAGGTTCTAAACAGCAGTTCAACGCTTCCTCAGCCTCTCAATTTTGCATCCCAAAACTGTTTAGTATTTTCACCAGATTCTAATGGACAGGATCTAGAAGCCTCCTTTGCCTTCTGACGAAATCTGTGCAGTCTCAGAATGAAGGTTTGTATTGGTCCTGAAACCTGCACTATTCCACTGCAGTAAACTTGGGGCATTTGTGAGGTTAAAGACTGCAAAACTGTCAAAATTAATCTGGGTAGAAGTCACCTAGTATAGAGATGAATTCACATGTGCTTATATACAAATTACAACATTGTGCATGTCCGAAAGCCATGATGAGTAAGATGAGCTTTCATGTGTCACCAGTGAAGGTTTGGAAGGATAGTAGTTAAAATGGCACAAAGCAGTTGTCATTTATCAGCTCAGGGAAAGCATATCCAGAGAAGATAAATTACCAAAAGGATTATGAACACAGGGGATGCCATCAGGCTTAGGAACATTTGAAAGAAAATAACGCCATGACGGAAAGTTGAGCTCCACTACGTTGTAAGTCCTGGGTTAAACAATAAAAAAGTACAACTTGGCAACGTTCCCAATGGAAAAACCTGTTGAACAACAACAACAAAAACTTCAGTTGAAAGAAAATGCCCTATATTGATTAATATGCTTACACAAGCAGATATTTCTATAGGCTCCAATTCTAAGCAAACTGAGATGCTTATAATAGCTCTAATCCATGGGACACTGAGAAGTAAATGTGTGTAGAATCAAGGTGCTAGCTGTAAAAAAAATTGAATGTAGACACATAAACAAATCTATCACCAGCATTACAGACCACCATGGAGATATTAAAACTTGTAAAGTGTCTCACAACTACGTCAGTCCCATAGTAGCAACTCTTCTAAACATTTTCCCATACAGAATTCCATTTTTCATTCCATTTACCAATTATCTGTAAGCATGTGCAAGGAGTTATCTAGCATAAATGAGAGAGGGCAACCGATAATACTGTTTCATTTATTTTCTGAGTCAACAAGTGCCCAGTTGTGACAGATCAGAGAACAGAATCACCACCATATCAAGTCTTGTTCAGAAAACAACAAATGCACAATTCTTTTAAATATTCTCATAATCACTCTATATAACCTGGAGACATCAACACCAGCAAACATTGGTTATTGCTGCAACTGACCATAAATTTTTAAGTTTCTACAGCAGGGTGCAACATCCCAGTACCACTGCCAAGATTTAAAACGTTTTTGGAGTTAAACTAAAACATGTATAAGATGAGTCATTGTGGCAGCAGAATATGTACTGTAGGAAATAAAAGCTCATTTACAAGTGGGAGAAACATACTCACACTTCATTGGCAGTAATTTATGGAACTTCCGCTCCAGTAAACATAATATTTAAAATTCTGGAAAATGTGTCTGTTTTCACTGCTGTTTTTATTCACAGATCTAGGATGACATTACAAAACAGTCCTTATGGTTGCAGCGTTTCTTTAAATTGTTTTTAAAATTATCAAATGGCATCCAGCAGTTTTATGAACTGCCATGGCTTTGCTTAAGATCAGAGTAAAGAGGGGAGCAAATTTTCCCAAGGAAGAATAAACTGAACAGGTTATACAAACACACGCACCATTACTTCAGTTAATTGGCCCAGAGTTTGTTTTTTCCAAATAGAATTCCAGCTTTTAATTCTTTGTAAGCTCTACAATTCACTTCCGGGGCTCCCATTTAGCTCTACACGACAAAATAAATGGGCTGCAATTGGGAAAGCTCTGGAGGAGAGACAATAACCCACTTCTGCAAGCACAGATTTAACCCTAATTCCAATGTCGTCCCCCAACTTGAGTACACATCTTTACTTGGTTTGTTATAGGCGCATTGCTGCCACTCACTGTCACACAAAAAGCCAGTGCAGTGTGTGGTGGCAAAAAAGGGCAGGGAGGGGAGAGGAAAGAAAACAGAGAAATAATGTGTGCCATCCTAAATTCCTTGAAGGAAAATCAAGATTAGAATGTAGTTTAAAAACACACACACACAAAAAACACACACACGGTAAAGTGCTGTTATTGGAGATGCCTCTACGTTCTTGATACCAGGAGGGTGGAGGAGCCAACTCCATTGATAAAAAAACCCATGTCCCTGCAATATACAGGAATTCACTCTGACCCTTTGTCTGTTCCACCTATCATAATGATGGACATGTTACTAGGGTAATATAAACACACAGCTAAAAGAGTAACATAAACATAGTTGTGAAAACAGACAAGAGTTAATCATGCTGCTATTATATACCATCAAGCCGCAATTTGTTTTAAATAGCATTTCAAGGGCTATGAAAAGTAAGTTAAATCACCACTAGGATGCATTGTCCTAATCAAAGGATTAAATCAAGAAGGGCATAGAATACTGAAGAAGTCCAGTAGCAGCACAGATGAAAAATACACTAAAAGGTAGCCCAGCAAATAAAGCAATATAATCAGAAGATTAACCTGCAGTGTATATAATAGGGAATACTACATAAGAATATGTAGAAATTGAGTGGTATCCAGCTAAACGGTTCCACTAGCACAAGGACTTTTAGTTGTATAATGGAATTTCTCTATCTTCTCTTCTTTTCATGTGCACCCCCTAAATCTACTCCAGAAGGCTAGAAAACCTCCATAGCAGATTTAGAGGGTGCATGGGGACATTCCATTGTGTAGCTAAAAGTCCTTGTGCTAGCAGAACTGTTTAGCTGTATACCGCCCTATGTTCAAAAATATATATGCTCACAACTTGAGGTTAACTTTTAAAATTTTAAGTGCTCCAGTTAGTTTTACCATGAGGGTAGGATATAACTGTCGTGTGTCTTTTACTGATTTATTATCTGAATCAATCAATAATAAAATAAAGAAATCACCAAGACTAACTGTTTTTAACCAGCAAGTCACACACATTTCTGTGGCTGGGCAGGGCATATTTTATCCATCTATGTCTCCTTAGGCTCAGAAGTAAACTGAGCTTCAACAGTCTTATCTTCAAACATATTATTATTTTTTTGGCAAAAGTTGAAGAAACAGGCACATTAGCTAGAAATATAGCTTGATGCTATTTTAAACACCATAACCGCCTTCCAATTTAGTCATTTTAAAATCATGGGATACTCACAGGTCCTGCAACATCACAAGATGTACAACCTGGTATCTACTGAAATTGTCTTGTTTCCACTCTGGTTAACCAGGGAGCCACTCTAACTTTTTCTGAAGTTGTAAATTGTTAAGTTTTGAAATGTCCATCTGTACATGTCAAAATATGAATTTTAAAATGAAGATAGAACACTTCCAAGTCCAACTGTGTCTTTTGCCATTAGAAGAACAATCCATCACAGTTTATCCTAGATCAGGACACATTTTTCCTTAAAACATAAACACGAAAAGCTCACTAATTAAGGATCTCTCTGTATGTAGTATGCAATGCTAGTACTATTCAGGAGTAGACCCACTGAAGTTAATGGAAATGGCTAACTTAGGTTCATTTAATTTCAATTGCTCTACTCTTGAGTAGGCCTTAGCTGGATACAGCCAAATAACTCTGCCCTCCCTTTTTGCACCTCTGTTAAGATGGCTAATCTGTTTCAAGATTGCTGAGCCTGCCTATGCAGAAACATGCCTCAGATTTAGAAGGTACAGTGGTACCTCGGGTTAAGTACTTAATTCATTCCGGAGGTCTGTACTTAACCTGAAACTGTTCTTAACCTGAAGCACCACTTTAGCTAATGGGGTCTCCTGCTGCCGCTGCACGATTTCTGTTCTCATCCTGAAGCAAAGTTCTTAACCTGAAGCACTATTTCTGGGTTAGTGGAGTCTGTAACCTGAAGCGTATGTAACCCGAGGTACCACTGTACTGGTTTTAACAATGTGCTTGGTGTTGGTGCCCAATTGATTAGCCACCAAAGATAATATTGGCGAGTCTCCAACTTCTAAGTTAATATACATATATGAGGGGCATCTTTCCTGTGCAAAACATTCTGCAAAGGAGACCATTCTGCAGGTGCCATAGCAATCAGATATCACCAGGAGAGAGCCCTCTCAATACAGACACCCCAATCACGGAACTCTCTCTCTAGAGCTGCTTATCTAGTGCCTAGAATGAAAAGTTTTAAGTGTCAGCCATTTGCACACACATTTAGTTGATTTTAGCCATTTGATGCCATGTTGATGCTGTTCCTTTCATGGTTTTATTATCTTTTTCTCTAAGCCACTTTGAAAACTGATTTGAAATTACCGGAGGGGAGGGGGTGAGTTAAATAAATATAATAAATAAATGCTTCCTTTTGTTTTTTACAGGTCAAGTTTTTGCCCCACTGCTTTTTAATAAGCCTTTGTTTTCCTTTTTAAAATAGCAGTTGGTGAAGCTTGCCTTGGATTAAAGCCAAGGCCAAAAGCTCAGCCCTCTGGATTCTAAGCTCAGTCTTTAGAGAGGAAGCGTTAAACACCATTCTTTTAAAGAAGAGAGATGCAAAGACTTTATGCCAAATCCTGGTACTGTTGCATTTTGGGTTCTTTGTCCATCTGTATGTAAATGTGTTGCCAGAGTGGTAGCTACTCTGAGTCAGAAGCCAATGTGAAAGCAAGTCATCTTACACCTCTTAAGCAATAAAAAACCAAACCACAGAAGTGCTGGGGAGTTCCGAGTGCAGAAAACATATCCTTGAATTTGTGACAGTGTGACTTCCAAGTCTTCCAAGAGACCCTCTTATAGGCACAGTACTTACATGGACATTTTCTTAAGTCAGTTTTCCTTACTGTCAAGGGCAAAAAACCCCACAAAGGGAGGCAGGGACAGCTTTATTTGTGGAGATATTTTCCATAATTGTTGCCCAAAGAAACTGTGAAAGCAAAACCAAAGCAAAGCAAAGCAAAGCAAAGCAAAGCGACAGGTTCCAGCTACAGACACTAGACATTATGGAACATTGAGGCAAAGCAAGGTCAGAGGTTGATGCTCCTTCTGCACTATTGCCGAAAATTTCTATGCTGCTAGATCAATGCATTCATGTCCCATTAATAATAGTCGAAAGGGTCTCTTTTTGTCAAAAAGTCAAATGCCACTTTATCGTAGAATGAAGGCAGGCTAGCCGGCAGTTATCACTATTTTCAGACTGCATGGATTTTTCTTTAACTTTTAGATTCAGGATCAGACTGTTTCACAAATAAATGGAGGCTTATGGAGACAGTTAAAGAGTACATCTCCTGCAATAGTTAGTACACAGGCTGCCTGCGGACTGTCTCGCTAGAGTGGTGCATGCTCTGGTTATCTCCCGCTTGGACTACTGCAAATGTGCTCTATGTGGGGCTACCTTTGAAGGTGACCTAGAAACTACAACTAATCCAGAATATGGCAGCTAGACTGGTGACTGGGTGTGGCCACCAAGAACACCTAACACCAGTCTTGGTACATTGGCTCCCAGTACGTTTCCGAGCACAATTCAAAGTGTTGGTGCTGACCTTTAAAGCCCTAAATGGCCTCGGCCCAGTATACCTGAAGGAGTGTCTCCATCCCCATCGTTCTGCTTGGACACTGAGGTCCAGCTCCGAGGGCCTTCTGGCGGTTCCCTCACTGTGAGAAGTGGAGTTACAGGGAACCAGGCAGAGAGCCTTCTCAGTAGTGGCGCCCACCCTGTGGAAAGCCCTTCCTGTGGAACGCCCTCCCATCAGATGGCAAGGAAATAAACAACTATCTGACTTTTAGAAGACATCTGAAGGCAGCCTTGTTTGGCGAAGTTTTTAATGTCTGATGTTTTATTGTATTTTTAATATTTTGTTGGAAGCTGTGGTTCCCCAGAGTGGCTGGGGAAACCCAGCCAGATGGGTGGGTTAAAAATATACTATTATTCTTATTCTTATTATTCTTATTATTATATCTCTTATTTAAATTTTTATGTGGTTTTAATTGTGTGTGTGTGTTTGTGTGTATATATAAAATTGTTGTAAACAGCTCTGATAATTTTAATGGAATTGTGGTATACTGGTATTTTAAAGAAATAAATAAATGTTAACTAGTCCAGTGATAGTCCATAAGGCATACTATCCAAACAGCATTATAACAATTATACATGCTTAGGAAGTTGAGGTAGTTTTAATCTCTTTTAGCATGTTAACTTTTGCCTGTTTTAAGGTACTGTTGTAAATTTTTCTTGATTTTCTTCTTTTATTTTTGAAGGGTTTCCCCCCCCAATCAAGTGGTGTATAAATTTTATGAAATAAATAAATAAAGATAAAAAATAAACAGCATGCTTAAAAGTCTGCCCACAGTTTCAAACATAGTTTTACAATTACAGTGGACTGTCGGGTTACGTTACCTTTGGGTTGCGAACGTGGCAAACCCGAAAGTGTATACTTCTGGGTTTCGCCGCACACGCATGCGCAGAAGTGCTCTATCGTACCATGCGCATGCGCAGAAGCGGTGCCTCATGTTGTGGACTTTTCAGGGTACGTAAAGACTCCCAGAACGAATTAAGTTCGTATCCGGAGGTCCACTGCATTTTGAAGTTCTAAGAAGATATTCCATATGACAATGCTACATCTTTTTGATGGGGTCTGTGATGCATTTGTAACCTATAAAGTATACATGTTTAAATGCATAGCTACAGTTGAACACGGGGACACAGGTGGTGCTGTGGTCTAAACCACAGAGCCTAGGGCTTGCTGATCAGAAGGTTGGCGGTTCGAATCCCCTTGATGGGGTGAGCTCCCGTTGCTCGGTCCCAGTCCCTGCCAACCTAGCAGTTTGAAAGCATGTCAAAGTGCAAGTAGATAAATAGGTACCGCTCCGGCGGGAAGGTAAATGGTGTTTCCGTGTGCTGCTCTGGTTTGCCAGAAGCGGCTTAGTCATGCTGGTCACATGACCCGGAAGCTGTACGCTGGCTCCCTTGGCCAATATAGCAAGATGAGCGCTGCAACCCCAGAGTCGTCCACGACTGGGCCTAATGGTCCCTTTACCTTTTTACAGTTGAACACACATTGTGGAGTTTGATAGCTCATGAAGTGGTCACCAGCTTGGATTGAAACATGTTTAGTGCATGCAGGACAGCACTTCCAGTTGCACAAAGGAGGAAGGGTCCCATGATTTACACCAGATCTCCCATCCATCTGCAGCCCTCTGTGCCATACCTTGCTCAAGAGTCTCCCAACCCTGGATTGCCTTTTTGGGGTGGTTCTGGGGTAGTATGTTTCCTATTAATCATTTGCTGGCTAAGAATTTATTTTTCCTAATTAGTGTTTGCCTTACGTTGCCTTACACCTTACATCAACAGATATTTTCCTTTTCTGGAACTTGTGATTCGCCGTAAGCAATAGTTTTTGCAATTGCATAAGCACAGAGAAAACAGCTTTTCGGGCTGATGTAAGCGATCAATTACTTCAGAGAAAGACAAGATTGTATAACTAAAAAGAGCAGATTTTAAAATCTATGTTTGAGTTTTAAAATATGCAGAGTTACTGTTCAATTATGATGCTAATTTTGTTTCTGTTTTATAAACAGGTATTGGACTAAGAAACTGATTTATTAGTCACCAGAATAAAGTTATAATAATTGCACTGACTAGAAAATTAGGTGTTAGTTACACTCTTCATCACATGGTTTGCCAGAGGCATTTCTTAACTGCCAGTCAGGCTAGGCAACATTCCATATACTTTGTATAAACAAATATGTTTGGAAGTTTCAGATTATACCAACATTGGTAACTAGGGCTTGGTTAGCAACAATACACTTTTGTCTTTTTGATCAGTCCTGAACACCCCAAGTACGTGCTCATACAAAGAAATGTTATTTATTGATTTGGCTGCATGTTACATCTAATCCTGTTGAATCAGGATGGCTTCAAATAATTAACACTTCCTTTCCCTTTGGTTCTGCCCTCTCCCCTCCGTATGACCATGGGTCTTTGGGATACCTATGCTCTAAATTATTTTAAGATATGAATGTATGGGGGAAATGAAACAAGTTAGCAAACAATGGCTGACATCAATGACCACACAGTTGCACAATAGAAATCCCCTGGCGCCTCACGACTTCCACTTTCTCCTTTCCCTCTTCCAGCACCCTTCCCCTGTGGCGCGAGCACACACACACAAACAAACAAATCTGACCGGTGAGCTGGCTGCAGGGGAGCGAAGAAGAAGGAGAAGCCACATTGCATGAGCAAATACGGGTTTTTGTTTGATAAAAGTCAGCAAAAATACAAGGTTAATCCAGAAGTGCTTTGTTTAATGATAAAATGACTACAGATATTATTTTTAATGGACAATTTGCTAAAAACCAACGTACATATAAGCATGTTTCCCAGAAATGCTGATTTCAAGTTTAATAATATATTAACAACCTTATATGTCATAATTTTATTTTGACCTAATTCAGTTGAGACATCCTAATCATTAATTTATACTCTTTACTGCTTTATATGCAAGAAAATCAAATAAGACATGTCACACTTTAGAAAGAGACCAGAGACCAAAAACATATTAGTATATATTCTTTAAAAAAGAAGCTTACTGATATAAAAAGCTTTCACATAAGCACAAAACTGTCATTAACATCTGTCATAAAATTTCAAAATGGATTTACTTTCACATCAAAAGCCAAGTGATGTTAGTCAGTAATAAAAGATGCTACACTTTTATGTCACCACTTGCAGTCTTATGAAAATCTCATGACAAATATGAAAATGACCGACAATAAACCAAGACTGTCTGCCAAGTTCTTTCTCAAGAGAAGAGAAGTGTTCAATAGCATGACTGCTGTGTCAAAAGCTGTGGCACAGATTTTATCGTAACACTGATATAACAGCCTTATGAATGAAGCAATAAGTGACTTCTGACTTCCTATCTGGTAAGAATTTCCAGCTGGCAAGCTGAGTGAGAAAAGGGGCTCTAAGGTTGAAGGAGCTAAGAACAAGGAGCCATGAGGTTGAATGACTAAAAGAGTGGGACAGAGACAGCAGTTAACTACCTAAAAAAGGTTGTTATGCAGACAAATTAACAGTTGTAGTGCAGTATGTCCATATTGTCAATAAACAGAATGTTCCACAGCTTAGCACGGAGAGCCAAAGGAAATCTCTAATCTTTGCTAATGGATTCAAGATGCCAATAAAGACAACAACTACCAAACTACAGTTCAGGCAAATATACATTCGTTGGGAAGTTTACTTTTTTCTGCTAAATTTTCAAATGGTTTACTAGAAACCTGGCTTTTCCAATTCTTCGCTCCCAATAACAATTTACACTAGTTAGCTTGTCAGAGATCTAAATATGACAGCCTGGACAGGGTGAAAAGAGAAGCTCAAGCTGTCAAGCACAGTGACACCTCTGAACAAGTAGTTTGAAACCAGAAACCTCAACTTTATTTGTACAAATGTTTTAAGTCTCTTTTTAAATAAATGTGAAAGGAAAAAGAAAGGTGAACGTACTTACTGTTCTAAAAGCTGCTCATGTTTTCCTAAAGCATCTTTTTCAGCTGCAATAGCTCTTTCTCTCTCAGTCACAGCATTATCTCTGGCTTCTCTTAAATTTCTGAAATTCAAAAGTGTTTCAGAGTAAATGTTCCTTTTATTCTCTAGTATATTTTCACAAGTTATGGTACTGATCTAGTTTTTCTGTAACTGAGCTCCAACAGGGGGAAATCTGGTTATGTGCGTACGTTTTTCTTTCCATGCTTCGTCCACCAATCCCCTCAAAATTTCATAGAAACTTCTGTTATGTATATAGATAGAATACTAGCTTATTAATTCCATTTATGAATCGCTTCCTATGAAATATCTCAAAAAGATTAACAACACCATCAACAATAAAAACCATACAACTTCATTACTTATATAAAAACCGATTCCAATCTAATGCAGATACAAATTGGGATTAAGGATCTCCACTTAGAAGGCTTGTTGAAAGGTAGGTGTAATAGCAACAGATCTGTCAGAGAGTAGAACTTTGCAGGGGTGTAGGAAAGGAAACTCACAAAGAGCTCAGGAACAGGGAAGCAATGAGATTTTGCTAGTAGTAACTGGAAAGACCTAGCATCTAAAAGCTGAGAAGCAGAATGGTAAGGTCTTCAAGATAAGACAAGTTAACATCAGGGAACTATAGCAATAAAGGATAGGGGATAGAAGATACCTGGAAGAAGGCTATATGAAAAAGGGAAATGGTAAAATAGTTGGAAACTGTGGGCAAGAAGGGTGGAGAGAAACCACAAACAGGGTCTAGCAAGTGTACCGTGAAGCCACAAGTGGGCAAAGGAGGCCAAAGAGATGGATTTGGTCCCAAGTCACAATGTGGAATTGCTGTGCAGATCACATCCTTGTCCATCTAGGCTAGCATTTTCTTGCCAAGGTATGAAAGAAACCGTCCCCTCCTGTTTTCTGGAGTCAAATGTGTGTGTTTGTGTGTAATATATATGAAGGTTCCATTTACCTAACATAATTAGCATCAGCTGATAATACACTGATACCATGTGTGAAGATAACTAATATATTTTTTACCCACCCAAGGCAGGGGCCATCGCCACATTTTCCTCAAGTCCTCGCTGGAACAACTCTAACCAGACAGGCAGATACGGTATACATCTTCAATCTATACTGTACAAAATATGGCATATGACCTATGATATAGAAATCCTTGTACCGGTAGACAATGCTTTTTTTCTTTAAAGGAATGCACATATAACATATACTTCATTTTATATACTCTGTATTTATTAGGGTTGACTTGGAATTGGGGTGTGTGTGTGAATTTTAGACATTTTTATAACTCTGTAGTGTCACATGGACCTGAGATTCATTGTATGGTATTCTGGATTGCCTATTTCAGTACAGTGGCACCTGCCCTGTGAAGCACACTTATCACTGAGGTCAGACTGGCAACCGACATAGGTTGTGAAGCACCCAATAAAATATAAACAATTTTTCTAGACGGTATAAACAATTAGGCGTTTTTGCTTTGTTTAGGATTGTGGTATTTATTTTAATGTATACCACTGTGGTACCATTTTGGTGTTTCGTGGCTTATACCCTTGCCTGATAACTACCGTATTTTTTGCTCTATAAGACTCACTTTTCCCCTGCTAAAAAGTAAGGGGAAATGTGTGTGCGTCTTATGGAGCAAATGCAGGCTGCGCAGCTATCCCAGAAGCCAGAACAGCAAGAGGGATTGCTGCTTTCACTGCGCAGCGATCCCTCTTGCTGTTCTGGCTTCTGAGATTCAGATTTTTTTTTTCTTGTTTTCCTCCTCCAAAAACTAAGTGCGTCTTGTGGTCTGGTGCGTCTTATAGAGCGAAAAATATGGTAAATACGCCCCCCCCCTCAAGAGTAGGTAGTAATAATACAATTGCAATCCCCTTACTCACTCAGGTGCCAGCTAGACTCATTTTTTAAAATAATATTTTTTATTATTTTTAGCATACAAAATTTTTTAAAGCATACCACACAAATTATTATACATATGTCCTTGTTTGGACTTCCTTCAGCATCTCTGATAGCCTTCCGTCTTGATTATTTCTCCTGCAATTCTTAACTTAATATTGCCTTTACCTTTTCTAACAAATCATTTCTCCCTTCCCATTTTTACAATATTTCTTAAATTACTCCTCACAGAACTTCTTGTAGTCCTACAAACGTAATCTGATCATCACAAATACTTTTCAGATACTCAGTAAATTTAGTCCAGTCTTTGGTAAACCTCTGGTCCCGCCGGTCTCGGATCCTTCCTGTTAGCTTGTCTAATTCTGCGTAGTCCATCAATTGGTGCCAGCTAGACTCATATTCTGAGTCTATAGTGCTGATTGGTTGCTATGTGATAACATCACGGGAGGCAACTAACCTAATTCAGAGTGAGGGCAATGCAATTCAGGATGAATTACCCTCACTCTGAATAAATTTCACTTGTTTTCCGTAATGCCATCACAAATCTGATTGGCTGATTGAAGAACATACTGTTCCCAGAATGAAGGCTGAAATGTTAAAGCTTATCAAAGCTACTGAAAAACCCCTTTCATGCTAAAATATTTGTATCACAGCCCTACTATTCTTAGTTCTTCCTAATTTGAGACCTAAACTTTCTTAAGCCCTAGCTCCTATATTAAATTTATGCTCATAATATCAAATATTCACCTATTTTATGAATATGTGTTTTAACATGGCAGTTGTTCAGAGATTTCACCTTTGAAGTTTCATTGTTTCTTTTGAGGGGGAGAAATGCTGCATTAACAATTGCTATTTTTAGATCAAAAAGCAGCTCTCATTTAGCTATAAGGCTTTTAAGCTTGAAACACTAGGCTCAATTCTCACATTACTTTTTGATGTGGGTGCTGCTTCACAAAGTGACTTTACCATATCATTGTCATGTGGTAAATATTTCATGCGAATGCTGTTTATTCTGATGTGGTATGCTAGATGTCATGGTGTAAAATAATAATCAAATGAAACACTTCATGACAATTATGTTTTAGATCCACCTTCTCCATTCTGGCACCCCCCAAATGTTTTATTGGATCATCCCTCACCACTGGCCAGGATTGGGGTGGTGTTCACCCTCATCCCAAACACCGCCTCACTGATTTTACTATTAACATCCCTTGCCTATAAAACAGAAAATTTAAAAGTGGTGCAGATTTATGTAACTACTACAAGATGAAAAAGTCAGACTCTGTTGCCTTATGTACAAATGTCGTACAGGCCTTCAAATACCATTTCATGAGGAGAATTTTCCTAACAATTTACCATTTTAAAGTGGTCTGTATCTAAAATATAAAATAAATTCTCAGAGGAAAACATTTTATGGTCAAAAGTTATAGATGGTTAGGTCTGTTTTTACTTTCTTTGAATAATGGTGTGTGCTCATCTGCCAAATAAGAATAATGGGGAAACTACAACTAAGCCAGTGAACAACAGCAACAAGAAACAGGGAAACTAAAAACACAAAGGGATTCAAAAATATCAAGTGAGATGCAACTGAGGAACACTTTCCATTGTGACAAGGCTGATTTGTATATTTCCAACAACAAATAAATAAATAGAACAGCAGCGCATTCATTAAATGAACAATCAAATATGTATCCTCTAAGTCACTTCAGGTGCATTTGTGTAAATTTTTAGGTGTACATCCTACTCTGATTCTTAATCTTACTAGGATTGATTCACACATCACATTTTCTAAGTGTACACTTTAAAGTATTTTAAATGCAAAGAAAGTAACATTGAATGCAACAAACAGTTATTTGCAAACATGTAACACTCAGTAGGGTGCCAATAATGCCTTTGCACTCAGTGTCAAATCTAGGTTTGCTGTTTTGTAATATGTGTAAAATGGCTCAACGCAACATTTATAAGCCCAGACGCATCTTCAAGAACATTGCAAGGGATGTTATAACAATCCCTTGAGAGAAATTTGCTTTGCCTCAAACCAGAAAAAGGGATCTTATATTATCCTTGGAAAAGGATCTAATGCATATGGCTTTATGTCAGCAAAACATTCTGTATCTTTCACAAATATATGTAATGCTAATGAGCTAAGGAGACAAACTTTCTGGGTTCCGCCTTCTTTCCTCAAAAAACAGTGAGCTTATTCTCTTTCCTTCCTTTAATCATTTTGCCCATTTTCCAGCAGCATGATGTTGAGTGTTTTGCATATGTTTTATGAACATATGAAGCTGCCTTATACTGAGTTACATCATTAGGTAATCTTGCCCAGTCAAGTCTACTTTAACTGGCGACAGTATGATGGGTTGAGTGTAAATAAGGATTTTTCTATCTATTCATATTATATTAGATGCTGACTGTCCTGAGACTGGCTGAAAAGGTAACACAGGCCTGTCAGAAAAGGCTTACAAAATGATACAAAGTGAAATATTACTTTAGCTGGGAATACTGTTTGCAAGGGATTTATTATAGCTATTCTTGCAAAAGCTATAGTTGCAAAGAACCTAACACTTTTCTTTAAAGATCATGCACTGATAAAATGATTCCTGCAACTTCTAAAGGAGTTGAAGACTCTTCTGCTACATCCTTGAACTGCTATGTAAAGATATTGATCCATAGCAGCTACTTTCTCAAGAGCATGTTCTTTTTTTGGGGACTAAAGTCCACCTCAGCTTATGTCACTAGATCTGTTGTTTTCAGTGCAGAAAACTGTTGTTCCTTGAGTTGATTGACTTCTTCCCGCAAGCTCATGTATGTAATTTGAAAGTCTGTTTGTATGAAAGTCACCTCATTATTTCAAAACTGGTGCTGGAAATGGGACTGCTAGTCTTACCTGAAAGGTGTTTCTGACTGGGCCCTAAGATGCCTACAAGTGGGATTGTGTCTCCCCTAGCATTCAAAAGCGGGAAGCATTGTCACTCCAAAGGAGTTGTTCTGTCTCCCTCCTCTGGAGTCAGTTTCCTGCTTGAAGCAGATCTTCCAAACACCATATCCTGTTCTTTTGTCTGTGCATTGTGTCATTGTGTCTTCATGTGCCTTAGTCAGGGAGAAGAGAGCTCCTGTGGTTTCTCCCTCCCCAGTTGTCTTAGTGCCTTTTCTTCTCCTCAGTTTTGCTTGCCTCTCTTTGTGTCAGAAGCACCTGTCTCCTCAGGGCCCTGTTACATCTCCACTGTACCTTGTGTGAATCATGCTCCACTCCTTCTCAATTAAATTTAACCTGCTGCCATCAAGGAAAACCATAGCCCTTGTTCAAAGTTAACCCAACCAAGAGTCTGTCAGTATGCTTGTGTGATTGTCCTTCCAAGTGGAGGGAACCCAGTAGCTGTAGGCTAGGCAGCCCTAGAACTCCAGCCTGTAACAATGTGCCATTATTTCCTTCTGGTCCTATCAATGTAGCCTCCACCATTTTATTGCCATTGTATTTGTTGCCGTTACTCTGTCTGAGAAGGGTGGTGCTGGTGGTAAATGAAGAGTATAGAATGTTGCAAGTTGGGTTAAAAGCAAGTTCCAGCTCTGCAAAAGTTGACATTTGCCAAGCATCCGAACGTAATTATGTGGCCTAAGGATTGCATGTTGCAGCAGTGTACTGGGTTGTGGAAAAATAGAGTGCGTGTTTGTCTAGAGAAGCACTATGTAGAGAAGTGCTGGAAATAAGCAGAGACAGAATGATTAACACCCCAATCTAGAATGTGTCTATGCAAATGTAACTCACAGTTTTCAATCACATTTGTTTTCCAGTTAGCAGGTTTAGGAATGGTGTGTAAGAGTTGAACAACTATAGTGTGACAGCTTTGATAGTCACTTCAGAGGCCTACAAGCAGAACTGGCTTTGAGTTTCACAACACGATACAAATTTTCAAAGAACATAGCTACATTAAACAACAGAAAACGTGTGTGAGTTTAAGAACAGAAATATAATGATTCACTGGCTTACCACACCCTTTTTGTCCCAACAGGGATAAAAATAAAGCATTGTTTTCAAGATTCTTATTCACAAATGTTCTTTTATATCATAAAGACATTCAGGAATTGGCAGTAAAGAAACCATAACTTCAAGATGAAGAACAAAAATTCTGCCAACTGGTTCCAGACCAATATTTTTAGCTATTTTGCATGCAAACATTTTTACATCTGTCAAACCTCCATAAACAAACAGACCTTAAAGCTGCTTTATGTAACACAATACAAGTCTGTACATGGGAAGCAAAACTTTCTGTTAACCCCAGTGATGCAATAAGTAGTTGGTATAATTTACCTGACTGGTGGTAGAGAAGGAGAAGTGAAATGAGGACTAAATACTACGTATCAGTTCTTTAGCTTTCACAAGTCAACATAAGGCTATTTAAAACCTAAAACTTCATTCCATGCAAATGCAGTTGATTGCACAAACCTGTTGCATTCTGTTTGCATTACTACCTGTCATAATTTGTATGTTCTTATTTCAGGAACCATGCACACACATAAGAACCTGATTATTATATAGAAGAGTTTGATCATATTCTCTCACAGAGGCAGCACCGTGTTCTGAACTTCCATTAGCTCTGCCACCACTGTCAAAAAGAGGGATTTTAGAAAAAAAGGATTTTGAAGGTAACAAGGAGTGACAGAAAGTAAGACTTCTAAAAATGAGCTGAAGGCTCATTGTGGCTCATTAATGATACAGCATGATCTGTCTTACATGTGAATGAAATAGAAGGTTGCTTTTGCTATTCCAACTAAAAATATTTTGGTGTGGGAACTGTTGCAGTGTGCCTCGTCATCAGAAACGAGGGTCACGGGAGACAAATCCACAACATAGCCTCTTCCGGGTGCATTCTAGACCAATGCTGGCACAGAGAGAAGCCATGTTGTTGTTGTTTAGTCATTTAGTCGTGTCTGACTCTTCGTGACCCATGGACCAGAGCATGCCAGGCACTCCTGTCTTCCACTGCCTCCCGCAGTTTGGTCAAGCTCATGTTGGTAGCTTCGAGAAGCCATAGTGATGAGTAAAAATGAGGATCTAAAATGTGTTTCAGAATTATCAAGCACCAAATGCAAGGTATTTTCCTTCCTTATTTGTTTTTATGTTCCAATATTTCTAAAAGTAGTTACCCACCTGTTTTCACGTTCATACATTTCCTTTGTAGCTGTTCGAAGCTGTTGTATTTCTTGAGATGTCTTCTGCCTTATTTGTTCCAATTCATTATGCAGTTTGTTTTCATATTCTGTTTTGTAATGGTCTCTTTATTAAAAAAAAAGCAAAGCAAGTTAAAAAAAAACCTGCAGCTTTCTTTGTATTATCCCTTTTGAGTTGCTTATCGCCCAGTAAGATTTATCAAACGGTGGCATTCTGCATGTGCAACCAGGACTTCCCATTCTGCCTCCAAGGTTGGGTTGGGGGGACCCTCAGAAGAAAATGTGATGTTGGATCTCACCGACTGAGAAGAACCATTGCTTTTTTACTCCTAGATAAAAAGAACTGCTCTCTGTTATATACGTCTTCCTTTTGGCCTACTGCCAACCCGAGCCTGAGCTCAGCTACTAGCTAAAATGATAAGAAGAGTTGCCATCCCTTAAGCAGTAGCAGATTCCTGCATATATGTTGTTACCAACTGAACCAATACTCGTTCAGAATTCACAAATATTCCCTTTCATATGTAAGTTATTTTGTACTGATATTGGTGACATGCTATAGAATTGCAAATAAGTCCGCAGGAGCTTTACTACTAATGATGCAAAATAAAACATTATTGTATCACTGATCTTAAGCTACTTGAAGATTTTTTAAACTAGAGTGGATTGTTTAATCAAATATTAAAGGCATCATAATACAGTCATGGGAGGCAGGTGGCGTTATGGGTTAAACCACAGAGCCTAGGACTTGCCGATCAGAAGGTCGGCGGTTCGAATCCCTGCGACGGGGTGAGCTCTCGTTGTTCAGTCCCAGCTCCTGCCAACCTAGCAGTTCGAAAGCACAAAGTGCAAGTAGATGAATAGGTACCGCTCCAGCGGGAAGGTAAACGGCGTTTCCGTGTGCTGCTCTGGTTCGCCAGAAGCGGCTTAGTCATGCTGGCCACATGACACGGAAGCTGTCTGCGGACAAACGCCGGCTCCCTCGGCCAATAAAGCGAGATGAGCGCCGCAACCCCAGAGTCGGTCATGACTGGACCTAATGGTCAGGGGTCCCTTTACCTTTACCTTAATACAGTCATACCTCGGGTTGAAGTAGCTTTGGGTTGAGCGTTTTCAGGTTGCGCTCCGCGGCAACCCAGAAGTAACGGAGTGTGTTACTTCCGGGTTTCGCCGCTTGCGCATGCGCAGACGCTGAAAATGACGTCACGCTCATGCGTGGAAGTGGCAAATCACGACCCGCGCGCACACAGACGCGGGTTGCGTACACTTCAGGATGCGAACGGAGCTCTGGAACGGATCCCATTCACATCCAGAGGTACCGCTGTAGTCTTAGTTTTAGTAATATAGTGCAACCTGAGGAAAATATTAACAGGCTTAATTTCTGACTGTAAATCCTCTAGTGATAATGTAAAAATATTGTTTTAAGTTTTATAAAGGTCTCACAGCTGCTTTAAGATTTTTCTGTATGTAGAAACTAAAACCTGAGAACACTACAACATAATTTGATTTCAACTGATTGTTTCTGGGGATCAACTGACCAAAAACATTATGTTTACTGTAAATAATTTTGTCCAACCCAACAATAGTCTACTGCCATGAATCATTTGTTGAATGAATTAACAGAACTGTGTACCTGGATGTGACATATTTCTCATAAATTTCTTCTCTGGCCTTCTTAGCATCTTCTAGCTGAACCTGAAGCCTTTCAAGGCGATCTTCTTCATGAGCACAGCGAACATTAAGCTCCATGTTTTGACGGTTGAGGTAATCCTTATCTTTTTGCAGTAAGGTAACAGACTGCTGTAGAGCTGCAACCTTTATATACAAAATAGCTATGATAAAATCAGGCAGTCTGCAGTACAACCCCCACCTCCCAGGTTAGAGTTTTTTCTTATTTTATTTAAAAGATTTATAGATGTTAGTCACACTCAGGGTGGATCCACTGAAACTGTTGGATGCAAGGTCACTGAGTAGTATTCAACAAAGGTTTACTCAGAGTCAACTCTCTGAAATGAATGAGCACAACTAAATTATTCCATTAAATTTAATGGGTCTATTCTGAGTAAAACTTAGTTGACTACCACCCCCTGATTTCAATTGCTCAACTCTGTATGACTTAGCTGAGTACCACTGTGAATATTTATATTTAACAGAGCTTCCAGGGTGGTTTAAGCAAACAAGATGCAATTCTGAATCTCCTCATTGCAATGGATGACACACTTCTCTTAGCTGAACAACCTAGATTTGCATTTGTACTCATTCCTTGCTCTTTAGGTACATATATTGCTGTGGCAGCACACTGTTTATCCCTGCATGCAGTACAATGTAATTTATATATACAGTGGTACCTTGGTTTACAAACTTAATCCATTCTGGAAGTCCATTCTTAAACCAAAGCGTTCTTAAACCAAGATGTGCTTTCCCATAGCAGCGGGGGACTCAGCTTACAAATGGAACACACTCAACAGGAAGCGGAACATATTCTGCTTCCAAGGCAAAATTCACAAACCAAAACACCTACTTCCAGCGTTCTTAATCCAAGTTGTTCATAAACTAAGCTTTTCTTAAACCAAGGTACCACTGTATGACTCATTCCAAGTCTAAAAAAGTATCATTTATACACAAAATTATATACAAATAATTTGCCTATATACAAATTATAATCAAAATTTATAAATTTTATTATGTTTTACAGCTGAGTGTCTCTTTGTTCTTCCCCTCACCCACATGCTTCCCCCCCTTGATATATAGATTTCAGCAGTGAAATGATGGGATTCAAATAGATTCCTTTGCATCTCCCTTATCCATTCTATAGAAACAACACTATTTGGTGAATCTCAGTTATTCAAGAAATACCAGAAGAAGAATACACATCCTTTCACTCTCCGAGTTTCCCAAATGTGGTTCTGGGTAGGCACAGAACCTATTAGGTGTGACTGCAAAGAGGTGACAAAAGAAGGAGGTATCTAAATCATGAACAATGATAACGCTGTTTGATACTCCTAAAAGGCAGAATCAAAGAAAGCTACGTGTCAAAGGATGGCTGGTGGAGTTTCAGGCAGTTAATATTTGGAAAGAGATTGGCAAAGAAGGGATGCCTAGCTCATGAACTGGATTGACAAGCAGTTTGTTGCACCATAAAGATCCAAACTCTGTAGAACAAGCACCCCCAAACTTGGCCCTCCAGATGTTTTGGGACTACAATTCCCATCATCCCAGACCACTGGTCCTGTTAGTGAGGGATGATGGGAGTTGTAGTCCCAAAAATCTGGAGGGCCGAGTTTGGGGGTGCCTGCAGTAAACTACTCCAGGTATATATCAAATATAAGTGTAAAAAAAAGGGGGGGGGAGAAAATTCTAATTTGGGCCTTTGTACATTTTGAATAAATGTTTCGGATAAATGTCAAATTAGATATGAAGATCTCACCTCTTTTGATAAATCATTTCTTTCTTTGGTTAGTGCTTTGTGTGATACTTCCAATATTTCATATTTTCTTCGAAGCTCTGAAAAATCATGTTCAAATGCATCACGCTCGCTGTTGGGGGGGAAAATGAGAGTACTATAAAATAATGTCCCCCTCAAACCCTTGACTGCTTCTGTAATCTATGCTTCCTGTGCAAATCTAACACCAACAGTCCTTCAGATATTCTTTCATCAGCGGAGCCCAAATTAAGTTACAGTAAGTCTTGTGTACATTAATTTGGACCCTGCTGAGTTCAAGAATCTCATTTTCCTTGCGCTTTTATATCATTTCACATTGCAAAATGCAGTGTCATCACTTTCCCATGCTTGTGTAACACAGCAACAATCTGCAAAAGCCCTGCAAAGCTCCCTGGTTGATACACTCATTCTCTTGTTTTATAGTTCCAAACATGTTTGGTGGTCTCCAAGCATCCACCCTTCTTTGCTAGCTCAAAGTAGCCACAGTACAAGACAAGATACTTATTGGAACATTCTCCTTGTTCACAGGCACCATTGGATATAACCCATTACCTTTGATCCAAGTCAATATGAGAGCTCCTTCTATAATTTTCTTTACTAACGACACACTTACCCTTTTACTTTATCGTAATTCTCTTGTCTATAATCTCCTTGATGAATCATTTGCCTCGTATCAGCTAGTTCAAGTGTTAAACGCTGACATCTGACTTCTAGTTCTGACCGATTTCTTCGCTCTGCTTCATAGTTCTGCAAAACAAACACCACACCACTATTTAATGTGAAAATAAGAGGCTGGGATTCAGATAAATATACCATGGACACAAAAGTGTTCGGCCACAGCCCTTGGCATTTTTAATTCCTCCCTTTGATCAATTGTCTTACAAACTCTGTCAGTTTAAAAAGGGGGTCGCCATAGGGCATGTTGGGGGAAGGCAGTGCAAGGAAGATGAACACACAGCCATACTTGGTTCCAGAAGTTGATACATGGTTCTTCACAGGGCTTTTTTTTCCTACAAAAAGAGGTGCCGGAACAAAAGTTGTTGAGCTTTGCCGGAACGCACAAAAGATGTGCCGGAACTCAGTTCTTGGCTGCAAAAAAGTCCTGGTTCTTCAGACATACCGTATTTTTCGCTCTATAGGATACACTTTTTCCCCTCCAAAAATTAAGGGGACATGTGTGTGCGTCCTATGGAGCGAATGCAGGCTCCTTGGCTTCAGCGATAGCAATGCGAAGCCTCCGAAGCGCAGAGGGAGCGCTCCTTCCGCGCTCCAGAGGCTTCGCGTTGCTTTCGCTGAAGCCTGGAGAGCGAGAGCTCCCGCTGTGCTCCGGAGGCTTCGGAGAGCAAGACTCTCCTGGTTTCAGCAGAGAGGGAGAGGTGCACAGTGCCCCTTCAGCGAAGCGGGAGGAGAAATGGAAGGGACTCCGTTTCTCCGGCTGCTTCACTGAAGGGGCGCTGAGCAGAGAGGGGGAGATTTTTTTCTTCTGGTTCTCCCCCTCTAAAACAAGGTGCGTCCTATGGTCGGGTGCGTCCTATAGAGCGAAAAATACGGTAGGTTACAAAGACCATTTTGTTAATTAAAAAGACAGGAGTGTATTACATTGGATTCAGTCTTGAGATATGGCAGCAGAAAAGCAAGTGGAAAGTGACTTTCCTGCTTTCCCCACTCAGCCCCCCAAACCTGCTGAATGAGATATGTTGTGGCACAGGAGGCTGAGCAGGATGCGGAGAATGGGTGGAAAGAATGGGGGGCGGGAATCAGATGGAGGCACCTTCTGTGGGTGCAACTTTTATTTCCTTTCTTCCTCAGCTGTCTATGCTACAGCCGCCCCATTCTATTGGTTCTTGTGGCCTTGGGAGGAGGCAGGAAATCACCTTTTACCAACACCCTTCTGCCAGTGTTTCTCTGTATCTAATACCTTTTCACTAAGACAGAAGTCCTTTCTGGAAGTCTAAATAAGGAGACAACTAGCCACACTAAGTTTGCATCAGATATAACATCCGTAAAGGTACCTCCATTAGCATTACTGCTAACATAGTTTCAAGATCTTTATAGCTACGACAGGCACGCAGAGCGTTCATACCAATTAATAATAATAATAATAATTTATTATTTATACCCCGCCCATCTACCAATGCAGACAAATCTATTACTATCCTAAATGAGGCAAATGGAAATGCTAAAGCACATTACCATGAACACAATCAACACATACCTTAAAAAATAGCTATACCATTAAAAGACAGGTATAGCAGATCCTGCCTTACCAAAAGAGACCACAAATACTTTAAAATATTTCAACCTAAAGGCCAAATGCCTCAGTAAAATGGCAAGTTTTTGCCTGGCACATTCCATTATAGAGATCAGTATTAGTTTCTCATTCTTTCACTAAATCCAGTTGTATGTTATTTCGGCAAACCGCTACCACTTGCTACAGGGATTTGTTAAACAAGCTCCCATCAATTTCTTTATGTTGTCTTTGTATCATCCTTGCCATTTTAAAATTAATCAGATCTTATGAATATGATTTAGCAACGTCTAAAGTTGTTTAAAGTATTGTGCTTTTTCTTGAATTTTTAGAGACATATCTCTATCATCTTCACAATGTCAACAACTCCCCATGCTACCAGCAAGGTGGTTTAAAATAATTTCTTGAGCTATATCAAAAAGTTGACTCTGTACAAAATCCACGGAGTGCTCTAGATTTCGATGTATTGTTTTCCTTGCACCCCGTCATCACCATCAGTTCAGCTACCCTATGCATTCTTTTACCTTGTTCTGGGTAGTGAAAGGGAATTGAATTGGACCAGTAGTAGCTAATAGCTAAATCTTTTATCTCTTCCCACTCCCCGTGGGGCAGTTTGAAATCCAACCATGTGGAGCACAGTCTCAAAAGCGCCTTTCAGAGCATTCTGCAAGACCGACTATCGGTTGACCGCCAGGTCTTTTGGAGCCCCTTGTGGAGCATTTTTCAGGCACACACCTCTTTTACCTGAGACAAGTCTTTACTAGCCCTGAACCTGATGTCATATGCGATGTCAGCTGTAGGGCAGGTGGGTGTGGCTTGGCTGAAATGGTCTCACAGGCCAAATGCAGAGGACTAAATTTTAGTGATCTGGGGCAAGTGCATATGACAGTATTGAACTTAAAAAGTCTGTAACCAGCATTAAAAAAAAAAATCCACTGGTGTCACAACACGCTATTTACGCTTATAGCTAAGTATACAATTTTCCACCTGTCGAGGTAGATGAATCACTACTAAAGCAGGTGGATTTATTAAGCCCTGAAAAACTAGTTGTTTTATACTTCTTTTTCATTTCCCTTATAAGGCAAGGTTCTCCAAATCTAAGTGCTGCAAAACTGGCTAGTCACAACAAGTTTGAACAAATGTGACAGGCTTGCAATACTTGAAAGACCCTTACAGTTTTTCTGATAGTTTCACAGGAGTTCCTTTAAGGATAATGAGATAATAGACAAGAGAGTCTATTCTGAAGTAGTGCTAAGTGTGTGTCTGTATGTACAAGTAATACATTTATCGGAACTGAACCCCCTGCAATTCAACTTAGATGAGAATTAGAGAGAGAAATCCCTCCTCTTCTCTTCAGCCATTTACACTTTTACAAACCTGCTGTGTTCCCAACTCAGCATTTCTTCATAGGAAAACGCTCTTGCTTAGAGGTTTAATAACCCCAAGAAAATAAAGAATGAAGCATAATAGCCCCAATGTGTTTTGGGTATCACTTTACTTCTGGGGATCAGCTATACCTATCTTCCTATTAAAATACAGGATAAAATAAACCTTCTCCTCCAGAATTTTTTTTCTAGGTACCAGAGAGCCAGACTTAAAACAGTCTTATTTTCAATATTCAGGTTTCTTCTTTCAGGTTATGGATGAGCCCCAAAGAAGAAGAAACACTGAAGAGATCAACCTGGTTTAGTACATTCTTTTAACAGATACATAATCTAAGAAAATATATTTTAGGAGGGCGTGCTTGGCTAGAGCAAAGAATACTTTGGGAATTGGTCCTAATTCACATCACTGTGAAAGCTGATTGATTTCATTTGTATTTTCTTGCCAGAGAAACCCAAACACTCAAATGCTCACTATCCTCTACTTTCTCTGATTAGCATTCTCAGGTATCAATTTCTTTAATCTCCAGGGATTGTTTACTGCTGAGTTGATACTGACACCAAGTGGTAAGAAATAGGAAATGTTCACATTTAATAATTGCTGCATCTGTCTCTCAAGACATTTTATTTATTGAAGATTCCTCTTAGACACAGATCAGAAGTCTGCAGCAAGTTATGAGTTGCTTTGGAATTTCATGTTGTCATTTGTCATTCTGTGTGTTTGTACAATGTATTCATTGGCTCACGAAAGTGCTTATTACACTTTAAGTAGAATAAAGTACAGCCATTGTCACCCAACACTTAGAAACAGTTGTTGAGACAATGTTGAAATCTAGGGAGTTTCAGCTTGTTCTAATCCTCATGAAACCATTTATGATCCCATCTTAATGCAAAAAGGCTTTGTGTGACCTGAAACTTGACCGTTGAGCTTGCTTTAACAAACAACTAATTTTCTCCATCTTGAAACTAAACACAACATACTACCATGTACTGGTAAAGAAATATCTATTTTTAATTTTCCATAAGTATCTAACTTGAAGAAGAATTCTGTATAACTTTAAAGTTCACATCCTGCATTTTGAACAACGGGCCCAAATGGCATCTTATTGCTTAGTCAAGATTTCTTTTTCACTAAATGTTTTCCAGGAAGATACCTTAATGCATTATAAAGATATCATTAGATTCATGAAAGAGAGAGCAGACATTCTACTAAACACTCACCTTTGCTCTAGTACCTGGGAAACTCTCCCTGAAAAGAACTGCATCAGGCATTTTAAACCTGTAACACCCACTGGGAAAAACAGACCAGCAGAGCCAGGTTTATACTGCAAGACAAGCCCAGGAGATTAAGCCTCCAGTCTTATGCACACAAAAAGTACAATCCTAGCCACGTTCACTCACAAGTAAATCCTACTGAATTCAATGGGGCTAACTCCCAGGTAAGCATGGTTAAGACTGCAGTCTTAGCTGGCAGTAAATCCCACTGAACAGGTTGCTATTTCTAAAATAGGTTTGTTTTTCGTTTTTTTAAACAAATGGCATACAAACCTCCATCAAGTGTTTCAACTGAGATTTGTAATCATTCAGTTCTTCAGATGCTGCATCCTTCTTTACCTGTAGTTCATTTAGCTCCTTTTTTAAAGGATGTACTGCTTCATAAAATATAATCTGAAATGCATGAAGCATAAACATAATTATTACTCTTCAGTGTAAAAGAATTAATATTTTATACCCACTTCCTTCTTCACCTTGACTTCATTTCAACTGTGAGCTTTTTGGCAAACACTTTTTTTAATCTGCATGAATAAAATAAAGTACACATTTAAAATACACTAAGCACTATACAACCACACAATTAATGCTGGTAAATTTACCTTCAAACTTCTAAATGCTTTTATTAAGTATAAAATGCACAATAAAGCATTTCTATTCTATTCTTATCAAGGCCTCAGAATTGAGATCCTAAAAACATTTTCTTAAACCAGGGACTCCTAGATTAACTTAAAACATATGCCCTTAGAATTCCATTACAATATTTTGTCAAACATCTACAGGACTATCTAGAGACAAAATGACAAAAGTTAGAATGAATTTCAGGCGCTTCTTACATCTACCTACTGATAATAGGTGTCTATCATGAGACGATAATTACTGTATTTTTCGTCCCATAGGACGCTCCGTCCCATAGGACGCACCTAGTTTTTTGGGGGGGAAATAAAGGGGAAAAAAATTTCATTTATTTCCCCCCCAAAACCAGGTCGGGGAACAGCAGGATGGCGGCGCTGCGCCTCCCCGCTGTCCCCCGAGCTTGTGGGGCTGGCCGATGTCTGCAGCAGGCTGCTATCCGCAGCCTAGGGAGCCCTGCGGGAACTCCCGCAGGGCTCCCCAGGCTGCGGATGTTTGCCCGGCGCGCGGGGCGCTCTGCTTCAGGGTGCCCCGCGCGCCGGGCGGCAGGCTGCTATCCGCAGCATAGGGAGCCCTGCGGGAACTCCTGTGGGCTCCCCAGGCTTGCTGATAGCTTCCTGAAGCCTGGAGAGCGAGAGGGGTCGGTACGCACCGACCCCTCTCGCTCTCCAAGCTTCAGCGAAAGACTGTATTCGCCCCATAGGACGCACACAGATTTCCCCTTCATTTTTGGAGGGGAAAAAGTGCGTCCTATAGGGCGAAAAATACGGTAATTAGGTGGCCCAAAGTTCAGAGGCAATATTTCAGCTCCCATGTTTCATCATGAGATCTTGGGTGTGAAAATATATTATATGCTGTGTCTATTTACTGCTGTGCTTACTGAAAAGAAGGGACACAAGATCAACAACGCAGATCTGGATGCTACCTTGTAAATTAAGCAAAACACAGAATGTACTGATGTATTATTTGGACAAGAGGTGGGGAACCTTAGGTCAAGGGGTCAAATGCGGCCTTCCGGTCCTCGCTGTCTGGCTCTTGAAACCGTAAATTACACTCCCTCTCTGCAGATCACACCTTTCAGTGGCCCCAGATCACACCCCAAATGCTTTTTTCCTGGCTGAGAGCATCTCTGAACTCCGAAAATGGCTCTTGATGCCTAAATAGAGTGTGTGTGTGTGTAAAGCTAGCCTACCATACTTTTGCCTCTGGCACTGCCCACCACAAACAAGTCTCTTCTGGAAGGCTGCCCTCAAGCTAAAAAAGGTTGTAGACTGGCATATTATGAATACCAGTGAAAGCCATTATTAAGTAGTGAAAACCATGTCAATGCTAGAAGAGCAGATGCTAAGAAATTACAGGTTGTATCCAATGCTGTCCATGAACTTTCACTCACGCCAAGAGGACTTCACCTTCCTCTTGGGAGGGTTCCGGGGGGGGGGCGTGTAAGAGGACAAGAGGAAAGTGAAGTTGTTTTGCAGGAGCAGAAGTGCATTTGCACAACACCGGATTCTGCCCTAGGTGTTGTTTTTTTAATGGAAACATTCAACTTCACATTCCATCCATCATCACATTTTTCCAGAACCTGCTGACATTTATACAGTGATCCTTGAAGTTCATTCCTCCCACCCACAACATGCATAGGAGTTTGCATCATTTATTCATTTTCTTGTCCCAACAGTTAGCTCCATCTCCATTATCTCTAGCAGTGATAGATTTACACTTCTGATGGGGCACAAGTACTTACAGATACATATTCAGGAATTGAAAGTTCATCTTCTGAAACAGATTTGAGTTTGGTGTAGCACTCATCAGTCAATTCAAGGTCACGCAAGCTGCGGCGAATATCTCCGGACCGCTCTCTCAACTGATGGTTATTCTTTTCTAGCTGCTTCTGGCGCAGCAAGATGGTTTCCATTTCCTGTTTCATTAGTTCTTGATGTTTTCTAAGAAAACACATCAACAAATTATTTGTGATTTACCCAAATAAATTTATCCTAGAAACATGTTTCATTTCCTTTGAATTCAGTTTTTCAGAGACCGTACAGTGAATCTATGCAACAATTTGCACGTGTTAAATAAAGGGGTCGTTCAGAAATGCCAAACCATAGTTTAGGGTTACATGCATGAAAATTGGCTCAGAAGCTGCGTTGTCTCCAAACAGACAGCAATTTCCTCCATCTTTTCCAGGTTTAAAGCAAACCATAGTTAGCTCAAAACAGTAAACTGTGGATTGCGTTCACTCTGCAAACTAGGATTGGAAATTAAGAGTTTCACCATTGCTTCCAAGCCTCATTTTCAGTTGAACAAAATTCTGATCTTCTTCAAACTGAGGAATGTGGAGGAGAAAATCTCTGCATGTAGGAGGAGAAGGGAGCACACAGATCTGAAGAACTAGCCATTTATTTACAAAAATCAACCATGGTTTGGCATTATGTCTGTGCTCAAAGATCTGAAACACAAATGCATAGCGTAACACAAAATTTGCAAAAATATTTAACCGTCAATTATGATTTAGGTCCCACTTCTGTGTTTAGAATACACTGATTCCGAATTCTTCCTTCTCATACCGAGCATCTTCTTGCTGTAAGGCCAACTGGTTATCTAGTCGTAAAGATAGCAGCTGTTTCTCATGGAGAGCATCATTAAGTTTTTCTTCCAGTTCTTCGATCTAAAACAGATAATCAGGCAGCAGAAAAGAAACGAGAATTTAATTGATGCCCAGAATTATATAAAAATGAGGGTAGTATCTTTCCAACAATACATATTATGAAGAGTATTTATCTACCCCACCTTCCCCCCCACAAAACCCACCCTCAGTTTTTTAGTACAGTATGTCCCAAAACTCTGACTATTTTAAAAGGAAACCAAGAACATATTACTATATCTCCCAATAATAACTTTGCTTTTTGCAACCCTAAAACATGTAAGAATTAGATCATACTTTAGTCAGGTATTCCACCTTCAAGTTGTCTAACATTAAGTTCTTCTGGGAAAGTTCTATTTTCAGCAACTGAACATTATGAAGCAGCTCCTTCCTCTCAATCAGCTGCCTAGTAATTTTGACAGGACCTTCCCGATCTTCTGAGGAAGAAATGTCATCAGTGGGTACTGTAGTCTCCAAGCTTATATCTTCCAATTCCAAGGAGCTGGAAACATTAACTTTTTTGGATTCTCTGGAGCTTTTCCGTGACATTCTCCCGACAGTGCCCAAAGACTTTCTACTTGCAGTTCAAGAAACTTGGGGAAGAAAAAGAAGAAGAAGGGAATGGTGGTAAGTAGAAGGATTTTTACAGAAGAATTCATCCTATCCTGTGCTACATCTGAAACATGTCAAGTGTATAAATTCTATACAAGGCCAAGAACCCCATGCTGGCACATATCAGCTATTATTCATAAACCTATCTCGTCAGAAATAAAACATTAAGCCAACAGTTCTCATGTTTTTATCAACACCAGTATGTTGCGTGACACACTACCATACAGCTATCCATGATGCCCAACTCAAATATTCACCGGTTTGCCAACAACAACAATTGAAAGACCATAGGAACAGTGTTGCGGATACGCAATATAAAACAGGAAGTCGACACATTCAGAACACCCAGTAAGAATAACAGAATCATGAGTTGGAAGGGATTCCCCCAAGGTCATCTAGCCCAACCCCCCGCAATGCAGGAATCGTTCCCACAACTCGAACCACCAACCTTCTGGTTAACAGACAGGCGCTCTGATCCTGAACCGCCCTGACATCTTCAGATGAAGGGAGATATACAAATTAAATAAATGCTGGTTCTTCCCATTTTTATTTTTACCCACGTTCCTCAACAGTTGTCTTAGTAGGCAGTTGCTTGCAGCGGTTCTCAAGCTGTCTGTCCCCAGATGTTGTTGGACTACAACTCCCATCATCCCAGATCTCTGGCCCTGCTAGCTAGGGGTGATGGGAGTTGTAGTCCAACAACATCTGGGGACTCACAGGTTCAGAAAGGAGCACATTCCTAGCCGCCTTCTCTTTCTGCCAGAGGGGTTTTGGCAAATGGCTGGTTTCAAGGCCCTATGCCCCCCCCCAAGAAACTAGGAAATACTCCTAACGGTACTGGCCTACCTTGCAGGGTTGTGGGTCCCCAAAGAGCTCTGACAACAGCCAGGCAGCCTCCACATGCCCTTGACTCAGCTACGCAGCAAAGAGATACACCGCCCTAAGGAGAAAGAGAAGACGGGGGAACAGGGGGAGAACTTCGCCTGCGCGGCTCCTCCACAACACACACACCCCGTCAGCCGACGGACCGCGCATGCGCTCCTCTGGCGGGGCCCTCGCGCCGCCGAGGGAGGCGGCCCTGCTGCCATGGTAACGGGAGCGACGCTCCTCAGCCCCAGACGCTCCTTTCTCCCGCCGTTTCGCGAGGCATGACGGGAGTGGCGGTTGCAACGTAGAGATAGAAAAGTAAAGAGACGGGCCCGTGTGGGCGGAGCTGAAAGCCGCCATAGAAGGGGTGTCGCTTATATTTTCATGCGCCTGATATCACAGAACCAACCCATTCAAATTTTATTTTATTTTATTTTTAAAAACCGGATTGGGGTAAGCCCAGCGTCGCCCCTCCCCGTGGCGAACGCGCGCAGCACTTCTAACCCCGCCGCCCGGAAAAAAACTAGACCCGTAAGAGCGGCGGCGAACTAGAGAGAGGATTTGCCTAGAGTGGCTCCCTCGCTCGCTACGGTGGCCGACGGCGGCCGCTGCTGGGCGGAAGCGTGCCCTCGCGTCGCCGGATGCGAGGGCTGCGCGGTGCATTGTGGGAGCAGCGCCGAGCCCGGCGGTTCCCTCACGGTTCCTTCGGCGGGAGGAGATGCTGACCTCGCGCACGTTCCTCAAGCGCACGCGGGCCGGCGCCGTCCTGAAGGTGGTGCGCGAGCACTACCTGCGCGACGACATCTCGTGCGGGGCGGCCGCCTGCGCGCTCTGCGGCGGAGGAGGAGCGGCGGAGGCCGGCGGCGACCAGCGGCCCCTGGAAGCTCAGCCATTCGGGGCCGCCAGCAGCCTCTGCCCGGAGCCGCACTACCTGCTGCTCGACACCAACGTGCTGCTGCACCAGGTAATGGGCTTCTCCGGCGCGGCTCCCCAGCTGCTGCCGGACTACAACTCCCAGCGTTGTGAGCCAGAAAATAGCTTGTCTCCTGAGTTAAGCCAATAAAACTCAGAAACATGAGGAGTTAGGAGTGCACCGTTGTTTATTGCAAAGCAATGGGTTACAGTCGGATCCTTCCTGCCCGGTGGTCCAGGCTTCTTGTTGTTTAGTCGTGTCCGACTCTTCGTGACCCCATGGACCAGAGCACGCCAGGCACTCCTGTCTTCCACTGCCTCCCGCAGTTTGGTCAAACTCATGCTGGTAGCTTCGAGAACAATGTTCAACCATCTCGTCCTCTGTCGTCCCCTTCTCCTTGTGCCCTCCATCTTTCCCAGCATCAGGGTCTTTTCCAGGGAGTCTTCTCTTCTCATGAGGTGGCCAAAGTATTGGAGCCTCAGCTTCAGGATCTGTCCCTCCAGTGAGCACTCAGGGCTGATTTCCTTCAGAATGGATCGGTTTGATCTTCTTGCAGTCCATGGGACTCTCAAGAGTCTCCTCCAACACCATAATTCAAAAGCATCAATTCTTCGGCAATCAGCCTTCTTTATGGTCCAGCTCTCACTTCCATACATCACTACTGGGAAAACCATAGCTTTAACTATACAGACCTTTGCTGGCAAGGTGATGTCTGATAAAATTTCAAACAAAGCATTTCAATTTTCTCCTAATCATATACATCATTACCTCATTTCATGTATAATACACATGTGCAATAAGCACTGGCAATTTCTGCTGAATAAGTTCTGATTCCCACCGTGTTCTGTTACATTGTTTTAGTATGCACGTTGGGAACCTGTGTTACTACTACTACTACTACTAATACCTTTATTGTCAATGTACAACCTGTGCACAATGAAATTCACCAAATGGTGTAGCCATTTGCACCATGTAGCAACTTACGTTCTAGCTTTGAGCTGTATCTTTGTGATTAACATCTTAGCAGTATTTCTTCCCCAATGGCGGGGGAGGGGGGCAACTTTCAAAACCATCAGTTTCATAAAGTAACAGGCTACCATATCTTCTCTATTAGAAGCACACTCAAGGATTTACAGGGGTACACATTATCACATTTATTGTGGCCCTTTGGGCCACTGCCACACCATCACCCCTTGCTGGCTGGGGTCAGGGGTGATGAGAGTTGTAGTACACCAACAGCTGGGGACGGGGATCTCATCAAGGGTGGGATGTGCTGCCCTTGGCAGAGCCGGCTGAACATGTGAGGCGGGATGAAGCAGTTGTCTCGCATGGTGGAAGCTTAAGGGGAGGGGACACCATGAGCACCGTACTCAGCCTCACCCCACGGGAAAGCGGTGGCGGCTCCTGGTCAGCATTTGAAAATCACCAGCCTCAATCTGCATCACGACTCTCGGCCCCCTTGCGACTGAGGGAAGGTGCCAGGATGGCTCCAGCATGTGGAGGTGCGTGCCTCCCTGGGGATCCTCGGATCTGGACTGTTTCCACACACTAGCGATGCATCCCAGAGAATTCTAGCTGTCATATTTTATCTGCATGACCGAAAGAAATTTCAGGTACCGTAAAGTTACATTGAAAAAAACAGGACTTTCAAGCCAAAAAATGGCAACTACGCATTCTGTTTTGTAATCTTGGTTTAAGGAGCCATTTGGCTCCTAGTTTATATACCTAAGTTTCTAACGCTGCTTCTGGTGAGATCTTGGCTGGGCCCACCATCCTTTCGTGGGTTCTGCCATGCAGCCCAGGTAAAGGGAGGGTGAGCAGCGGCTTTCCAATTCATTTCAGCCAGTGAAACAGTACAGACTACCTTTGCTGCCCTGGATGATTTTAACAGGTCTTCTCTTGAGCAGAAGTTATTTGGATGCAAACCCATTCTTGCCTCTTGATACAAAAGGGCAAGGGCAAGACCTGGGCTGAGTGGCCCATTAGTGTGCCTTGAGTTTACATTTGTGTCCTTTGTGTTTTAAAGAAGTTCTTCTTCCAAATGGCTGCAATCATGAAATATCTGTTGGTGGTTGCTAAATATTATGAGAATTTACTCACATGGTTTGTTTTCTTTCCAGATTGATATACTAGAAGATCCTGTTATTAGAAATGTGATCATTCCTCAGACGGTCTTGCAGGAAGTAAGAAGGCGGAGCGCTCCAGTATACAAACGGATAAGAGATGTGTTAGCAAATACTGAAAAACATTTCTATTCTTTCACTAATGAGCATCATAAGTAAGCACGAGAAGTAGTAAGCTACGCCATTCTTCACTGCTTTATTCATTACTAACAGATACATTCAATATATACAAGTAGTCTGTTAGGTGCTGTTTAGTTTCAGGTTGTATTTTTTATATTGAGGGATAACTCTCATAGCAAGCTCTATCAAGATGAGTACTGTTAGGATCCAGAAGATCTCCAGAAGAACTGGGAGGGAGGTAGCACAGCTGGGCTATGCTGACTTAACTCTCTCCTCCTTGGCTCAGCTGGAGAAATGCTGGAGTGTAGCTTGGCGGATGTTAAAATGACATAAGCCCTGAAAAAGGGTGCAATTGGAGTGGGACCAGAGAGTCGATCAGCCACGCTGTTAGTTAAGCTGGCAAAAAGGGTGCTGTAACTGAAACCCTATTTTAAAACTTTGTTTTCCTTCCGCCAGTGTTAAGCTGGCTGAGCCAGCAGTAGCCCTGCTCCTAAATAGAGTTTGGACCTGGTGTAACTGGATGCTTGCTTGCTTTATGCCAGCTTAATGTGTATATGATCGTTTCCTAAATAGTATAGAAATGCTTTAAAATAAATAGCTAAATTTGGATGAAGTTGCTGAAAACAGCACAGTGCATGATGGGATTGTGTGTGTGCTGCCTTTGCATTGTTAACCCACCTCACCCCTAACCATATATAAAAATTTAATTAATAATAATAATAACTAGCATATCTGCATACCACCTTGTTTGGAGGACTGTTTTACAGATTCCATTTCAACTGGAATTTTGGTTGGAGATAGGTGTGTGTGTGTGTGTGTGTGTGTGTGTGTGTATATATATATATATATATATATATATATATATATACACACATGGACCTCTTGCGCAAAGGCTTCCTATATATTGCAGGCTCAGATGTATAGTTAGCCCTACAATGCACCGAGGGCCTGTGGGCGCCAGAGGGTTTTGTGTGGTTTATACTGTAAATGGATAATTTTTAAATGAATAACTGGATTGTTGTTTGGGTGCTTTTTGATCTCCAGAGAAACATACATAGAACAAGAACAAGGAGAAAATGCCAATGACCGTAATGACAGAGCCATCAGAATAGCAGTGAAATGGTATAATGAGCATCTGAAGGGATTGCAGGACGAAGATAGGATAAGAGTTATCTTGCTCACTAATGACAGAAAAAATAAAGAGAAAGCTGTGGAAGAGGGAATTACTGCTTATACATGTAAGTCCAGGCATTGATGAAAAGCCATACAGTTCTGCTATAAGAAAAGGAGCCTTGTGGTAAAATGTGCTGGTTGAAAACCTAGAATGGACTTATTCTGGAGGAAAGATGTCAGAAAACAGATTTCACCTGGACTGTGCTCCAGCACACAAGATCAGTGGGCTTGGGAGTACTTCATTATTCATAGCCTGGCAGATTTTTTCAGCCTGCCCACTGGTAGTTCTGCTTCTGTGAGTTTCTCAGCAAGTGATTTCCTCTGCAAAATACACTCCTAGCTAGCCCTGTCATCTGCACTCCTCATCTGAGAAAGGCAGAAGGAGACTTTTGCAACCACCTTGCTCTGTGTGTCCTCCCAGCGCTGGTTGAAGGGAGGTGGGGAGACCCAGTGGAGTTGCTGCTGGATAAGAATTATGGGGGAAAGTGTTCCTTGTTACAGTGGTACCTTGGTTTACGAACTTAATCCGTTCGGAAGTCTGTTCTTAAACCAAAGCGTTCTTAAACCAAGGTGTGCTTTCCCATAGCAGCAGGGTGCTCAATTTACAAATGGGATACACTCAACAGGAAGCAGAACATGTTCTGCTTCCAAGGCAAAGTTGACAAACCAAAACACCTACTTCTGGGTTTGCAGCATTCTTTATCCAAGTTGTTCATAAACTAAGCTGTTCTTAAACCAAGGTACTACTGTATTAATGGAATGTTTGATACAGTAGTGGGGCAGTATTTAATTTCTAAAAAGAAGGAATGTGCAGGAACTCAGATTTTGGGGAAAACAGTTCTGTATAGGGCAGAACAGATTGTACTTAGTGGAAAGATTATTTGCATGCCTAGGAGCATTTATACCATATACCATTCAGTTAGTAGAAATAATTCTTGCTATCAAACCCAGACATAATTTGTGGAGCCCACATGTCAGTCTCACCATCCAAACTGAAGATTTGCTGCTGTAGAAAACAATATTATGCACCAGTTTAATATTTAATAGTTTTGTAAATCAGTATTGCTTGTCCTATGATTATTGTTGCATAAATGTATTTTGATTTTATTGGTAGGTGAAGAGTACATAAAGAGCTTGATAGCCAATCCTGAACTTGTGGATCGACTTGCTTGCATAAATGATGAAGCGGTATGTTTCACCCTTCTGAGTAGATGTCTCTGGAACAAGAAAGATTTCTAGTATAACTTTATTATTGTAGAAAATATATCATTGAGTCTTGTGGAATTGTTTTCTTCTCAAGTTTATTCGAGAAATGCTAAATAGACCCTGGGACTCCATCACTCTTTGTGCTGTTCAGCAGTGGTCTCCATTTTTCTTTGGTGTTCCTGTGATGTGGCAAGAAGCAGAAGAGAGGATTGGAAAGATTGCAAACTAAGGATAGATTGGCAAAGAACCACTTCCAAACTCATGGCAACAACAAAACTATAGTTGCACCATAAATATCACCACCAGTCTTGCTCATGAAGATCTAGACCTAAAATCATCAGCTTAGGTGGATCACTCATTCTTGGTATCTGAGGGGGCTGAGAAGGGCAGCTTCATTCTATGGAAACGAGGGTCAGGGATCTGGTGAAACATCCAGCTGGTTCAAATGTAGTGTTAGGTGCACGAGTTGTGACAAGCCTTTGGCTTACGTACTCTTCCTGTCCTTTCACATGTAAGAGGAAGAGATTGAAAACTTCCACTTTCAGTTGTAAAATAAAATTCTCCTTTATGCCTGACATCAGGGAATATTTAGCTCTGTATGTTTAGCTCCGTGAAATCAAACCATTTTTTATTATTGTTTTATGGAGAAGTTCAGTGGTTTAAAAACCTGAAGAAGATGCTTCTGGTAACCTACTCTTGGTGCATGGAGTAACACTAAACCATGGTTTAGATTATGTCCAAACCAGCCTACTGACTCTTAACTGTTTCTTGTATCTGCATCTGGCTCTTACAGAACGAAATAGAAAATGGAAGGATCATTTTCTCTGAGCATCTTCCACTCAGCAAACTGCAGCAGGGTATCAAGTCTGGTCTTTACCTTCAAGGAACCTTCAGAGCTAACAGAGATAATTACCTTGAAGCTACAGTTTGGGTTCACGGTGATGGGGATGAGAGAGAGGTTTGTTTGATACACGATTGCCTGTGAAATCCTTCACTGGGAAAAGGTGCAATTGTTTTATATATGAATACTCTTTCGATTTTTTGCATAATTGAAATGAAGGTGGGTTGATAGGGTGAGGTAAGGGATCATTTTTAAACTCTTGTGAATTTACCTGTCAGCTGCAATTCGAGAACTGTCTACTAGACACTGATTCACACTAAAATCAGTGGGGCTTCAGAATAAGCGCATTCAGGCTCATGCTGAAATGCTACATCAAAACTGTTTAAGTTTTATAGTTAAGTGTTGCATCTGCATAGCGAAGAATGTTGTAAAAACAGATTTCCCACTTCTGGTTTGCAAGGCAATCAGCGGGTCGTACCGACATTTTTCTATTGAAGCTTAACCATGGTTGAAGCTCAACCATGGCTTCACTGTACATTTGGGATCTTAATCCTAATTGAGCTTTGTTCACTTAATTCTGGTTAATTTTTACATTTGCACTGGGCCACTGAAGAAAGCTAGGAGATGTAACTCTGACTGTAGTGGCCAGTCTGCAATTAGCAATGGGTCAATGCACATTTCCCTCTCCAGGCCTTTTCTGGAACCTATCCAGCCCCTCTCTTGGGAGACAATACTCCCAAGGCACATGGATAACCAAGTTTACAGCTGGGAATCCCTCTACTATTTTTATGGGATAATACGTGATTTCATAAGGCGACTATTATCCTTAAAACGGATTGTTTGCTTGATGCTTACAGGTATTAATACAAGGGCTTAGAAATTTAAATCGCGCAGTGCATGAAGACATCGTAGCTGTGGAGCTGTTATCAAAAGATGCCTGGGTTGCACCATCCTCTGTGGTCTTGCTTGATGAGGCGGGTCAGGATGAAGAGGATGATGTGGAAAAAGAAGAACAGAAGGAAAACAGTGTATGACATGAACATGCCAGGTTTCTCTATTCTTCCGCACTTGGCTCTTCTTATTATTGTAATGAAGTCTGACTGTTTTCATCAGTGTGTACATCTTAATTGAGTTGGCAGTCAGTTATTAGGATGCATGTGTCCTGTGACTCCATGCATGCATTGGGGAAAAAGGTGCAAAAGTTATCATTCTCAGAATTCCATCTTAAATTTTCAAAAGCAGCATTCCAGCTAGAAAAATTGGGGCTGCCATACGTCCGGAAATCAAACTGTGAAAATGTTGTCCAGGCAGATTTTTGCTTAATCGGCAAATGTAGGGTTGCGATATTCCCAAAAGTGAAAATCAGCCAAAGTTGTTGACCTCCCCCCTCCCCACTCCACTTTTGGGAATATGGCAACCCTAGAAGAATAGTCTTGAAAATGTGGGCAGTGCTTGATGAAATCTTCAAATTTAGCTGGAGTTTCAGAAGATTTTTCTGAGGCCAAGGGGTGGGGCCTCTGCATACACAGTGGGGTACTGATAACTTTTGAAGTGCCCCCCCCCCAGCCACATCTCCATGGAGTGTCCAAAAATGACAAGCCAACATACAAAAACAAAGTAAAGTGTATGCGTGTGCACACACACAAGCATACAACTCTCTATTCCTTGACCAGAGGTATTTCCTTCCTTGATTCAAACTCAGAGCAAGAAATAAAAGTGATCCATACAAGAGCAGGTCTGGAAACTGAGAATACAGATTGAATGGGAGAATTCCCCTGCTTTGAAAAGTCTTAAGAGTTGGCCTTCCCTGAGTTTCCTCTTCCCTTTCCCACAGGATAATTTGTAGAACTCCCTAGGACTGGCAGGTGCTGAGTTAATGAGAAAAAATGAGAGTACTTTTGGATATTTTATTTATTTCCATAGTTTTTTAGTTGCAGAATACAGTTTTTCATGGTATAGATTTTAGTCTAGATGAGTGCAGAATGTTCTTTTGTTCTTCTGCTAGTCTTGGAAAGGCAGAAGGAGCTCCATGAGCTGCAAAAGCTCATGGGAAATCTTAAACTTCTTTTGACGTTTTAAATTTCCGTCCACACACTTTCAAGGGATCTCTGTGGCTATAAATGCTAGAAACTTGCCTTTTATTTTATTGTAATTTGTTTTCCTGATTGAAACGCAAGTTATCAGAATACTTAATAAGTGAACAAAACCAAATCCTGTGCTTGTATAGAATTACACAAGCCAGCCTGGCTCGTGAATGAATCGTTACAGTATTCTATTCAGAATGCTTTAAGGGAAGCTTATGTCAGAGTAGTTCAAATGATGTCATAATATGGGGTGTGACCTGGAACATTCTTACCACTAAAGCATGGCAGGTTGGGGAACCTGGTTGTTTATCTAATTGCAGTTTATATTTATTATATATGTTTTTAAACCTAGCTGAAGACCTCTGGGAACAAGAGTATGCTGCGCCCGACTGGCAGAGTTGTGGGCATCATAAAAAGAAACTGGAGGCCTTTTTGTGGCATGCTTTCTAAGTCCCAAATAAAAGAGGTAAGAGCAACGGTTGTGGAATACTTTCTTCACTACCTGAATTCCCTAATTTCAATAAAAGCCATTCCCCCTGCTTCCTAACAGGCAAGGCGGCATTTATTTACACCAGCTGATCGCAGAATCCCTCGAATCCGAATAGAAACAAGACAGGCTTCAACACTTGAAGGGCAAAGAATTATCGTTGCTATTGATGGCTGGCCTAGGACCTCGAGATATCCTAATGTAAGTCTGAAAGGAAACTAATTGCCTCTGAAGATTTAACCAATCAACCTGATAATCAAACTGTTACAAAAGGAAGATGCAAGAGGTTAACTTGAACTACTTTTGTTGTATATACTGGTAGGCAAAGTGTGGCCTGAAAGGCATTTATCATAACTTATCATCCTGTTTCGGGACGCGGGTGGCGCTGTGGGTTAAACCACAGAGCCTATGACTTGCCAATCAGAAGGTCGGCGGTTCGAATCCCCGCGACGGGGTGAGCTCCCTTTGCTCGGTCCCTGCTCCTGCCAACCTAGCAGTTCGAAAGCACGTCAGAGTGCAAGTAGATAAATAGGTACCACTCTGGCAGGAAGGTAAATGGCATTTCCGTGCGCTGCTCTGGTTCGCCAGAAGCGGCTTAGTCATGCTGTACACCAGCTCCCTCAGCCAATAAAGCGAGATGAGCGCTGCAACCCCAGAGTTGGCCACGACTGGACCTAATGGTCAGGGGTCCCTTTACCCTTTACCTATCATCCTGTTTACAAAATTATTTAAGCCTTGTGACTGTGGTCACCAAGTCTGCGATGGAACCTGTTTTTGCTCATATCCTGATTCAGAAACACAGAAGCTGATATACTTAAATAAGTGCCCAATCCGATGTATGCCTACTTGGGAATAATTCTTACTGAATGTAGTAAAAATTTCACATCCCAAGTACGTTGCACATCAGATTGCTACCTACAATAATACTTATTTTTAATTGTCTTTAATATTAATATTTTTTTCAAAACGGCATTGTTTCATAATATTGATGAAGACCTGTATTGGTTTAGGGTCATTTTGTAAAGAATTTAGGAACAGCTGGAGATAAAGAGACTGAGACTGAAGTCCTGTTGCTTGAACATGATGTTCCCCACCAAGCTTTCTCCCAAGCGGTTCTTAGCTTCCTGCCCAAGATGCCCTGGAGCATTACTGACCAGGTACAGTAAGCACTGATAATGTTCAGAAGTGCTAATTGGTTAACATCACCATAGGTTTGCAATGCAATTTGTGCTGCAGCAGCAGCAATGATTAATAATGGAAATAGAAAAGTGATTATTCAGATTCACTTCCATAATAATGAGGGATTTTAAACTCTTGGGTTTTTTTAAAACCTCTGCCTCCCTGCAAACATTGATTCTACTCGTTGCACTTTAGTTGTCTCAAGCTGACAGAAAATAGCCGCTAAGTTTCTCCAAGGTGATTGAAACCTCATCAAAGTCAATTTCAGACTGTTTCTTTTATGAAATTAAAATGAACTGTATGTGCAGAGTATCCTTAACTATGGATATCAACTGTCTACAGCTTTCCCACAAACTTATTGCAAAGCAGTTGTCATTTCAGGAGGCAATTCTCCCTTTTAAAACAGTTTCTTTAAACTGTTAATCTTCCAAGTAGCATTGGATTGCATCAGTTTTATTAGAAATTGTATTTATTTGTGTTCTGCATAGTAAGATGGCATATTTCCTGCTCTCTCTTGTATTGATTGGCCTTTCATCTTCAGGTAATAATAATAATAATAATAATAATAATAATAATAATAATAATTTATTTGTACCCCGCCCATCTGGCTGGGCTTCCCCAGCCACTCTGGGCGGCTTCCAAAAAAAAATATTAAAATACTCTAATACATCAAACATTAAAAGCTTCCCTAAACAGGTGTTTTTTTTATTAAGTGTGCTCTTCTCTTTCTAGTCACATCCTGTATACCTGCTTGCTTAAGTGACCAGTTTATGCTTCTGAAAAACTGGCTGTGGTTCATGTATGCCAAAATAAGTTCATAGTCTTTTGTGCTGCAAGCTTCCGTGCTGTTTTTGCTGCATCACAAAAGGGCTCATTCCAAGGTTACTTGTCTTAATTAGCAAGTTTTATAATTAAGCAGTTTCTTCAGTATGGTGAACTTTTTTTTCTATAATTATTATAACGGCCTGCAGTAGTTATAAAATGTTTGTTGGAAAACAAAATTTCAGGATATGAAGTTGAGAGAGGACTTGAGGCATTTGTGTGTATGCAGCGTGGATCCTCCTGGCTGTACTGATATTGACGACGCATTGCACTGTAGAAAGCTGGAAAATGGAAATCTAGAGGTAAGTCAAATGTCAGGTGAAGGCTGGCATGCATTTTTGCCTGTATATCTAAGTCATCCTTTAGGTCTTGAACATTTTGCTTTCTGCCTGTGAGGGTAGGAGAATAAAAGAACCCAAAACCAGAGGAAAAGGCTTATTGCTCTGTAAGAAGCAGTTACACAGACAGTTTCTTCCATTATAAATCTATTTACAGTGGTGCCTCGCAAGACGAAATTAATCCGTTCCGCGAGAGTCTTCGTCTAGCGGTTTTTTCGTCTTGCGAAGCAAGCCCATTGACGGATTAGCGCTATTAGCGCTATTAGCGGTTTAGCGGCTATTAAAGGCTTAAAGGCTTAGGGATTAGCTGCTAAAAGGCTATTAAAGGCTATTAAAGGCTTAGCAGATTAGATAAAGGGGGGGAAAAGCGAAAAAAAAATCTCAAGACTCGCAAGACATTTTCGTCTTGCGAAGCAAGCCCATAGGGGAATTCGTCCTGCGAAGCAACTCCAAAACGGAAAACCCTTTCGTCTAGCGGTTTTTCCGTCTTGCGAGGCATTCGTCTTGCGGGGCACCACTGTATTATGCTCAGGTTTGTGGATTGCATTCAGGTATGCTTTCATTCTGTTCTATGAACTATGAACACTCTTCAGCTACAGTACTACAGCCAGTTACACACATAGTGTATTTGAAGGCAGGCTTGTGTGAATAAATGTAGGGATGCTGCTGTGGCTTAATATATATTCACTGTGCTTGTGCCCAGTGTGTTTCAGTTCCTGGTTTTCTAGTTCCACACTTAAACTCTGTAGTTCTATGCACAATTGAAGTCAACTTACTTCTGAGTAGATAATGCATAGGCTTATACTGTTTGATTTATAGGGGCATGGGTGGTGCTGTGGTCTAAACCACTGAGCCTCTTGGGCTTGCCGATCGGAAGGTCGGCGATTCGAATCCCCACGATAGGGTGAGCTCCTGTTTCTCTGTCCCAGCTTCTGCCAACCTAGCAGTTCAAAAGCACACCAGTGCAAATAGATAAATAGGTACCACCGCGGCAAAACATCTCCCTAATGACTTCAAGAAACATGGAAAGTTAGAAGTAAAGAGTTATATGCAGCAGAGCTATTTATGTTTTTGATTGATGGCTTGAGGTAGTGAGAAGTTTCATAAAATGCCTACTTTTGAAAATTCTGAATAACCTGTTTATTTACTAGGTTGGTGTGCACATAGCAGATGTCAGCCATTTTATTCGCCCGGGAAATGCCCTGGACCAGGAATCTGCCAAAAGGGGCACAACTGTGTATCTGTGTGAAAAGGTATATTTTCCTGTTTGTATTTATTTACCTTCATGTGGCATTTTAATTCCCTTTATTGGTTTCTTCCAGACATGAAATGCATTATATTTCTGAAGCTAACCAATAATACTATTGAATAACAGTTTCCCAGTGAAATAATTAACCAAAAATTAACAGTTGCTGGGATCCTAAGGGTAGAGAACTGACCAAAACGGAACCTTGGTTGAATTAAAATTGTGTGAAAAGCATTGTCTATTGTACTTTCATCACGATGAGACTTTCCTTTTGACGGGATTTTAACCTGACGTTGGGTGACCCTTTTTGCCTACAGAAGCTCATTTCAAAGGGCTATTTTTTCAGGCTTCGACGTCATTCAGAAGCGCCGTTCAGAGCACAGGGCAAGAGAGGGCTTTTTTGAGAGGAGCTCCTCTCATTCTCTCATGCCCTGCACTTTGAAAGGGGCTTTGAAGGCACCATACGCAGGGCTTGGTTGAAAAATAGGAACTGTAATGTGAGAAAGGTAGCGTTTGATTATCAACATATCCTTGATCAAATTAACAACATGAGTACAGTTCAATAGATGTACACTATGTCTATATATATATATATATATATATATATATATATATATACACACACACACACACACACATATATATATATATATTGGTCATAAATAACCATAGTCATCTTTTTGTGTTTTTTTGCAGAGGATTGATATGGTTCCAGAGCTGCTCAGTTCAAACTTGTGTTCGTTGAGATCCAATGTTGACAGGTAATTGTGTGGATAGAGTTTTTAGATATTTAAGAATAACTTCTCTTCTGTAAACAGAAAACAATTCTGTTTGCAGAACGGGTTTTTCCACGTCTCTGTTCTCACTGTGATGTCCTGCACTCTTCAAGGATCCATTTCACGAGGGTTGTGGGATCCTCCTAAACTGGATGGCATGGGGTGCCAGGGTTAGGGGGCTGCAGCAAGAAGCGGGGGGGGGGGGGGAGTGTTTCATGGAAACTGCAGAGGAGGGAGCAGGCTTCCCTGAACAGAAGTGTCGTCTTCTCAGCCAAGAGCACCCTAGGATCAAGGACAGCTGCAAGTAAATTTTCCTGCTTCATCAGCAACTTCTTACTTCTTTCCTAGGCTTGCATTTTCCTGTATATGGGAAATGAATCACAATGCTGAAATCTTGAAAACTAGATTTACAAAAAGTGTAATTAATTCCAAGGTAAGGTTCACATTTATTTGGAATATTTAACAACACATGCTGATTTGTGCCATTTTGAACTCCTGCTTTAGATTGGGGAATTGAATATGTTTACACATAAGACATGAAAAATGGGTGAGTTCCAAGTTTATTTACCTGATATATATACTGTCCAGTCCAGATAATGTGAGTGGCTGAAATCACGTTGATTGTTTCTTCAGCAATAGATCTGGACAAAGCTAAATCATACTTAGAGTAGACTTAAATGGGTTTAAGTTGACTGATTTCAGCGGTTCTACTAGAGTGTGACTTAACATTGGATGTTACTTACAATCTAAACTACATTTTGCTATGTTTGGCACCCTGAAAAATATTCTTTATTTACTTATTTGTATATTGAAATGTGTATGTTACTTTTACATCCAGAGGTGGTGAACAAAAAGGCAATGAAAATACAGTTACGATTCAGTAAAGGAAATATAAATGAGCTTGATACATGCCACAAAAAGACAAGAGTAGCAGACAAGATGGATCAAAATCAACAGCAAAGCCTGTTGTCTATGCATTCAGAGTTAGTGCTGTAAAAGCAGTGAAGGTTGCCCAGTTCAAACTTCCATCAGAAATTGATTTTTGAATTCTGTCACATTGAGATGGGGTTCTCTTAGGAATCGTCACTGGTGCCCTTATATTGATTGCGTCTCTTTTATTATATATTTCTGTCCAAAGGCTTCTCTTACATATGCTGAGGCACAAATGAAAATAGATTCTTCCAGCCTGAATGATGACATTACTTCTAGTCTGCGTGGACTAAATAAACTAGCCAAAATTCTTAAGAAGCGTCGGATAGATAACGGGTAAGTAGTTCTTACTGCAGGTCTTCTTCTGCACAGCTTTTCATTCATGTGGCGTCACTGTGACCCATGACAGCCACTTAGCATTTGCTAGAGTGGATCTGCCCTAAAGAAAACAGTAGCAGATAAGATAGCACAGTAGTTTTCATAGTTTTCATACTGCTCTGAAATTCCACAGAAACGTGTGTTTCTCAATAACAAGATCAAGTTTATTTGAAAGACTGGTTAACCATGACCACCGTGACACCCTGCAACTTGCAGCAGTCCCAAATGTGAGTGCTTGGTGCATTTATAAAGCCAATTTCAGATGGGCCTCAGGGTTTCCATCTTCCTGCAACCCCGAGCTGTGGCATAGCCTGTTCGTTGGACCCATCCCAGCGCCAGGAACTCCTTGCATGCTGAATAAAGATAACCGAGAAACAAAAGAAGTTTGGCATGAGAGGAGGTGGGAAAGAATGCCTCCCTTCTCTGAGGGGAAAGGGACAGAGAAGGTGTTGAAGGAAATTAGAAAGTGAAGTGAAAGATTAATGATAACAACAACAATTCGGTGTGGTATCCAGTGCTGTCATTCCACTTGCCAGCTGGCCCCTACACCCCGTCAAAATCTGCAGAGGGTTGGGGGACCCTCTGGATAAGATTTTTGAGGAGTGCAAGGAGAGGAGAGGAAGGGGACATTCCACTGACTAATACGGAGATGCTGGAACACAAAACATCCAGGACAAATGGCTGAATTTAGCATGAAGAAAAGTGAGCTCTGGGACTCCTTGCCAGAAGGATAATGTTGTAACAAATATAGCAATTTCCAAAGATGGATTAAATATCAGTAGAAAATTGTAATTATTGCCATCATTTTCTACCGGTACCTACAAATACTTGTTTGTATGATGTATAGGCTCTGTAAAATATTTACTATTCTCACATCTATTATTTTCTAGGGCTTTAACTCTGTCTTCACCTGAAGTCCGTTTCCACATGGATAGTGAAACCCACGATCCTATTGATTTACAGACGAAGGAGCTCAAGTATGTTTTATCTGCAGTCGAATTATTTGTTCACAAGTGGAAGTACGACATGCACAGTGCCGCTCTCCACACCAGAGGCCACTACAAAATATCAAAGCAGTCGACAGTATATGTTGCATACTGTCAAGATAAATAACAGAATGTGGTCTGCTTATGAATATATTATAGTACACTTCTGCTTAGAACGTTCAGAAAAAAGGTTGTTCTGTGGAAAAGTCGGGATTGTTGGAAAATTGTGAACATGGGCTTAATGATAATGTTATTATTTTTGTTTACTTACAGAGAACCATTAGTGTATGTGGCACTTTACAATATAACCAAGCAATAAATCTAAATTTTATAAGCTATAATCTACAGCTTCTAAATGTGCACATCTAATTTTGGCTACACAAGCAATGTGCTGAACAGAGCTGGTTTCTGAGCCTGTCCACTAGAACAAACACACTCCAGAGTGCATCAAAACTGACATTAGGTCACAGGGACAGGGAACAGTGTGTAAAGGGCATTTGTGTATCATGTATAAAATATGCAAGAGTGAATTCTTTGTACTTCCCCAGAACAAACATATCAAATTTTAACTATCGCTTTCCATGACGGCCTCTCTTCTTATAAGTGTAATATTTCCTGTTGACAGAGAAACCAACTCCATGGTTGAAGAGTTCATGCTGCTTGCTAACATCTCTGTGGCACAAAAGATCTATGATGAATTCTCAGAGCATGCCTTGCTAAGAAAGCATCCTGCTCCACCTCCATCAAATTATGACATCCTTGTGAAGGCTGCAAAGTCTAAGGCAAGTTATCAATGCTTGGAACTGAAGTGGATAAAGGATCAAGTTCTTAACCGATAGGTATATTTTTCTTTCAGATTTTAACTGGGATCAGAATACCTCACGTGGAGTTGTATTCAGCGTAGCGCTAAGGAAATTGTTCCATTGGCACACACATTTCTACTTTCCCTTCCCTTCCCCACAAACTGTTCTTGGGATTCTCCTGCCCCTCCAGAGCAGATCTGAGGAGGTCATGGAGAGAGGGGAGGTGTCACCAGACATCCGGGCTTTTTTTGTGAGACTTTGCAAAAAACAACTTTTGTGTCTGGATTTTCACTTGTTGAAATACGGTAATTTAAATGAGTTATTTAAAGGTGGCCCACGCTGATTCACACATGTACTAGGACAACTTTGCAGACCCAAGACCCAACTCACATGCATTTGGGAACCCACTTAATTGTTTTACTGCATGGGAGTGCTGCTGTCTTGCAACCCTGTAAGGGGTTCTGACCCTCTTATTGAAGATCATTGTACTCTGGCTTTTCAAACCACAAAGTGTTTGTGCACTTCAATCCCAGGGCCACTCCTAAATATCCAGCCCATGGGTCAGTTCAGTCTTGACCCACCAGAGTTACCCATTTGGCTCGTTAGACCAAATTTGGGGGCAAGCCATGCTAACCCACTCTACACCTGAAGTCATTCAGATAAAGGGCAGGGCTTGGCCAAAAGGGTGGGGCTTCACCAAAGCCCACTTGAACAACTTCCAAAGCACTCAATAATTGTCTGGAGCCTTTGAAGTAATGTGCAAAACAGGTAAGAAAGATTCCCGCACCCTCTCCACATTGGCAGCAAATCTGCTGACATCATTTGTGACATCAGGTGATTGATAGATGGGCAGCCCCACCCACCTGTCAAATTTGGCTTGGGAGACAGATCCTGATAAAGATCTGGCCCACAGAGTAGAAAACCGTTCCCTGTCTGTTCTAGAATTTGGAGGTAGTAAAAGGAGTTTGCTCCCTGTGTGCACAAGACAGTGCTTTGTATGCTTGCACAGGCCTCAGAGTCCTTGTCCTTTTGACATCCAAATTAAGTTCACGAGCACTTGATTTGTGTACAACAAGGATATGGCTTGGCCATTTCTTATTTCCTTTACCGTGGCTTTGAACCCCTGTTGAGGGCAGCCATATTGATTCTTAAGTTTGTGAGTTGAACAGATGCTATTGTGGTTTATTTGTCATCTTGCATGTAGTCCTTTCCCTGAGGAGCTCAAGGTGTCATATGTCAGTTCCTTGGCCTGCATCAGCAAATGTGTTCAATAATGCATATTTAAACCATGGCAAAGTGTTGGAAAATATTGAAAGTGACTCCCCCCCCTCCTTTTTCTGTAGGGTTTGGACATCAAAACTGACTCAGCAAAAGCCCTGGCTGATTCTCTTGACAGTGCAGAATCACCTTCTTTTCCTTACCTGAACACTCTGTTACGTATCTTGGCTACTCGCTGCATGATGCAAGCCGTTTACTTTTGCTCTGGAATGGACACCGATTTTCGTCACTACGGCTTAGCGTCTCCTATTTATACACATTTTACTTCACCCATCAGAAGGTAATCTCCATGAAATTTTGAAAGGGAAAAAATGTGTGTGTTGCAGCCTGTTAAAAATATAGTTCGACAGGTGCTGCATTCTACTAAATCACCCTAGGATAAATTACTTTCAATGTTATTTTCGTTAGTTCAAATACTAAAGTTTTATTACAAACTGTGCAAATTGGCAAACTTCCCTACAGTCTTCTTGCTTTTTATGCTTTCTTTGCATACCTTGGGACTGTCTTGCAGAATTTTGAACAGTTTATGCTTTTTTATTTTTTTTGTTTGTTGAAAAATGATAGAATAAATAACGGCGAGGGAATCTTGATTGATGCAAAGTTTTTAAGAGCCTTTGAGCCTCCAGGGCTTATTGAATGGTCAGTATATCAGCTGAGGAGGAGCAGAAGGAAGGAAGAATGGAGAGGAAAGAGGGGGGATTGTTCTACTCAATTCCTATACCCTTTAAATTTATTTTGAGTATGCATTTCTAAAATACTGATAGCGGTAGAATGAAAGCATAGGGAAACGGCATCCAAATGTCTGGACGACTGTTGCATGAAGCATCTGCAATACAAGCAGAAATATCACAAGATGTATTAGGATGAAAAGAGCTTCATTGGTTCCGTACTGCCTGTGTCATACACGCACACGAACGCCTACCCCATCAGACTTTAGGAAAAGACGCATGTGACTGTCTAATTCACATTCAGCCTCCAGCCACGTAGGACTAGATCATGCAGAAACAGCCCCATCCCATAGCTGTAACTGCTTTCAATGGGGACCTGTGTGAACACACAAAGGATAACCCTAGAATGTAGTTTATAAAAAGGCTAGACTTTCCTCAGCAGTCTTTTAGGAGAACAGGCCAGAAACCTTTGAAGTCCTGTTTCATATACTGAAATGACATGGCATGTTTTATTGGAGAAATAGATGTAAGCAAGTTCTTCAAATCTGAAACTGCTTTGGTATTTTTACCCTTGGATTTTAACCTTCCACAAAATACAGAAATCAAAAGTGCCATGTACTTTAAACGTGCACTATCAGATTTTTGCCATGAAGTTAAGAAAATGCTCCTCCTTGCACTAAATGGAGAGTTTTTTGGGAGAAATGAATCTGGAAGTAAGATTTGAGTTGAGTGGACATGTTTCATGATCTATTTCCAGGGGGAAATCATGAATAGGAAAAGGGAAAATACTCCCTCCTCTTTTCACACTTCAGTACAGTGGTACCTTGGGTTAAGTACTTAATTCGTTCTGGAGGTCCGTTCTTAACCTGAAAGTGTTCTTAACCTGAAGCACCACTTTAGCTAATGGGGGCCTCCTGCTGCCGCTGCGCCGCCGGAGCACAATTTCTGTTCTTATCCTGAAGCAAAGTTCTTAACCTGAAGCACTATTTCTGGGTTAGCGGAGTGTGTAACCTGAAGCGTATGTAACCTGAAGCGTATGTAACCCGAGGTACCACTGTATCTCCCCCCCCCCCCCCCAATAAAGCAATATAGTACTCAGGTTTGGGATTGGCAGCAGGCCCCAAACCTGAGCATATTGCATAACAGAGGAAGATTTCAGTATAGCGAGAAAGGAAAAAGTCCTCTCCACCAGCCCTGAACAGGGTTTCTTTTCCAGGCAAGCTTAAGCCCTGAAGAGAGACACTCCTGTGAGGAGCAACTGATACTCTACAAGGTTTTTATTTGCACACCTTTGCTCTTCCTTCATTGCTTATAGTTTAGAAGTGAACTACTGCATAAGATGCGAGCTGCAAAACCTGAATGTTTAACAAGGGTTTCTGTGCACCTGAAACAAACTGCGGTTGGCTCTCACTTGTCAGTGACGAATGTTTTCTTCTTTCATTGCAGGTATGCTGATATTATAGTACATCGGCTGCTGGCTGTGGCCATAGGGGCAGACAGCACTTATCCTGACCTCACAGATAAACATAAATTGGCAGACTTGTGCAAGAATCTAAATTACAGGCATAAAATGGCTCAGTATGCTCAGAGAGCTTCGGTTGCCTTCCACACTCAGGTGAATGTTTGTCTTTTTCTTCCACAAAGCATTTGGGAACAAAAGAGCGCTGGAGCGCTGGCTGCTTCACCTTGATGTTGTGATTTTTAAATGGCTTTATATTGTTTGCAGTCTTGGGGGATTCTTGAGTCAAAAGATGAGTTAAAATGAACTCCACCCCACAAAGAACTATATCCTCTTCTTCCCATTGATCATACCTGCTTAATTTCAGCAAAGTGCCAGCAATTGGGGGATGGGTCGCTTGGAAACTCTCTCTCTCTTGTTGCGACAGTTTAGGCAGTGCATCATAATGAATAATATTGTGTTGTGAACAAACAGGAAACTTGGGAATTTGAAGCTGCTGTTGGTCTGATGGCTATATTTACATTGTGAATCTTTAGAACTTTGGAGAAGCATGCTTTTGAAGAATGATCCAGCCCAAATCAAGAGCACTTGTCCGCTTAATTTTTGGCAGAGGAGAGAATTAAGCATGCATTTAACTCTGCCATAGATATCTGTGGAATGGAAATGGTCTTAAATTTGAATAGATTATACTTTCCATAGTGCCTGCAATATTCTTTCTTTTTCCCCCTGAAAACTTAAGAGTGTTGTGTAAAAAGACGGTTCATTTCTATTTCTTATACATATTCAAAACTGCCCAGAGTCCCCGCCTTTCTGCATAAGACTCTGCAGTCGTGTTGGTTGTTTCAGAAGTGAGTGGAAGGACAGTGTGGTCAGTCATTTGCTAGAGAAAGAAGAGCTGCTAGGAAGTGCATACATTTGCATCCATATGCCTCCCCCCCGCCCCCCATGTCTCAGCATATTCAATGCCAGGAAGGAAAACACCACTGGTTTATCTATTCAATATAAAATTCAAAGTATTTGTCTAAGCACTTTGGAAGGGAGTGGGATTAATTAATGACTTCATCTGGGTGCTGCCTTTCACTGTAGAAGAAACCTCCTTCTTTTCTCTAGGGTTTCAGTGAAGATAATCATTTGTTATCATTATTATTAAGTATCATTTATTTATTAATTATATTTATACAAATTAAGTAAACAAATATAAATATTTTGCCTGGCACCTAAAATGCATTATTATATTTATTATAGTTAAACATCAAAAATGGTTTCAATTTCTCCCTACCATAGTTGTTTTTCAAAAACAAAGGCGTGGTGAATGAAGAGGCGTATGTCCTGTTTGTACGGAAAAATGCAATTGTCGTTCTGATTCCCAAATATGGCTTAGAAGGCACCGTCTTCTTTGAAGAAAAAGACAAGCCAAAACCAGCCCTTCTGTACAACGAGGAGGTAAGGCGTCTTAGTTTTTGTATGGGATCTTTTTAGCTGGGACATCACACAAAGCCCAGCTGCCACTTATGCAAAGCATGTTCAGAGTTTTAGACTGAATGCTTGAAACTAATGTGGCATCAAAGTTGAAGCTGATTTTGAGAAATAGCAAAATCTAGAAACGCAGTAGGAACAACTCCTAACCACTAAGAAGCATTTCAAACTTACTAAGTTTAATGTGTGTTTTTGTAAGTTCAGCATTAGATATGTTACAAGGGAAACTGGTTTCAGGGCTGTGTGCGTGCTATTTGTGTGTGTTTCATTTTATGCATGCTTTGTTAAGCTGATTGAAGGAATGTAGATAGATTGCTCTGTTAGAAGTGCAAATTACTTATATGCAGCTGTTGCTTTCCTTAGGGGCTTGGTATAGTTTCCTTATTACCTGAAAGTGAAAGCTTTAAATACTTCAAATGTTATGCTTTAAATACTTTAAATGTTATTACTATCTATTATCCTTCAGTGTATCAATCCAGTATTGAACTTGGGGGAAACATATGTTCTTTTCTTAGATTCCCTCTCTCACTGTGGAAGGCACGCCTTTCTATACGTTTGACAAGGTTATAGTGAACATCATGTTAGATGCTTCCAATATTCAGCACCAGAAAATCCGTATGGCCCTGGTGGAGCCCAAGGTAGGTTACTGGTGTAGTAGCTGAAAGCAGTGTGGTGACATGGAGAAGTCAAAGCATTGCATATTGGTTTGAAGTCGATCTGAAAGCAAACTTTGAGACAGATTTGGAGGTTCCTTCTTGGATAAAAACACCTAGGAATACGTTATCTATTACTTTTCTTAAATGGGTTGGCATGGAGGAAGTATGGCACAAACTGCCTTTTATTATTTTGACCTGGTGGGAAGGAACTAAGTTCCCACTGGAATTAAAAGGGGGCTTAGGAAAAACACGGGTGGTGGTTCAGTGTGTTTTAAATCCAGCTGCTGCAGCTTCACTCGCCAGCAAAGTGCCCATCAAATTGCTGGCTCATACATAAGTAGCAAGGATTTGTATATTCGAATGGCCGCTTGAAGGTATAGGATGTATCTGCATAGAAAAAACCACATTGCACTCCTATATAAAAAGACCTGTTGATAAGGGTCAGATGAGGTCACACAATTTTATCTCTGTGCAACAGCACTTTGCTTTCTCTAGTATAAGTGGAAATAGGTAAAATAAGTAAAGGACCCCTGACAGTTAAGTGGATATAGTGTTGTTCATTACTTTTTCCCATAGGAAAAAGTGTACTGGGGGTGAAAACTTACTGCCAGTCTCTTGTGACTCCCATCAAGAATCAAGCCGGTTCCTATCTGTATCGTGGGTTCTGTTTGTTGGTCACTAGAACAAGGTGGTCCAACTTTTCATACCAAGTAGGCTTCAAGAGTACTTTGACATTGAACCCGTGGGATGCACACTACCTTATCGGGCGGGGATGAGGGCAGGCTCTGGGAAGGAGGATGGAGGATTCTAGGATCCTGGCGGAGCCCTCATGACTCCTTCCCAAAGCCCAGTGTCTCCCCCAGCTTTGGGAAGACAGCAGGAGGGCTGGGGTGGAGTGGGGAAGGCGAGGGCCAACAAAAAAGCCCCTGAGGACCACATATTGGACCACTCTGCTCTCGAGTGTGCGTGTGGTGGGGAGGAATGGGGAACCGTTGTCTAGTTTTTCTTCACTGAATTGTGAATTATCCTACAGCAACTCTCAAAGAACACCTCTGTTTAGGGTTTTAGAATATACATGTTGTGAGGCTGGGTGACAAGACTATTTCATTTTAAAAACTGATAGCATTAGGCTGGCATTCAGCTAAACAGTTCTGCAAGCACGACTACTTTTCACTGTGCCATGTAACCTCTCCACTTTGATGCCCCCTAAATCTGCTCCGGAGGCTTGGGAAAACCCCAGAACACATTTTGCAGGTGTGCAGGACAAAGTTGTTCCATTGCACAGCTAAAAGTTCTACGCTAGCAGGGAATGGCTTGTGCTTTTCACAAGAAGTAAACATTGTTAACCTTTTCCTTTTCTGCCAGGTACAAGGCATTAGTATTCCAAGCCAGGCCAAGCAACTGAGCGGCAAGAATGAACCAGAGAAAAAGAAGACAAAATTGGGAAAATAGCTTCATTTAGCCAAAAAGAAATAGTTAATTTTACATCGTATTGGATGTTTAAGACAAATGATATTTTATATACATTTACAAGCCACTTTTAAATAACTTTGTGTCGTTTAAACTTTTATTTTTATATGTTCCTGTTCATGTATTGTATTTAAAAGCACCACTTAAAAAACGAAGCTAAGCTTTTGGACATTTTTAGAAGCAGCAAAGTAAATAATATCTTTACAAGTTCCTGATTTAGAATTCGTTTATATGTGCTGTGGTGTTTCAGACTTTTCAAAATAACATCTGATAAAACTGTTCATGTACAAAAAAATAATTAAAAGAGGAAGTAATGAACCATTTTTTGAACCTCAAGTGCATATAGTATTTATTTTGGAAAAACCATTTGCTGAGGGATATCCTGCTGCAGGAAGGTGTGAAATGTACATCACTTGTCCACATTTTAAATACTGCCTCTGAATTACATACCTTGGTATTTCTGTAAGTTGTGGAAATGAGGTCTCTTCAGAATGGATTTAAGCTTCTAGCAGTGATTAGGGGAGCTGCCCTATTATCACAGAGGGCTGGTTCAGGAAGCAGTGCATATTGCTTCCATTTGCTAAGGCAGAACTCATAAAGAGGACTGGAGATGGTAAAACTTGTATCCGGCTTGCACAGCCTATAGCTAGGTGGCTCCCTTCATAAATGTAGCAGTCAAACAGAAATTTCCAGCACATAGAAGCGAGTGTGTTATGGAGAAGGCTGTGCCACAAGAGAAAAAATCTGGAAGGTATTTGCCAGTGACAGATACTTATCAAATTCTGCTAAAAGTGTTTAAAGTGTGGTTGCAAAAGACAAAACAGTAAATGGAAGGAACCTAATTTAGAACTAGGAAATGGAACCTTAGATCAAGCATGTTAGAGAACGATTTAAAAAGAATATGTAAAATTGGGGCGTTAGTCTGAGAAGGAATAGAAATAAAAGTACTGAATAGGAGAATTTAATGTTGCATGTCAGTAGAGCACTTACTGCTGAGATTCTAATCCATTCGAGTGTACAGTGGTACCTCGGGTTACATACGCTTCAGGTTAGAGTCCGCTAATCCAGAAATAGTGCTTCAGGTTAAGAACTTTGCTTCAGGATGAGAACAGAAATCATGACTTCCGGGGTGGCGCCACCGGCAATGGCGGACTCCCTCTGAACTGGAGGGACTAGCTCCGCGGAAAACGGGTCTTCTCCGCTACGGCGAAGCGGGGACCCACTTAAAAATCACAGGCGGATGAAGCCTGTGACCATGGGACTCGGCGGGCACCTTTAGCGCCCCCCCAACCCGCTAAGGAACCCACTAACAGGCTCCGAAGTGAAGAGGGGAAGTGGCGCGGTGCTGTGACTCAAGTGAGAGTTGCGTGGAGCGAAGCCGGATAGCTGTTTCCTTAGAGCGCGTGCTATTTCCTGGGACAATTTGGACTTTAAAATAAGCACCCGTGAGTACTTAGACTTTGAACAATTGGACATCAAATAAGGACTTGCGAGTAGGAAAGAATCGGACTTTAAAAATTTATTTGAATTTGGTACGGAACGGGAAGGTCTAAACAGGAAGTCACTCTTCCGTTCTTTTGTAAACAGAATAAAGCAAAGGCAATTTAAACTAGAGCTCAGAAAATCGCTTTAAAAGATTGGATTTCACCATTTAAAATTGTGGAACCCCCCTTCGACAGCAGGAGAAGGGGGGGATCTTTTTGGACTGTTTAAAGTGACCTTAAAGTGAAGTAACTTTCCTCCGTCCTGATCCTGGAGCGGGCTGTCAGGACTGACGTGTGAAGTTCATTAACCAAAGACAAGTGTTTTTGACAGATGGCTAAAAGAAGAGAAACCTAGTGATTCCACTGTTCCCTTTCGCATTTTAAAGGATTATATATGGACAAAGTATCTTTAAAAGGAAACTTTGTTGCAAGAATAAATAGAAGTCTTCCCCCTAGGGGGAGTCTGTGAAATTGTAACTGTGAAACTGTAACTAACTCCAGGGAGTCGAGAGCTGTTACAGATTACAACCGTGGGAACAAGTATGTGACCTTGTAGGACAATGTATTCAGAAGCCTTGTTGTATGCTCTCTATAAAACAAACGATTTACTGGAACAATTACACGAGAAGGTGAATTGGATGGCGACTTCGACTAGAAATTTTGAACAGGCAGTGGGAAACTTTGAACAGACAGTGGGAAAATATGTGGAGCCCATTCAGGATTTAAATCAGGAGTGTGTCTTGACAGAACAGGAGTTTTGACATTAAATCAGGAGTGTGTTTTGACAGAACAGGCCCAACAGGAATAGGATTTTGTGGATTTGACAAATGAACTTGGAAAAACCATATCTGGAAAGGAAAAGTTTGGCTTGGTTTGGAAATGGGGGGCTGGATTGACCCCCCTATGCTGGGATGTTTGGACTTTTCAAATATGGCAACGGGCCGTGAGATGTTTGGGACTGTGGGGGCTCTCAATTTTGGAGGGCCTTTGAAACATGCCTTTAAATACTACATGGAATTCATTGTTGAACATGGAAAAGGGGCTGATCTGTTGAGAAGGGTTAAAAACATTGTCAAGCTGGAGTTACCATGAGCAGGAGACAAGGGAAAATGCAGTTACAAACATGAAGAAGAGCCGCGGAAGGGTCATGGAAGAGACTTGAGGGCCTCGGACATAAGGTTGCCAGGTTAATGGGCTAGATTGACGGGAATAAGGACTGACAAAACCTGGAACCAGGAGGAAGGGACGCTGGATGAAGATTGGATTTGTTTATACCTCTTTTTTCTACCATTAGAACTGTTTTATAAAATTGATGAATGATAGAAAAATGTTGGAATGAAATTACTTGTCTTTAGCAAAGATGTTTAAAGAATTATGAAAGAATATTATGATTATGAGAAGTTGGTAAGGATAAGATTTAAGTGTTAAGGTTTATTTTATTATAGGAAGATAAGGTCAAGGATTTGCTGGGATAATTAATAACTAGGATACAAAGAAAGGGAGGAGGAGGTCTAAGAAAGAAGGTAATGACAGCTAAGGATTTGAAAATAATGAATTTGTTTTTAAATGTTTTTAAAGTTTTGTGATTTTTGCATTCTTTTTTTCTGTTATTTTTTCTCATTTGGAATTTTTTCTTATATGGTGGGAAGGGGTTGGGTTTTTTTTCTCCTTTTTTCTATTTTGTCAATTATTTTTATTTTTTGTACTTTTTCTGCTTCTATTTTATTATTTTTTTCTCCTTTGTAACATTTTGAAAAACTCAATAAATATCTTTAATAAAAAAAAAAAAGAGAACAGAAATCATGCTCCGGCAGCATGGCAGCATCTGGAGGCCCCATTAGCTAAAGAGGTGCTTCAGGTTAAGAACAGTTTCAGATTAAGTACGGACCTCTGGAACGAATTAAGTACTTAACCCGAGGTACCACTGTACATCTTTATCAGACAACAGGGCTATGAGCTGGTAAAGCTCTTTTAAAAGCAAAATTTGTTGTCTACATTCAGAGTTCTGCACTAGGTTCAGTTAAATGTTTGTCCCTATCTCCATCTTGTGTCTCTGCAAAATTGAAAAAAATAAATGGAGGCCACAGGTGGCTCTTGTCCTGCGTTTATCTCAAAAATTCCTTCTGTGAATTCTGACACATTTGAATAAGCTATTGTTGCCAAAGCTGCTCAGGAATACATTAAGTTAGAGGTTGCCCTCTCCTCCCTGCTCCACTCCAAGAGGCTAGTTAGCACGATGGGAGTGCCCGAGCCCACCTCCTCTTTGAAGAGCCACAGGGAACTTTATTGGTTTGGTTTTTATAGTACACTTACGCCAGGGATCAGCAAACTTTTTTAGCAGGGGGCCCGGTCCACTCTCCCTCAGACCTTGTGGGGGGCCAACTATATCTCAGACCTTGTGGGGGGCCAGACTATATCTCAGACCTTGTGGGGGGCCGGACGACATCTAATCCCATGATCCTTCCACGCAGAAGGGAATTTCCCCGACACTGACATTCGCAGGCTCCTAGTTTTGAGCTGTACTAAAATTAATTGTGAATTCTTGCTAAACCCTACTGACACATTATCAGAGGGGTGCAGAGCTTACACTGCCAAAGTAGTTCACCATTCTTGTTTTACTTCCCATGCCTAGTTTCCCTTAACAGCTAAAAGGAAGTTAGAGGAGGGGAATGCATGCAAAGGTGACAAAAAATCCAGTGCTCAGGTACTTTGAAGGTATTAAAGATCCAACTTATGAAACAGATTGTTATCCCAGGTGCACCAGTACTGAGCACCAGAAATTGCAGATACAACTTTCAACCTGGGTGTGAAGACTTTATTACATTTGATTAACAATTCATTCCAAAATTGGAGGGGGCAGGGAGAGAATAAAATACGCAATTGGTGTTCACTAATATGTAAAAAAAACAACACCCAATGACCATTAGGAAACAATGCACTGTATTATAGTGGATACGATACACTTCTGACAAGATTTTAAAAGTAAAAATGCAATCATTATCTACAACTACAACTCATTTTCATAGCAAGCAAACAACGCGGGGAAATTTCTACTGTTGGTGCTTATAATTTTTCATTGCACGATTCTGTATGTTTTTTTGCTGAAGTGCCTTTTGCAAGAACTGAATCTCCACATGGAGGATATGTGAATGTCTCTGGTGTGGTAAACCTTTTCTTGTGGCAACTATGAGCAGCCACCACAAAGCAGCATCTCAATTCAGTCCTGCCGACACCCCAGCTACCAGGGGCCTCTTTGATCAGGCCTTAGGGTTATCAGGAGTCATTTTCACATGCTCTGTGCTCAACAATCCTTCTGCTAGTGGAAAGCAGTTGTGCCAGTCAAGTCTTCCTCCCATGCATCTCAAAAACCCCACTTAAGCTTCACGGTGAACAGTTGCTCTGCAAAAAGCATATAAGCGGATGTGCAAATCACTTTGACCGTGGCATTTCTACAAGATGGTTTCTGGATTGAGTAACAGGCTCGTTTTCAGTCCAAAAGTTAGGAGTGGCTTTTCCTTGCTTGAGAAAGAGAGAGAAAATACAAGGGCACAAAATTAGATTTATTCCAGGAAGCCAAAAGGAATTTGCTCTCTGCAACAATTAAAGCAGCAGCTGTCCTGACCATTCCCTTTCAACCAGTTTAACCAGGGAAGAACGCGGCAGCTAACTAAGGACCAAGCCAATAGACCTTTGCTTCTCTGTGAAGTTTATCATGGTGAAAAGAATGGGAGAACTTCAGTGCTGCTTCAGAGTCACATCACGTGAAACAGCTCCAGTATACCTGAAGGAGCGTCTCCACCCCCATCGTTCTGCCTGGACACTGAGGTCCAACGCCAAGGGCCTTCTGGCGGTTCCCTCACTGCGAGAAGCAAAGTTACAGGAAACCAGGCAGAGGGCCTTCTCGGTAGTGGCACCCGCCCTGTGGAACGCCCTCCCACCAGATGTCAGAGACATAAACAACTACTGTGGTACCTTGGGTTACATACGCTTCAGGTTACAGACTCCACTAACCCAGAAATAGTACATCGGGTTAAGAACTTTGCTTCAGGATGAGAACAGAAATCGTGCTCCGGCAGCAGCAGGAGGCCCCATTAGCTAAAGTGGTGCTTCAGGTTAAGAACAGTTTCAGGTTAAGAACAGATCTCCAGAACGAATTAAGTTCTTAACCCGAGGTACCACTGTACCAGACTTTCAGAAGACATCTGAAGGCAGCCCTGTTTAGGGAAGCTTTTAATGTTTAATAGACTACTGTATTTTAATCTTTTGTTGGAAGCCGCCCAGAGTGGCTGGGGAAACCCAGCCAGATGGGCGGGGTATTATTATTATTATTATTATTATTATTATTATTATTATATTTGATTAAAATGAATGTGAAGGTGCTGGGGGCAGAGTGCAGCTACACTAACTGCAAGGATAAAACTGGGAGGAACAAAAATAATTCAGAACTGTTAAGAATGTTACTAACACAGGTGGGCAGTATTATTATTTTTACAGTTTTTTAAATCCACTAGATGTCTCAGGCTGAAAAATCCTATACTCCACAGGGAGTTAAATCCTCATATACTTTTCTAGGACTGCCAAATAGACATGCACAGAATTTCTTTGCCATCGGTCTGGCTTCAGAGATTTCAAGAGGCCCCTCTCACATGCTTGCAGTCGTGTCTCTGGAAGCATAAGGGCTAGAAACCTACACAAAAAACACAGATGCTTTAGCTAATACCACTCCTACCTTTGTTTTGTAAACATGAAATTTCTTCCGAGTCTCACAGACGTGAGTGTCATTGTCTCGGCAACTCGTCTCCGATGCAGCTGTGTCCATCAGACTGCTAGTACAAGTCTGAGTGCTGTAACCACTGTCCGCCTGGCGAACAGAAATGAGAGAAGAGATGTGATATTCATCAGTTTCTAAAAAGCAGCAAAAGATGGAGAAATTACAGCATACCAAAAGACAAAAACCTAGCATTGCCATCACCCTGATAAGACAAGATGGCTTGGCAGAACAGGGGTCCATCGCCTCCGCTGGTCCAAACCAAGCCACAAATGGGAAGCTTAAGAAGAGGAAAGCTTGTTTTCTTCCATTTCAGACAGAACAAGTCACAACAAATTGTCCATTGATGTACTGGAAGTCTGCAACTTATGTGGGGGTTACGTTCCGGGGATTGCACCTAAAGCCAAAACTCATTGGGTTTGACGGTGGGTGGGATTGCCAAAGTCATTTCCCCCAGAACCTTGCCTCTTTTCAATTCCACTTTTATTTTTAGCCACACACATAAATCTGAATGTGCACAAGTTAAATGTGGGCTTACATTGTGGGCTTACTGTACATGGAAGTGTCCCTAGGAGAAATATTCTTGGCTAAAGGATTTCCTCCAGTGTTTCTGCCTAAGCACAGCACAGCCAAAAGATTACCACTGAAAAGGGTCACCCAAGAAACTATGGATATAGCCATAGCTAAAGAGACATTTTGGTTGTATTTTTAACCTTACAACTGAATACTTCAGGCATAAGAATGCAGTGTTATCCTGCAGTTCAGTTTTTGTCTTTTTCCCTCCCTTGAACCAGGTGTTACAAGAATAATTTAACTTTCAGAACTGGTGTTTGCTTGTTTTCCGTCTCTGTGCCCTCTCTCATTTCTTCGTGTCCTCACAAATACACCAACTCTCCATATCATTCATATCTTTTGCGTAGAGGGGTTCCTGAGATCAAGGAACATGGTTCTGTTTATGTGTGGACACAACAGGACTCCATTTTGAATCAAGATGGCTGACTGGATTCCTGACCAACGCCAGGTACAAGGCTGCTAGTTTCCTACAGGGAATGTGTGTCTTTTCCTATGCGTACATACACACCTCTTTCAACACATCTAGAAAAATACATGGATCCCAGCAAGTCTCCAAGGGAAAAGATTACTGAAAATAATAATTCTGCTGAATAACAACAGCATTGTTTTCAGCAGCCAGCCAGACACCTCCAAGCATCACAAGCAGAGCATGGAAAACAACAACTTCCCCCCTTTGGCTAAAGGTATACTGGTGCTGAACATGGGAGTTTCCATTTAGATGTAGCATGAATAGCAGCTGCTGGAAGGCTGGACATGGGGAACATGTGGTACTCAAGATGTTGCTGGGAATTGATGAGAGTTGAGAGTCCAGCAACATTTGGAGGGCCACAGGTTCCCATCCCCTAGTTGTACAGACATGGTTTCCAGCATATACCGTATTTTTTGCTCTATAGGACGCACCTTGTTTTAGAGGGGGAGAACAAGAAGAAAAAAATTATCCCCTTCTCTGCTCAGCGCCCCTTCAGCGAAGCGGCAGGAGAAACGGAGCCCCTTCCATTTCTCCTCCCGCTTCGCTGAAGGGGCGCTGCGCAGCTCTCCCTCTCTGCTGAAGCCAGGAGAGTCTTGTTCTCCTGGCTTCAGCAAAAGGAACCCAAAGCCCCTGGAGCGCAGCGGGAGTTCCGGCTGCGCTCCGGAGGCTTCAGGTTCCTTTCGCTGAAGCCAGGAGTGTGTTGCTATCGCTGAAGCCAAGGAGCCTGAATTTGCTCCATAAGACGCACACACATTTCCCCTTAATTTTTGGAGGGGAAGAGTGTGTCTTATAGAGCGAAAAAACACGGTATTCAAGATGGCACCCTCACTAAATTTGAGAGACCACAATGGACCCAAGGTATGAAGATACAGTTCCAAGTGTGCAGGGCCCAGAATGCGTAAAAAATCAAGGCAGTAGCCTTACCTGCATGCTACTGCTCTCGCAGGGACTGGCGCTGCTTTCAGCTAGAGGCGACATGCACATGCAAGAACTTTCAATACTGAAGCCAGCCATTGGCGTGCCACTATTCTCCGCCAATCCCTTTACCAAGTTCTCGTCCAACATCTCCGGATCAACCATATCCACCGTATAGTTTTCCTTGAAACTACCCGGGTCGTGGAGAAACGTCAGCCCTTCCTTGCGGGCTTCAGGCACGTCTGGTGAGATCGACACCCGGGCAACCACCAAATGGGTGCTATGCGCAAACGCATCCCCGTTCAATGGGTGCAAGTTGACCTTCGATTCTGCTGGGAAGGACGTTTCTGCGGGCAAAGCCTTGGCTCCCTCCTCCTGCCCTTCGCTCAAACTTTCAGGTGCCAAAGGCAGACAAACAAGGGAGCTCTGATAAAATGTCGTTCCTCTGCGGGCCACAAGTCTCATGGGGGAACAACTTTTTAATGGAGAGCATTCTGTGTAAGAATTCCTGGTGCCGGCAGGAGTTAGTCGGCAGGAGTTAGAAACAGAAGGAATGTCTGGAGAGCGAAAAGTAAATTGTCTTTGATCTGCATTTGGGGAAAGTGGGGGGGGGGGGGAGAAACATGAACAGATAATAAGTGAAACCGCTTCCAAACAGTAAATTCCTAAAGGAGACTGGGGAGGGGGGGGAAGGGTTACAAATATTCTGGGATGCAAAATGCAAGACAAAACAGCAACCACCTTATTGTAGATTTCAGGCTTGTTAGGACAGAAAAATCATAGGAAAATGGGAAAGCTTTCTGACGCTCAGAACTGTATATTAGGGAAGTTTTCTTGGCTCAGTTCCAGTTCAAAGATGAAATGGGCCAATCAAATGCATTATGTATTATTAGGGTTTATTTCTACGCCACTACTTTTGTCCCAAAGCGCCCCCAGCCCCAAGTGGTTAAAAGCATGCAAAGCAAATCAGTCTGGTCAACCACTTAAGCAAAATTGCAAAATACCTGACAGTGGTGTCTTTCTTATCTGAATGCCAATCGGGGAAAAAGCTGGAGAAGGAATATTTGCAGGACTCCTCTCTGGAAACGAAGGACTCGGCAAGCTTCCCAGACTGCAGGTCCTGGAGCCTCCCTGAATTGGGCTGGAGGAAAACTGGCCCTTTCAACATGGAAGAAAAGTTCCAAAGAAGGTTAAACAGTTGCACACCTAGAATGGCTCACTCTCTTCTATTTCTATACTGCCCTTCATCCAAGGAGCAGAGCGTTGTTTACAATATAAAAACACAAAAATGCACAACATGGTAACAAACAAAAGGAATACCCGCCCCCTCCATCAGTTTAAAAGGCCAAAGACTGGCTCATTAGCCAGAGGCCTGGGAGAAGGGGAATGTTTCTGCCTGGCACCTAAAGATATGTAATGAAGGTGCCTGGAGAGTCTCCTTAGGGAGAGCATTCCACAAGCAGGGAGCCACTGCAGAAAAGGCCCCTTCTCATTTTGTCTGCCCTCCAGATCTCTCACAGAGGAGGCACATAGAGAAGGCCTCAGAGGATAAGTCAACGCCAGTGAAACTTGAAACATCCCACAGCCCAACTCTTTCAATTATTGCCACCAAAGAAGGCCACCACCCTTCTTGAGCTCAAAATTAAGCACGCTGGCTTGATTCAAATAGGGCCTCCAACTCAGCAGTGTGTCAGAAATATGGCAAGAACCACAGTTCATCAGAATACAAGGAAGAACTAGAAAACTCCAACAGACACAGAAGACCTCTTCCTAGCTGTGAGAATCCCTGCTCAAAATTCTATTTGGATTCCAAGGGTTCACACACTGGACCCGATTCAGCAAACTGATTCTGCTAGTGGAAGCCCGTGCAAGGACTCTTGACTAGTGCAACACCACACCCCTGCCTCAGGATGTCTCGGGATGAGGGTAGGATAACCCCCAGAGCAGCATGTGGCGGGGGCAGAATTGCTTTCTCTGACAGAATGTTTGTAGTCACTCTGCGTTGAATTCCTCAGTGTGTCTATGCACATTCCAAACTCATGGCTGGTGCCTGAATTTCTGAAAGTCGACTTCTACTATGGTGTGGCCAAACAATGTGTACCAAAAAGCAGTTTGATGCACAAGTTTTCCAGAGGGATACAACAGCCACGTGATGTTGATTCAGCAAGGTAGAAACTAAATCCTCTAATGTGAGGCTAGGGAACTTGTGGCCCTCTGGATATTCCTGGGCTCCAGCGTCAACCATGCCTGACCACTGGCTGGAGCTGAAAGGAGTCAAAGCAAGGATAGGAAAAGCTGTTGGGATTCCTAATGAACCACAGTGATTAGTTTTTTTCCTTCCTACAAATAGGAACGGTAAGCACTGCGAGCTAGCAGTAAACCACACAAAGGAAGTGAAGCTAGCTCTTTATTAGCAAAAATAAAGGATCTGCACAGGAGCATCGGGGTAATGAGCGCGGCGACACATCTCCAACAGGTCTTGCCCCATGAAGCAGCTGCCGAGACAGAAGGTCCCTGCCTCCCCACAGCTACCTAAGTCCCCTCTTCACCAGGGTTTCTCCAAAGCAATTTGAGACTGCGCCTGTATGTCACTAATCTCTCCTCCGTCCTTTTAACGCCTCTCCTGGTTCTGGGAGACCGAGGCGGGGGAAGCTTGTAGCAGGAGGAGAAATATTCATGCCTTTTCACCAGCCTGATGCATCTCTGCCTCTTTGCCTCCCTCCTCTCCTGTTTTAAGCTTCTGCCTCTAATTCTGAACTTTCTCTGTCACAGACTCTCCCAGCTCACTAAGTCCTGTTACCTCTTCTGCTTCTGACACCACCTCCTCCCAGTCTGCTCCTTGTTTTGTTTTTCAAAAAATTTTCATTCATTTTATAACACAAATAAAAAACACAGACAGGAAAAAAACACAATACAAACAAATTCTTGTCATATCCTTATTTCTCTAAACATTGTTAAGTGGGCTTCCCCAAGTCCCACCTATCTGATTTTCATTTTACTTCATCTTTAGCAGTTTACATATATCATAAGTTCTAACCATATTTCCTCCCCCACACTTACTTTAACCATAAAAAACTTCACATTTTATCACTTATAAAATACATTACCTTCTACTTCTAATCCTACCGCCTATATCCACTTCCAAAGCTATTCTAAGATTTAAATATTAACATTTCCCCCCCCAAATATTCCTTAAACTTCTTCCAATCTTCTCCCACCGTCTCTTCCCTCTCGGAGGCTCCCGGTCAGTTCGGCAAGTTCCATATAGTCCCAGTCTGCTCCTTCTGACCACTCATGGTTATCCCACCACCATTTCCCAGGCTCTGAGCCTTCTTCCCTTGGGGGTTCCCCTGCTACTTCCTCCCACCATTTCTCGGCATTCAACCAGCCAATGACACTAAACATAGCTCGGCTGAAGCCCACCACCAGCAAACACCTGTGCACCTGGATCAGCAGCACTGGCCAGGAGCTGTCCTCTGCAACATCTAAAGGGCACCAGCCCACCAAGTTGCTTGTTTCATAGGCATGCTACCACACTGCCAAGCGCAAACTCCTTACCGAGCTGGATGTATTTAGAGGGCTTCTACAGCGGACTGGTGAGATGTCAATTGAACACAGTACTCCAAGAGAGGCTGGGACATTGTGTGGACTCTGAGGAGAAGGGGAGAAGCTCTCCGACGAGAGGCTTCCGTTCTCGTCTAAAAAAAGCTTTCTCCTCAACGAGGAAGTGCTCAAGCTTTCCTGAGACTGGTCGGCCAATTCATCGGGTTTAAAATATTCACCTGAGGAACGCAAGAATCACAGCTGTCAAGGAAACCATTTCCACACAGTTGCTGGAAGTCAAGTTGTTATTCCTTACGTAGCTAGCATTAAATAAGTACAGTGGTACCTCGGGTTACAGACGCTTCAGGTTACAGACGCCGCTAACCCAGAAATAGTACCTCGGGTTAAGAACTTTGCTTCAGGATGAGAACAGAAATCGCGCGGCCCCATTAGCTAAAGTGCTACCTCAGGTTGAGAACAGACCTCCGGAACAAATCAAGTTCTTAACCCGATGTACCACTGTAAATCTAATAAAGCACGAAGGAAAAGCTATTACAAAATCCAGCAGCCGGCTTAGCACAGCCCTTTGAAGCCCTTAGGAGTGCATTTAGGGCTACTTAAAACCCATGGGGTATGAGTACACACACAGGATTGCAGTCGAATCTCCCACCCACAATGCACTGCAGCATCGCCACAGAGACAGCTGAGGATCTGCATAGGGCAGTGCAGGCATTGCCACAAGTCTCTCGTTCAACTCTTCCTTCAGTCGTGAGCTGGCTGTGTGGCACCAGATAACCTCACAGCCTCAGAACTCTGTGCTATGGGGGGAAAGGAAGAACGCCAAGCTTTCCTTACACAGTTGTGGTGATTTCATGGAGATCGGAAATATGAAGTGTTCAAGGAAGGTTCAAAATTATGGTTTGCATCTAACCAAGTGTTAATCAGACCCACTGAATTTAATAGAACACGCTTGTCAGGGGTTCAGGAGCAGAGGCAAGGGCAAGGGAGGAAACAGAGAGCGAGGGGGAGGAGGCAGAAGAAAAGATGAGTGATGACGACGACCCGAGATCTCCGAGTCTTTCCAGTGAATCAGAAGATTCACAGAAAGGAGCACCAGTGGCCAGGGCAAGGGGGAGCCTAGGGGACGCCCCAGGAAGATAGGAGCCAGAGGGGACTCAGAGGGGAGCAGTTGGAAATCGGGACCAGCGTCACCGCCAGAGAGCAGGGAAGAGGAAGGGAGCCAGGGATCAAGCGCTGGCAGCTCACAACAGGGGAGAGGGCACGAGTCAGGAGTGGCCACACCTCCATCGGGGAGCGAAGAAACGGTCAGACGGAAGGTGGAAGGTTGGGCGCGCGCGCTAGGTTCAAATGCACAGGAAGGTGGCACAGTAGGCAGCCCGGAAGGGAGCCAGGTCCTAAAGCCCGCCGAAAGGAGGGAGAAGAGTCAGGAGCGTCAGCGTCAGAGGAATCCCGGAAAGAAGAGACCCCAGGGGCAGAGGGACCCAGAGAAGAACAGTCAGGCGGAAAAGGTGGAGCAGGGCTAGGATATTAAGTTGGTGTACAAGGGCGGAGACTCAGACGGAGCTTCGCCGGTCTAACCATGAGACGTAGAGTTGCACGCAGCAGTTTGAGAATGGAAACTGTAACTCAATAAAGACTTTTGTTTAATGATCACTGGCTAGCGTGATCCTCTGTGAGCTAGGATCTGGAAGCAGCTCTGACAACGCTTATTAATTTCAGTGGCTTTACTCCAAGCAGAACCAGCACTGGATGCAACCTATATATAAACAACTAGAACCAATGAAAAAGGTGTTGCAGCACGGAGAGCTCTGGCTCATAGTTTCTACCATATTTCATTCATTTCTCCCTCTCACCTGGTTTCTGTCTCCCCTTCCCCAAAACCACTCAGCACTTCATGGCCATGAATTACACTCAGAGCTCACTGAGTTGTGTGTCGCCTTCTTAGGGCTTATTTCCTAAAGATGTTTTGTAGTTCCTCAAAACTTGGGGCTTCCCCTGAGTGTGCCAGTACCTTCTTCATAAGCAATGGCACCCAAGACTAGACAGCAGGAACAGAGGGAACGATGGCATTACCATTGCCACCATCACCTCAATAAAACTCCCATCGTACCCATTTCTACAGAGACTGGATCTAGATGAGCAGTTCTCCCCACATTACATACCTAGTATTTTTTCTATGTCAAAATCAACAGGCAGAGATAATACTGTCTGGCAAGCAGCTGCAGAGAACAAACAGAATGTTTAGGGCAAAGTCATCAGGGTCAAAGCTTGAAAAAAGAAACCACCCAAAACATCATGACCATGATTTGTTAAGAATAACTGCATTTGGACATCACAACAAACTATAATGGGTCCTGATGAAAGCAAGCCAAGCACTGCACAGCATCCCCACCTCCTGCACAACCACAAGGAAATTGAAAGTCTTTATCTCCTTTTCTATTGACTGCCATTTGGCAAGTTGCCTGAAACCTAAACTTTGTATAAGAGTAGTTGGAACACTCTTATATAGGGACGCGGGTGGTGCTGTGGGTAAAACCTCAGTGCCTAGGACTTGCCGATCGCATGGTCGGCGGTTCGAATCCCCACGGCGGGGTGAGCTCCCGTCTTTCGGTCCCAGCTCCTGCCCACCTAGCAGTTTGAAAGCACCCCCGGGTGCAAGTAGATAAATAGGGACCGCTTTATAGCGGGAAGGTAAACGGCGTTTCCGTGTGCTGTGCTGGCTCGCCAGAGCAGCTTCGTCACGCTAGCCACGTGACCCGGAAGTGTCTCCGGACAGCGCTGGCCCCCGGCCTCTTAAGTGAGATGGGCGCACAACCCTAGAGTCGGACACTTTCAACAAAGTACTTTTACCTTTTTAATTGGAACACACTAGTTTTATACTCTATGGTTTGAAGTTGTCTTTTTCCAAACAGGCCAGTTTAATATTGTTCTCAGGCATGGATGGAATGAGAAGCTGTGCTCTGCATGCAGTTAGATTGAGACACAATAGACAACACATTGCACTGAGCAAGTTTCCCCCTCCTCATCTCGTTTCATACAAACCATTGTTTCTCCCAGGTTGCACAGTGATTTCTCTGCTAACCGGCGAAGCGCTACTTAGATCGATACCTGCAAGATATCAAGCTCCCAGTTAAAAGCTGGCGTAACATTAACGCAGAAACAACAGAAGAATCATTTAACATATGCAGCACCACCCCAAGAATTTAGGGAGAACAAGTGCACAGGAAAAGGAATGAGCTGTTTTCAACCAAGTTCTCCTGGTGCACAGACTTCCACTTGGCACAACAGGACTTCTCCTCTCTCCTTGCACAACTCCTGCCAGCAAATCTGTTACACAGGTTCACCCATGGTGGTGGGGTTAGGGGAGCACAAGGAAAGAAAGTCCCAATATGCTTGCGCTAATGGGACAATATTTCCAATACAGTCATATCTCCTGTTACATCCGCTTCAGGTTGCAAGTTTTCAGGTTGTGTCCCGTGGCGACCCGGAAATACCGGAAAGGGTTACTTCCGGGTTTTGCCGCTTGCACATGTGCAGATGTGCAAAATGACATCACACGCATGCGCAGAAGCGGCGAATCGCGATGTGCGCGTGCACAGATGCGGGTTGCGTTCCATTCAGGCTGCAAATGGGGCTCCGGAATGGATCCTGTTCGCAACCTGAGGTACCACTGTGCATTGAAACTGGCCTGCCACATTTTACATTTGGCTGCAGTTCAAATCAGTCAATGTGGCAGTTCCAAAAAGCTGCTCAGCTTGGTACATTTAGACTTTTCCAGCAGGTGGGAAATTGCATAATAGGCATCAGTTCCCAAGCACTTTGGGCACTCTCAGAAATAGGGCTTAGTACACAGGTGGAGTTGGAGAATCCTTGGTCCCGCAGTCCCACCCTGACAGCTTCAATCGGAGGAAGAAGTCATTTTCCATGTCTCTCCTCCAGCCAAATGTTACCTGGCAGGACATGGTTCAGTGTTGCGCAATTCACTTGTTTTATTAGAATCTCATAGTGCAGGCCACACAAAACCATGCCCAATGTGACCCACGGAGGGTTCCCACCCCTTATCTAAGCGGTTTGCATGCGAACCTTTCCCATTTTGATACAAGAGACAATACTTACACCGAGTGGAGTTAAACTGAGAAACCTGTTTCTCACTGTGATCAGTCCAAGGAGATGGAACAATGATGCTTTTGGTGAAGAACTAAAAAAAGGAAAATGTTGTTATGTGTTTACCATGACATTGTGGGCGACAGTCAGTTTAGAGCACAAAGGAGTAGTTTACTCCTCACCGTGCTATAATCCCTAGGAACTACAATTCCCATGATTCTTTGGGGGAAGCCAGTGGGTGTGACTTGAGTGCAGCTTGCCATGTTGTCTAGATCTGATGATAGTTCTAGTTACAAGTAGGTAGCCGTATTGGTCTGCCGTAGTCAGAACAAACAAACCAAAAAATTCCTTCCAGTAGCACCTTAGAGACCAACTAAGTTTGTTATTGGTATGAGGTTTCATGTGCATGCACACTTCTTCAGATACCAGAAGATTCTTCAGATATCTGAAGACCAGAAGATTCTTCAGATATCTGAAGAAGTGTGCCTGCACACGAAAGCTCAATAACAAACTTAATCGGTCTCTAAGGTGCTACTGGAAGGAATTTTGTTTGTTTGTTAGATCTGATGATGTGATTCATCTTAACTACAGTTAGCTAATAAAGCCAGCTTTGGTAACTATGGCTCAAAGATGGCTTGTTTGAAACAAGTCACACTTCATGCTAACCACAGTTTCTTGGTCTGGGTAACGTAAGTTGCAGTTCAGCAGAAGCAAAACCTTCCAGACTCCTCCGCTCCCCACCGCTCCCAGTTGTGACATGGGAATTGCAGGAGCCGAAGGCTCACTGAGGCCAATTCCTGCTTATTCACGTTGGCCTACGTTTGAGTGTTGCCACCATCTGCGTACCAAAAAACATTTAACACAACCTCCCTGTTTATTGCGAATGCACGCACAGCTACCTTAGCACAGGTTCAATGTACCCTACTCCAAACACTGGTGAATAAAAACAACACATCACATAACTCCCACATTGCAGGGGGTTGGACTAGATGACCCCCTGGGTCCCTTCAACTACAATTCTGTGACAGAGTTCTTCCTGAATGCTTCCACATCAAACTATTTGGTGGACTGTGTGCTGCTAAGTTCCTAGACAACAGGAAGAACATGCCAAACTAAATGAGATAATCGTGTTTTGTTTTTACAAACTTAGTTGTGTCAGGGAGAAGAGTAGCCTAGAGCCCTTTTCTCTGATAGAGCCCTTTCCTATTATTATTTATTATTATTATTTATTGAATTTATATACTGCCCTATACCCAGAGGTCTCAGGGCACTTCATAGAACCAAAAGTGCATTCTAAGTGCAAGATACCTTTGTTTTAACTATGGAGAAATAGTATAGTGCTACTAATAATTATTAATATTTATCCAAAGCAGGCAGCAATATATTACAACAAAACATACTCTCAAGTACAATAAAATGCCATAAAAACAAACAAACAAACAATATAGGATAGCAAAACCACATTTTCAGTCTTCACCTGAGGCCCTTCTCTGACTGCTCCAGCTTTTATTGTAATGCACTGTTCTTTTTCTGATTTTATGTAATGCCCTTAAAAGTTTGTAATTTGCCTGGAGACTCCTTATGTGGCAATTGACTAATGAATTGATTATTGAATAAATAAGACCAGGAAAAACCCTCTCCAGGTTAAAAGGCTAAAGAGTGATCTCAACCAACTCTACATCCCACGTGATTGTTCTACCTTTTCCACATGCGCACCCCAGCAGAATGAACTGATACACTCCTGGGACAGCTTCCCTATGCGACGAACTATCTGCAGAGACTAGGCTTCAGGCCCCAAATACCTACACATACAGGTTAAATTATACTCCATGTATCGTTAAGATCTCTAACTCAATACATAATACTGATGGTTACCTCTTCAATGGCTTTTTGTCTTTTTTCTTCCATCTCTTTATCTATTCTAAAAAGTGAATTTAAAAAAAAGGAAAAGGAAAACAGTACTGTTAGCTTACTTCAGAAAAATAAACCGACTCCAAGACACAGAATAATCAGGGTAGCAAGCCAGGTAGGTGGCTGCAACTTTTCAACAGGTCAAAGGAAAAAGACTTATTAAACTTGAGAATCAGTTCTGTTGGCTGAATGCAGTAGAAGAAAACTGACCTGGCTTGGCTGAGATACAATGCTTGACGTCGTATGTCTTCTGAGTCTATTTCCACAGGGTTTATTAAAGCTAGTTCATCTATAGACCATCGAAATTTTGCAGGTGTCTAAAAGGAGGAAGAAAACACTACAATGACATATGCCACAATCAACTTCCTTGTTTCAAGATAAAGAAGTAATCATACATCCTCAGGAACATCTAGTTCAGCCTCTCTCAACCTGTGGGTCCCCAGATGTTGTTGGACTACAACTCCCATCACCCCTAGCTAGCAAGGCCAGAGCTCAGCGATGATGGGAGTTGTAGTCCAACAACATCTGGGGACTCACAGGTTGAGAACCACTGATCTAGTTGGACAAAAGGTAGTTTTCAAGTGGTATTCCGAGGAACCCTCAGATTCCTCAGAAGCCGATTTGAGATTCCCATACAAAAACAGTGAGCTAGCTTCCATGACAGCCAGCTCTGCAATATTAATCTTAGATGTTAAGACATCAGTTCAGCCCCCATTCCAGCTCAGAAGATACAAGGTCTATTTCTCCCAAACATCTCTCCTCCAAGAACTTGAAAGGAAAAGAGCAAACTGGTCAGGTGTGCATCAGAGATCTGATTTGAATGACTTCGGACATACAAATGCATGAAAATAAACAGAATACACACGACAACATGTGGCAAACCACAAGTCTTACCACAGAGGATATTGTGGATTTAAACACTGTTGGACTTGACACAATCTGCTCCTGCAGGTGGCTATAATCACTTGGGCTTTCAAAGGGGTTCTGGACTGCGAGCTGCCCAGGTGACTCTGGTGTAATCTGCATCTTGACTTCTTTTGCATCACCCATAACTGTTAGCTAAACCTAAGAAACAGACAAAGAAAGTACTTGCATTAGACACATCAGCACCCTACAGATTAAAAATAAGTGTGCTTTATGGCAGGGATAGGCACCTGCTGGTCCTCCAATGCCCATCAGCTCCAGGAAAATCACATCAAAGAGCCAACCAGTGAGGTCCAGCTCCGAGGGTCTTCTGGCGGTTCCCTCGCTGCGAGAAGCCAAGTTACAGGGAACCTGGCAGAGGGCCTTCTCGGTAGTGGCACCCACCCTGTGGAATGCCCTCCCACCAGATGTCAAAGACTTTCAGAAGGCATCTGAAGGCAGCCCTGTTTAGGGAAGCTTTTAATGTATAACAGACTATTGTATTTTAATATTTTGTTGGAAACCACCCAGAGTGGCTGGGGTAACCCAGCCAGATGGGCGGGGTATAAATAATAAATTATTATTAATTATTATTATTATTATTATTACCCTCATTACCAAGATGCCCCAGAAGCACAAGACAGAGGCTAGCAGGGCATCCAGTTTCAAATTTGCTTTGCCACAAAAGCTAGGAGGGCTGCCACAGTTCACAACTACCTTGGCCCTTTGTATGAAACACCTTGCCCCAATACGCAGAGCTTGCAGTAGAAGACTGCTATTATTATTATTTGAATTTATATACCACCCTATACCTACAGGTCTCAGGGCATTTCACAGTATAAAATCAGAATATAAAACCACAAAGTACATAATGCTAGGTGTCTGTCCCATTCTAGTATAGCTGATCAGTGATGGTTCTGCCAGTGGTGGTGCAATGGTTAGCATGGTGAACCCTCGGAGGCCACGGTTCGATTCCCTACTCAGCTACGAAGCTCGCTTGAGGAGCCAGTCAAAGCCTCTCAGCCTAACCTACCTCTCAGGGTTGCTGAGGGGGATTTAAATGAGGAGCGTGAGAAGAACCACATAGGCACCTTGAGCTCCGTGGAGAAAAAGGTGGGATATGAACACATCAAATAATAAGTAAATAAAAACAACAACGTGGCAGATGTGAAAGAATTTTTACAAAGCGCCAACGGGCTTTGTCTCTTGGCCTTGGGTAGCAGCTAGTTCCTTGTTTCTCTCCCCAGGAAAGAATCCCAACACTTCAGTTCTCAACAGCTGAAATGTGAACAACTCCCAAGAGATGTGCGCTCAAGCAGTTAAATGTAATTTACTGATTGATCTAATTCCTATACTGCCCTATTTCTATACAGTTTTTTCATTTTAATAAAACAAAACCCTACAAACATACATAGCAGAATAACGAAGGGAACAATATCGATGTGGCAAGCCGTATTTAATGTTGTATTGTTTTTAACACTCGATTGGAAGCCGCCCAGAGCGGCTGGGGAAACTCAGCCAGATGGGCGGGGTATAAATAATAAATTATTATTATTATTATTATTATTATTATTATTAGCTGGGAAGCAAATAGCTGCACACACAAAGGCTGGGGAAACCAACGCGGATCTCTGGCTACGGATAAGATTCCCCTCCTACTTTTGCAGGAGCAGTTCCTTGATCGCAGCTCTGCAAAACGGCATTTGAAAAGGATATATTGAAGCATGATTAGTTAATTAATTAATTAATTAATTAAAACCAAACCTCTAGATAAATGGCGCATATTGGCACCAGGCGGGCAAACCCCTTTCAGGAGGATGCAGCCCTTTCCGAAGCCCCAGGAGCATCTTACCTGCTGCTCATTCGGACTCGCCCTCCTGCCGACTCTTACAAAGTTGCTCAAGGTCTTTAACTTCTCTTTCCCTGCCGGCCAATCAGCGCGAGAGACCTCGTCGGGCGCAGCCAATCACAGCTCAGAGCGGGAGCTCCCCCCGCCCCCGCCATCATCTCTCGCTCTATATAGCCATTTGAATCGCTTCCCTGGTTTAACCGGCTCGCGTGGGCAAAAGGAACGCAGAGCGACGCGGGGGCGGGGCTTCAATTCAAAACGGACGGACGCTCCCATTGGCGGGGAGGGGAAGGAGGAGGCGGGGCCGCGAGCGAGGGAGCGGGCCAATGGAGCCGCGGAGCCCCAAGCTCACGCAGGCGCCCTCCGTCAGGCGGCGGGAGGAGGGGCATCGTTCGCACGAGCAGCGGGAAAGAGGCAAGGAAAAGCCGTAGAGGTAAAGGAACGTAGCAGAGAGCAGAACTTCCGGTACTGAATTGAAAACGGTCCTCTCTGAACCATTGAAACATTTCTTTCTCGTGTTTTATACACACTCGTAATATATTGAGCATTATATATCTATAGCACACACACATATATGCAGCATATCTGTATAGAAAAACATAATAGATATAATAGATATCTATATATCTCTATGTATTATATATGTGATATACACAAACACATACATATATATTATTCATGTTTTATATAGATAGATCCGTTATATATGTTATATATCTGTATTTTATATAGATAAATACGGTCTATATAGATATCATATATATAACCTAACACACACACGCTTAACACACCCATATATATAAGGGTGTGCGTGTGGTTATAGATATCTATAATACAGTATATATAATTTTTTATATACTGTATATATAATATGCACAATAATACACACACAGCATATCTGCATATAAAAACACATACATATTATAAACAGGGGTATATCTGTATCTATACATTTATATATTTTATACGTTTTATATAGTTAGATCCGTTGTATATGTTATACAGATCTGTGTTTCATATAGATAGATATGGTGTATAGATATAGATATAGGTGTGTTATGTGCGCGCGTGGTTATCTATAGATATCTTTAAGATATATAGGTTTTTTAATATGCCGTATATATCTGCTGAGCTAGGCTATGAATGAATTAGAGGACGCCTTGGGTGAGCAAGCTGGGCTCAGGGGCCGCTTCGGCGCAATACCCGGACGTGGGGGGGTGACACCTTAAGAGGGAGACGGCCGTTGCCTCTTGGGTTCGCGCACGCGCACACCAACCCCTCCTTCTGGAACCGACGTCGGGCGTGAGGGAGAAGGAGAAGGGGAAACCCGACGCCGGCGCTTTTGTTTGGCTTTTGCCCTTCTCCATCATGGCGAATCCCGCCGCCAACTTGAACGCCGTGAGGGAGACCATGGAAGGTGAGGGTCTCGCGCTGCGCTGACCGTTTATCCCTCCCCTCACACGCCCCTGCTCGCTCCCTATTATTATTATTATTATTATTATTATTTATTATTATTACTGCTACGACTATTATCAGTGCGGGATTTACACATAAGCTAAACAAGCAAAATCTTAGGGCCTCACTCTCTTGGGGCCCCCCAAAATTTTTAAAGAAAAAAACCCCCTGGATGTACATTTCCAAAATATAAGATAAAATAAACAAATAAAATAAAACCTACATACAGTTAGAGCTTAATAATTATTTCACTACTTCTTAATTGCATTTCAGTTCAACAATTACTTTGACACAATACATATTTTGTTATTTGCAAATGGCTTGAGATACCTATTAGGTCCATAAATTACCATATAGCATATATTCAACACAAAAAAACAGCGACAATTTGTTGTTGACAAGGGACAGCTGGACACATAAAGGGCCCCATTGCCTTCAGCTTAGGGCCTCATCAAACCTAAATCCAGCCCTGGTTACTATTATTATTATTATTAACCCAGCCAGATGGGTGGGGTATTATTATTATTAATAAATAATACTACAAAACTAGGCTGAGGAGAAAAAGAGAGAGTGCTCCAACCAGGGGCAGCCCAAGCCTTTTTGCTGCCTGAGGCAAGATGACCACTTGGCCCCTCCATCTGACCACGTTGGTGGGGTGAATCTTCCTTCGGTGCTTGAGATCCTCCATGGCACCCCATAATAGGCCAGGCAAGCTAGATTGGGGCGAGGAGATGTTGCTGCAGGGCAGGCCCCATGCTTCTAGCCGCTTTACATACGCACACACCAGAATTTGCCGCCCGAGGCAGCTGCCTCACTCCGCCTGGTGGGAGGGCCGGCCCTGACTCCAACCCGGAGCTAGGGCGTATTCGGTTAGAAAGAACGCTGAAAACAAATCATACAGAAAGCCGGACTTGTCCCAAGACTCAGCCAGGAACCAAAGCTACCCTTAGGGGTTTCCACCACAACCTCTGCAGAGGATTGAATCTTAAGTCCTCCCCCCTTAACTGGGCTAATCATAGAAGTTAGAAGGGACCGCGAGGGTCATCTAGTCTAAACCCCCTGCCATGCACAAATCTTTCGCCCACCATGGGGCTTGAACCCAGCAAAAGATTCCATTAAAATTAAAATTCAATTTAATTCAAATTACTAAGGAAAAAATAGCTCTTATATTTGGTATTTTACTGGTGGCAGTGAAATCACGCTCCTCACTTTATGAACATGCATTGAAAACAGCATATTTTTATGTGTACAAGAAATTGCTAGCCCAGTACAGCCATACAATGTTAATTTGAAAATATTTTTTCAGTCCTGCTGGAGATATCAAGAATTCTAAACACTGGTTTAGATATGGAAACCCTCTCTATTTGTGTGCGCCTTTGTGAACAAGGGATAAATCCAGAGGCACTGTCTGCTGTCATCAAGGAACTGCGCAAAGCCACGGAAGCCCTAAAGGTATGATCAGTTTTTGGAAAACCAAAATAATCTGTTTAGAGCTCTCAGAATGTTACAACATAAGCTCAAAAACACCTGTGCACTAAATCGGCAGACATCTGCTTTACTTTCCAACACTGCGCATACTTATCTTACTTTCCAAGACCACAACTTTCTTAACCTTTGAGACTGCATCAAATGATGTCTTCTTAAAAATAAAACAGTTTGTAGTTTTCTGCTATCATTCATGCGAGAACAGGCTTTTTCTCTCACTTTTTCTATAGGTACGCATAGATGGCATGAATGTAATTCATAGGCTCCTATAGGAGGAGGAAAGGTGGGATATAAATTCAATAAATAAAAAATATTATTATTAGGGCCTTAATAATTGGAGAATATATTACAGTACTGTTCAATTAAAAATAATTTCCTTTTAAATAGTCTGATCTGCATACTTACTCAGAAGCGAGTACAACATTTTAGTGGGGTGTACATCCAAACGTGTAAAGTTGCAGTTTTATAATACGTTTTTAGTTCTGGAAGACAACTGACCTTAAGGCCAGGGAAGCTATTTGATTATCAAATTTGTTTTGAACTTACGGCACCATCACCCAAAATGGTTGCCGCATGCAGCAGGGATATAGTGGTGGACTTGCCCCATCTGCAGGATGGAGATGTTTGGATTGCAGCCTAAGCCTTATAAAGTTAGGTTCTGTTGTGCCTCAGAACATAAGTCTGTTGGAAGAAGTGCTACCCATCAGAAGTTTAACAAACAGAATATAAAAATAAGCAGCACTGGAATAAATGTTAATATCTTATTTGACATTTTGATTGAATTGTATATATGCTGCTGTAATTTATGCATATCCTGTGTTCCAGGTTCAAAAGAAATCTGTAAATACAAGAATAAAAATTTGTGACAGTTGACATTCTTTTGTTCAGAAGTTGGCAGTTTTGAGTTTATGGCTTTGCTATTAAGGACTCCATAATACATGTGTCTACTTGCAAATCAATTAGATTTGTGCATGCCATACACTTATGCACATTTTGCTGTGGCATTTGTGGATAGACAATTTGATACCTTTGTTTTGATCACAGCAAAGCTGGAGTTACTGGATAGCTTCAGTCACCAGATACAGACTTGTCAGGAGGAGCAAGATTGGGAATGTTGAACACACTGTACAGTAAAATGTTGTTTAGGAAGGAAATAAAGAAAGAATAGGGTTCAGAAACACTGAAAACAGTTATTACCCTTAAGAGTCTCGTTGATAAGGTAAAGGGACCCCTGACCATTAGGTCCAGTCATGACCGACTCTGGGGTTGCGGCACTCATCTTGCTTTATTGGCCGAGGGAGCCGGCGTACAGCTTCTGGGTCATGTGGCCAGCAGAACTAAGCCGCTTCTGGCGAACCAGAACAGCGCACGGAAACGCCGTTTACCTTTCCGCTGGAGCGGTACCTATTTATCTACTTGCACTTTGACGTGCTTTCGAACTGCTAGATTGGCAGGAGGAGGGACCGAGCAATAGGAGCTCACCCCGTCATGGGGATTCGAACCACCGACCTTCTGATCGGCAAGTCCTAGGCTCTGTGGTTTAACCCACAGCGCCACCCGCGTCCCTAAGTCATTGATAAGATCTACCTACTAATATGAATCCTTGCTGCATCTCACCCTTGTATGGAAACACACTTGTTTCTTATTCCACCTGCCCACAAACAATTCAAGATAGTTTTCAGAATTGCTGATATAGTTTAACAAAGCAATTGATTTAAAACTAGTTAACCTCTGAACTTAATCACCTTCCACACACATGTACAAAGAAATAATAATCAGCCTTCAAGCAAGAAAGGTTTTGCCCTGGCTTTTGTGAACAGAAGCACTTGCAGACAAAGCACCTGTAAACTGGTGATGAATGTACCTGCTAAACCCTATCATCAGTGGTAGATAGGGAAGAGTGCTAAGACTTGGTTCAGACTCCCCTTGAATTTCTCTTCCACCCCCCAGAAGATTGACACACCGGTAATACTCCTCCTAAACAGAGCTGCTATAGCAGTGATCACAAAAGGTTGATGGGTTAGGAAGAAGTGCTGTTTTTTCTGTCATTTCAGCACAGGTGGCTTTGTGTCCAGGCTGCAAGAGCAGTCTTTCAGTACCGTTGGTTCCTCTGAGAGGTAGTGAGAAGTTCATGGATTTAGTCCAGGGTACCTCCCCTGGCAAACACACAACCTGCTGCTTAGGGCAGCTCAGTTGCAGTGGCTCCAGGACAGCGATTCCATCAACATCCTTTCAGCATTAGGTGAAAAATAAAAAGCAACACATTTTATGCAGCTACAAGCTGCCGTGATACAGGTCCAAAATGTTAGTAATCTTCATTTTTGTTTGTCATGAATATGCTAAAATCAAGTTACTTTTTCTAGGCAGCTGAAAACATGCCAAGCTGAGTCTATGGAACAGCATCTTTGGATTGAGGCGAAGCTTGATGTGGGAGGCTAACAGATGATTTCAAGGTCGTGTGCTGTTTAGGACTCCAGACATTATTGGCTGTGTTGGTTTCTGAAGTCTTCACTGAGGAAGAAATATAATGTAAAGGTGTATAAAAATGTTAAATATGCTTATTAACCAATGATGTATCTTTATTGCACATGATGTTTTGAAAATATTGTAAATATGTATTCAACAAATAGATGTAATTTTTTTTGGCAGTCTTTCAAATATTTCTCATCTCTGAAATAGTGAAACTGTACTAAAAATAATCATATGATATACTACCTTCCTGTTGCAAAACACTATTGGATGTGGGGTATGATTGACTTTCTTTTTTAAAGGTACACAAAACTTTGCATAAGTTTAAATAATATTTTCCATTCAGATTACTTCACTAAATTAAAAGCCACTTGCCATCCTGTGAAGAAAGTTGCCATTGGGCACCTTTGCTTTGTTTAAATATATGCATATTTAAACAATATATTTCATGTATATAATGGAGCTTTTTACTGGGGCAGTGTGGTGCAATATGGTTAAAATTAAACACTGCTTGATTTCAGCGGAAGAGGTATGCACATGCTTAACCACCATCCATTGAAATTAATAGTAACTAAAAGTGCTTAATGTTGACCGACTGGATTATGCATTACTATTATGTCATCTTTCTTATTTGTTATTACATACTATACAAACAATAATAGAATATTATTATATAAAGTCCCTTGGAAAGGTTATCAAACTTAGTTGGGGAATATCAAATTACATTTTTATTTATGGGGACAGGTTGATCCTTCAGTTTCACAGTGGAATGTTCATTTAATGACCATGGGAAGATTGAACATAAATCAGGGGTGGAAAATGTGTGAACTCCAGCGGTCTTGGTCATCACAAGAACAGTTTTATGTGTTTAGTGATAAAAGATGTTTGCCTTAAGGATTACCTACACATTGTTTTTCTCTGTTCATTTTACAAATTCTGTTTTCTAAGTATTCTGCTTGTATTCTGGATATTTAAAGGACTATCAAGGAAATAGTCAATGCTGATGTCTAAAATAGAGTAATTGGGTTTTATACTATCATGAAGAAGGATATTTTAAGTTGTGAAATGGCTATAGGAAAATAACTTTTATTTAGCGAGAAGAGATGTTTCACAGACTAGTTCTTTGAATTTATATTAGTAACATGATTTACTTTATTGTTAAAGCTTCATGAACTTTCTGTTGCTTTATAAGAAATAAAACCATTCTTTGCCAACCGTGACATTTGCTTGCAGATTAGTCAAAAGAGTGCTTGGAAAGTAGGCAGTGGCAAGAAGAAATTAATCTAAAGAAAATGGGTGGTGGAGACATGGAGTTGAAGAAAGGAAGAACCAGGGATTAAGTCACACTTTGGTGTGGCTAGCCTGTAACCATTCAGAGGTCAGTTTATACAATAATTCATAAAAAATAAAAATTTCCAAGCATTCGTAGGTGCCAGGATATGGTGAATCCAGACCATGATGCTTAGACCTATCACACTTTGGTGGGAGTTGTGCAAACTCCTGGCTAAGATTTTCTAAAGCTACAATTTTTGGGTAGTTTGAAGATCATCAGCTACTCTCTACAGGTTGTATTCACAACAATAAATAATAATTTTATTATTTATACCCCGGCCATCTGGCTGGGTTTCCCCAGCCACTCCAGTGGCTGCTTTGCATTAATGAAAGTGCTGTTGCTTATGCAAGAACGGGCATCTGATTTTTGGTGAGCACTCCCTACCTAGTGCAGTATCCTGTGTCCCTCCCAAGGGTTGGGGGACCCTCTGGAACAATTGGAATATATCATGGAGGTCTATAATAGAGGTCAATATGGAATATAAGATAGGAAGAGGGTTGGTGAAAATGGGTGCGCCACCCTGTACCACTTCCACTAGTACAAAACCACCATTGGATACCACCCTTAGTTCATAATTCTGCAGTGAAAATGCTTGTTCAGGCATGTCTTGTGTGTTGTTCCCTGTGGCTCTACACTTTCAGATTAACATGTCTAGTTGTTTGTGCTGTCTGCTAAAAACTGAAGGGAAATCCTTTGCCTGCTATTTCCCCTTGCAAATGGCATCTTTGTGTGGTATTTAATTGCCATCGAACAAGTCCTTGCTGGCTGTAAAGTGTAACAAATCCCCTTTCACTCGCTGAATCTGGCAGTTATCTTCAATAGAACAGAGTTTTTGGTGTGGCTAATCCACTTCTTCAAAATCACAACTTTATCCCTTAATATCAATAAATGGTTCATCATCAAAATCTGAGTCTGAAAACTCAGAAAGTTTGAAATTCTATTTACAATAAATTCTGAATTATTAACTACACTGGCATCCCATTTTCACCTTACCCTGCTACCAGAAGGGCTGGAAATGATTTGAGAGAGAGAGAGAGAGATGCCATTATACCCAAAGTGTCAAGACCTGCTGGTGTGATCTACAACCCACCCCAAGAGTAGAACAGGTGAAATTTGACACACACATCCTTAAATGCTGCTTACGAAATGCCTTAAATAGTGACACCACTAGATAAAACTCTGAAGAGGCAAAGACAATTTATGGAGAAGCAAGTTTGTTAGATTTTTAGAGAAATTGGTATTTTTCACAATAACAACCACAAATAACTGCACCACCCTGAGTTTGTTGGAGAAAAAGGTGATTTATAAATGTAATAAATAAAAAATCAAATTTTTCTCTGAAATAAAGTCCTACTGTGTTAGATGCCACCAACTTTCAAATAACTTCCTTTTCCTCTCCATTCCTTTGGACTGTGAGCCTGTGGCAGGGGCTTGTGTATAACACTTAGAATTTTGCAGGTGATTGATTTATAGTTGTTTTTAAGCATGCTTAGGGTTGAACCCCTATTTCAACTTCCAGTTTCTGATACATTATAATTTGCATGTGAAATGTGCATTTCTTGCAAAATTTCCAGAGAGTTTTCTTTTTGAATAATAGGGAGAAAATCAGTCGCTCATTTCTGGGGATAAATATAAGTTCTCTATGTTCCTCTTAGCAGCTGTGTGTTGTGGGCAGCCCATGCTAAAATGTACTTCTTTACATTTTTTCTGATGACCAGTGGTTTGTAACAAATAAATGTGAGTGGCTGGCCTTGCCTTGAAGTTATCACAGGGAGGAACATGTGGCGCAGGATGAGCTAATTGTCTGGAAGGAGCTCTACACCCCATCCCACCCCAAAATCTGGAGCTTCCTGTCTCTTGGTATTGCGGTCATGCAGTATTACTTGTTTTGTAAAAATCGGAACGTCCAAAATAAATGATAAATTATACAAAGAATGGTCTTTATACATTCTGAGCATCCAATTCAATTTCAAGGCCTAGGAGCTGTGTGTGTGAGAGAGAGATTCAAATCCCCATATTCCCATCTACAGCACTTCAAAAGGATTAGTATATTTTAAAAATAAAACACTTTAGCAATTAATTGCCTAATTCTTCCCCAATTTAACAGGCACCTGAGGAGAAAAGGTTAATACTATGTTCGGTAAATGTTTTCATTTTTAAAAAGGAGAGGCAAGCAGAAAGAGTTGACTGTTCTATTCCACTAGATGGCAGCCAAACATTGACATCCAGGCTGGGGGTGCGGGGCTGAGCTAATGCAATCCTCTGCAAGAGTATGAAGAACGCTGCATGGTTTTATTTGTTGTACTTAATATTTATTTTTCTTTTCAATGGATTAAAGAAAAGTATGCAATGGCTTACCATGTGAAGGGGGAATGTAGGAGACCACCAAACTGATTTATAATTTGTCCATAAATGATCTAGAGTTAGAGGTGAGCTACGAGGCTGGCAAGTTTGCTGATGATTCCAAATTGCTTAGGGTAAAATTAAAAGAGAAAGGGACTGTGAGAGGCTCCAGAAAAATCTCTCCAAACAGAATGGGCAAATGTAATTCAATGCAAATGTAAAGCGATGCACACTGGGGCAAAAAATCTTAATTGCACATTTATGCTGAGTTTGTGTGTGTGCGTGTGTGCGTGCATTTATATGGTCTGAACTATCAGTGACTGAACAGAAATGAGACTTTGGTGAATAACTTGATGAAGATGTCAACCCAGTGTGTGGCACCTGTGAAACAGCAATTCCATGCTTGGGAACCTTAGGAACGGGACAGAAAATAAAACTGCCACTTTCATAATGCCATCGTAGAAATATTTGATGTGACCGCACTTGGAATACCATATTCAGCTCTGGTCATCTCCCCTCAAAGAGTGATATTGTAGACTTAAAAAGATTCAGAAACAGACAACCAAAATAAACAGGGGTTGGAACACTCCCCTGTGAGGAAAGCTTGCAGCATTTGAGGCCTTTTAATTTAGAGAAAAGGTGAGTACGAAGGGACATGATAGACATTTCTAAAATTACGCAGGACATGAAGAAAGTGGACAGTTTTTCTCCCCTCTGTCACACGAATGCCGGAGAATTCAAGAGTGTGAAAAGCAAACACTGAGGGCCACCAACTTGAATGGCTTTCAGAGAGGATCAGACTGGCTTCCGTGGAGGATAAGCTGTTCCACTTTCACTGTCAGTGACAATGATTCTGCTGAGAATCACAGGTAGGGGAGAGAAATGATGTCATCAGGTGCTTCTTGGCCACTGAAAACAGCATGCTGGACTAAACACAGGACTTTGTATTTAAATTAAAAAAAATAATAATGAACGACCATCACCCGCAGAACTCATTCATTTGCACTCCCATTTTCATAGCCAGAGCAAATCAAACAAATGGGGTTCATTCATTTCCTTTTCCGTGCGTATTAAAAATGAATGCACACCACCACCAGGGAATCCTAGTGCATCCTTCCTCCATGAATTGGCCATATATTGACAGATGGAACGGGAGGGGGGGATCGTTGTTGCACCCCTCTTCCAATGCACGCAGTTATGGATACCTCCACCACGGTGTCTCAATTCTCCAAGGCACACTTCAGTCCCTTAATAGCATAGTAATGGGCTTGGGCATACAGTCTGGGAATCACTGCCATAGCCTTTTGCGTTCGTTATTCTTGGTCAATCACAATTTGCTTGCCATTCTCGCAACTGCCGCGTTTCGTCTTTCATGAGAAACGGATGGGCTGAGGATAAGGTTTCCTCAAGCCACAGCCGAAACGCTAATCCGTGTAATGCTGCTGTCATCTCCCAGGTGGATTACGATAGCTCCTTTTCGGGTGTCTTTGCCGGCTCTGGTTTACATAAAAAGCTGCCGTAGATGAGCTTATAACATTTGAAAGCAAATTAGCATGTGGCACTGGTCTTTTGATCTGAGCAGTGGCCATCTTTCGCAACGATGCTTTCTTCCTGTAACAAATGTACAGATGCCTCAAGGCTGAGCGCTTACAGGCTCATCCTGTCTCCTCCTCCCTATTTGCAGGTGAGCCTCTGCACATGTCTATAGCATCACCTTTGCAGCACATCTTCAAACTTCAGGTTTGTTGTGTTGCGAAAACTAAAGGATGTAGCAACAATAGTATACAGCTATACAAACCAGAAACAACTAAAATATCAACATTAGAGCACAATCCTACATGTTTGGTCCTTCTCATGTTCCTGAGCAGCAGGAAACTCCAAATTCCACCCTTTTCCATGGTTTGTTCCCTTGCGAGGCAAGAGCACTGGACGTCTTCTGGTGCTTCTGTTACAGAAGCACCTGAGCAAGCACACAGGCAGTGCTAGTCTTTAAAGCGGCATCTGTTCCCCTAAAAGCAACAGCATGCATTCACAGCTCTCTCTTCTTTCCAGCCAGTGGCAGAATCCAGCTATCCATCTTCCCTGGCTGCATTCCAGCTGCCAACCTCTTTCTTCCAGCCTCCTCCCAAGGAGGTGAAGTGTGTCCAGCAACTGGCACCCACCAGCCATCAAGACAATTAATGATCATTTCAGAAGCATCTTTAAGCCAGCTGTTATGACACCTAGAAGGAAAGCCATTTCCCACACCCAAAGACAATGCTTCCAGTACTGAACATATATGATGTTCAATGTCTTTGTGCTGAAAAACTTCGCATTAGAACGGCCAGATAAAATACAGTTTAATTATTCCTTTAATTATTGGCTTTGCCTAAATTTAAACCCCACCGGTCTACTACCCTTAGTATCGCAAGATTGCCACGAGAGCGCTTGGACTAAAATTGTTGACCAAAAGCTTTACTTTTCTGGTTTATCACCACCACAGTAAATAACACTAAGCTTAAGTACAGCAAATAATTTAATTAGACAGCACCTATATGATATCGAGCGACAGAATAATTTGGCCACAATAAAGACATTTTGTCCATGGTATGATTACTTTCCACCTATTCATTTTTTCACTTTGGCACCCTATTTGCAAAATTTAACAGTTCCAAAATACAGATGTGCTTTCACTTTCACAAGATTGAATATGCTGCCTTCGGCTGTACTTGAGGGTTGATTTCAAAAAATTCCACTGGAAAAACGGTTATGTCCATGTGAAGATGGCAGTGTTGAGTCAGTGGCTCATGTGCTTCTGGGCTGCACTCTTTATAAAGATTTGAGGAGTGAGGTTATTACCCCTCTATTATTGTCCATGCTGGGTCGCTCAGCCTTTTAGCAGATCAAGATGATCAGGTGACAGCAAAAACTGCAAAAATAAAAAAATTAGCAGGGGCAATTAGAATAAGATCTATTATTTGATTATTGATGTAAACCTCCAAAATGGATTTTGTATAGTTAAGCTTTTACCTCTATCTTCAGTACATTTTATTTTATTTTATTTTATTTTATATTTATGGCTAGTGGCTGATGCAAATACAGTGGTACCTCTGGTTAAGAACTTAATTCGTTCCAGAGGTCTGTTCTTAAAGCGGGATTTCTGTTCTTATTCTGAAGCAAAGTTCTTAACCTGAGGTACTATTTCTGGGTTAGCGGAGTCTGTAACCTGAAGCGTCTGTAACCCGAGGTACCACTGTAAAGAATCTTCTGATTCTGATTCAGCATCTTTTGGCTGCTAAGGCAGAATTATACCAAAGAAAAAAATGAAATAAACAAGATCAGCCACCCCCCTAGACCAGGCATCCTCAAACAGGGCCCTCCAGATGTTTTGAGACTACAATTCCCATCATCCCTGACCACTGGTCCTGCTAGCTAGGGATCATGGGAGTTGTAGGCCAAAAACATCTGGAGGGCCGAGTTTGAGGAAGCCTGCCCTAGACTAACTGCTGCAACCACAAACAAGTATTTGTAATTCACGTGGTTGGATCATTGATATGGTTTGCTCAACCTTTTTCTCTTAGAAATACTCTTGGGCAGAGGTTGACCTGAGAACTGAGACTGGCATACCCATTGCTATGGTAGTGGCACTTGTGGTGGGGCAGATGAGCTGGTTGAAAAGACAAGGCTGCACAATCGCACATCTGGGAGCAATGGATTGGCTGGTGGTGCTCCTGACAACACAAATGCATAGCTCCATCTTTTCACGACCACCCTGGCCCAGTTCCATTCAGAGAAGCTGGTGTCTAGAGGGCGGCTCTGCCTCACCACACAGCCTGCCACTGCTTTTACAAAGCATGTTACTGATGGGCAGCCATGTCCATTGAAGAGACACAAATAATAATCTCTATAACCTATTACAACAAAGGCTCTGAAATTTTCTGGCGAGGATTGATGGGAGATGTGTATCTGGACAACACCAAGTTGGCTAACTCTGGTCTGGCCAGTAATTCAGGTCCATTACAGGCTTACAGATTACAGTCAACTTAAGTTTTAGCTCAAATCTCTCATGTCTTATTTCAAACTGAAGATGAAAAACATGTTTATTAAGACAGGCTTGTGTAACAAATGAAATGGAAGCAATATTTGTTTCTATAAGACTTGGAAGGAAAATAACCCCTGGATTTCTACCAAAGCAATTAGAAAGATGTTTGCATTAAAGTATGAAGCGTGCTTTATAATATGCTGAAAGCTCTTAGGTATTTAAGAAGAATTTGCCCAAAGCTGCAATTAATGCTTCTCCACTAAAAAAATTTTGGAGAATGGAGACATCAGCTCATTTTTTCTCCTCCCCACCCCATTTTTATTACATTCATCTTTTAATTAATTTGTGAAGGGTTTTTGTTTTGTTTTTAATCTGTCTGTTGAGGAGTAGTAGAAAAAGGAATTTGTACTGACCTGAAGTGTTTTGCAAGTAGCCAGTCATTCTTGGCTACGATTTTGCAGCTGGAAGAATTTAGCAATATGGACATTTTTGGAGGTCTGTCATGTGAGAGAATTGGGCAGTCTCCATTGAAACAGCATTTGATGGGGTAACCCTGTTTCAGTGTACTGCATATAGAGTAACACATGGTTGGATGTTTCTTATGGAAAATATCCCTTTCTGCATATCAGGGCGTGAGCTAGAACTCTTATCTCTGACATCTTAGCTTTCCAGGTGTGGAGAGTTTTGTTGTATTGTTTTTAATATGGAGAATCAATCCTCCCATTTGTGGTAAAATGCAGGAACAGCCTTCGTAGGTCATCGCCTGTATTACGACCCCACACTGTGATATTACTTGGAAATACAGTGGTGCCTCGGGTTAAGAACTGAATTTGTTCTGGAGGTCCGTTCTTAACCTGAAACTCTTCTGAGGTACCACTTTAGCCAATGCGGTCTCCCGGTGCCGCTGCTGCACGATTTCTGTTCTCATCCTGAAGCAAAGTTCTTAACCTGAGATAATATTTCTGGGTTAGTGGAGTCTGTAACCTGAAGCGTCTGTAACCCGAGGTACCACTGTACGTTCATTTGAAGCAAAGAGGCCTCCCGCATCAGGATTTGGTCTTTTTAAAACCTCCAAGCTGCTTTATTGCACATGAGGCAAAAATATGGTAGGGAAGGTACCTGTTTGTTTATGTGGGGATTGGCAAGCAAAGTTTGCCCTAGGATTTCTCTTGTTCTAGCCAGTCTCTGGCTCATGTTTTGTGCCAACCAGCACAGCAGCAACAAGCTGTTGCAGAATTTTGCCAGCTGTGGGGGAAACTACTTATGTGTTTTGTCTGGTTGCTATGCCTCCATAGGAAGAAATCTTTAGCAACCTCTGAGGAGCAGGTTTCATTGGAAAATCTTGTAGAGCTGGGATGGGTTTTTATGGGCAGGAGAGGATATATTGCAATTGCAATTTATTCCTCCAGGCCCCCATGTGTGTGGGTTAAACAGAGTTTTAAAATCCCATGCTTGGCAGCAAAACTGAAAGCATCGGAATTAGGCTGTAAAACCTTGGTTTGAGCAAGTCCAGCTATGAAATCGGCCAGCTTCCCCTCCTCATCCCACTTAACAAAAAATCAGGCAACAATCTGAGAAGTAAGTTCAAAAATAAGATGCACTTACTTTATAATCATGCACTGGTTCACAACAATATCAGCAGTACAAACTATGCAGGCAAAATACTTATATTTACAATATAACCAGTTTCAGGCACATGCTTAAAGCTGGAGCAAGTGGAGCTATGTCTGCATCCATCACTGGTCAAAGGAAGAGAGAGAGGGGAACAGGAAGTACTATGTGCTGCGTCCTCTCCAGGTGAGGCGGAGGAAATGACATCACACAGAGCCCTCTCTACCAATTGTCATTCTATGGTCTGAGTATCTGCCAATCAGCATAACAGCTCTGTCCACTTAGCCTCTTCTCATGCTAACTAGCATGAATATGCACTTGTTAGGTTTGGCTGCTAATCTCCCACAAATCCTGACTCTTAAAATGAGCAGTTGAGAATGCAAATTTTGAGGGCACAGGTAAGTGTGATTCATGGAGGCATATTGTCCAGCGTTTAATGGGAAAGAATTTGCATTTGTTTTCTGTTAAGTGAACCAGGAATGGATGATATGGCAATAAGCAAGCAAAATGAGCAAACTCTATCCATATGATCTGCAGAAAATATATTTTCTACTATCCTCTACATTTTATTTTTATTTTTATTCATTTACTTACTGACATTATTTGTATGCTATTCGGTAATGGTATTCTCTGGGTGGCTTACCACAATAAAACATTAAAATACAATTACAATCAATAAAACAATAAAAAAACAACTTTAAAATTTCAGCAGCTGCAAGGAAGGCATATGAAGAAAGTAGAATGTATTTCATATCTTTAGGGTAATGTTAATATGAATGTTTTTTGTTAAGCTTGCTAATGTGGACTTCCAGTACTATATTTATGAAATGGCGTTTGATATTTCATTTATTTCACAAGATTTATATACCACTTCATTGTAATAAAACCTCATTTTTATGATGATTTTGTTGTGCCTAGATAGTGGTTTATTTGCTGTTCTTGTAAGCAGTTTTGATAAAAGGGGCATATAAATAAACTTGAGCAGGATAACATAGGCAGCATCACTAAAAGCCTGTGGCAGATTTAATTTTACGAGAGCTGACATAGATCCTATGAGCTTTTCCCCCAACGGAAGGGTTCCTTCTCCAAGTTCAACCCTCTAAAAACTTAGGTATCTAAGTCAATATCCTGGTCTGGATGATCATATCTCACCTTAGTAAACCAATATGTGATGGCACATACAGCCCTATGATGGTACTTCCTCAGTAAGCCAGAAAGTATCAAATTAACCATAGTTTCCGTCCAACCTGAGAAACTATGGTTACCAGCTTTGGAGGAGGCCAGGATCTTAAACCACAGCTTGTAGTTGGTTTATGATTCTGGCTTGTTCTGAAGTTGATAATCATAGGCTCCTGGTTCAGACAGAACAGAGAACTACAGTCAACTAGAGACTTCCTGATTTTTAAAGGCCGGCTGCAAAGGCAGGAACAAAGAGACTGTGTGCGTGGGCAAAAGGCTCGTTCATCTTATTAAGCTGAGATACAATTGTCCAAATGCACCCATTGTCTCGTTTAGATGCGATACATTTATACATTTTAATTACCACATATCTGAAGTGTTTCTGGTTCGGAATTTCAAGACCGAGCCAGAGCGCACACATTAGGAAAATTGTGCTATCTTGTTCCTAAGTAAGATACGCACTGAACAAAAGAGTTGCTGTTACGGGACTTTTTATTCTGTCATACAAAGGGAAAAACATCCTCTTTTTCATGGGTGATGCCAGAGGAGGAGAAGGAGTAAGTTCTCTCCTAAACAAGGAACTCAGCCCCTTCCACTTGCCCCCCTGCCCCCATGGACTCCTGTCATTAAGAAATATTGTGAGGTCCCCCAGAGATCTTAACACGTGGCACACAATTTGCCCACTTCGAAATATTCATTGTCTCCTTTGTGCACCCAATACCAAACTTTCTGGCACCACCTCTACTACTTTTCTACCCATAGTTGGTAGACCAGTTGATGTTTCTAGAACTAGAATGCAGCCTTATCTTCCTGCTGGTGGAAGCAGTGAAGGCTGAGACCAGTGTTCTTACTGGGAGGGGATTTGAAGGGGGTCAGTTTGAATCTTGCAAGAGCAGAGAGAAAAACAGTCCACAGCAGGCATAGGCAAACTCAGCCCTCCAGATGTTTTGGGACCACAATTCCCATCATCCCTGACCACTGGTCCTGTTAGCTAGGGATCATGGGAGCTGTAGTCCCACAACATCTGGAGGGCCAAGTTTGCCTATGCCTGGTCTACAGTTGCTGGCGCTGGGTAGCAAGAAGTGGCCTTAAGAACATAGGAAGCTGTCCATGTGGCTCTCCACAGGTTCGGTTCATCCCTAGCTGGACATGCCAGGGACTGAACCTGGGATCTTCTGTGTTACCCACCCTATAGTCTTTCAGTAGCTGCAAGGCCATTCAGTTGCTTTTGGAGAACTGATGTTGCTTTCAGACCAGCACTGTCCATGTCTTTCCCAGAATCCTCCTACCCAATGTTTGTATTTGCAAATAAACAGATACTACAAACAAATATTAGGGACGCGGGTGGCGCTGTGGGTTAAATCACAGAGCCTAGGACTTGCTGATCAGAAGGTTGGCGGTTCAAATCCCCGCGACGGGGTGAGCTCCTGTTGCTTGGTCCCTGCTCCTGCCCACCTAGCAGTTCGAAAGCACATCAAAGTGCAAGTAGATAAATAGGTACCGCTCCGGCGGGAAAGTAAATGGTGTTTCCGTGCGCTGCTCTGGTTCGCCAGAAGTGGCTTAGTCCTGCTGGCCACATGACCCAGAAGCTGTATGCCGGCTCCCTCGGCCAATAAAGCGAGATGAGCGCCGCAACCCCAGAGTCGGTCATGACTGGACCTAATGGCCAGGGGTCCCTTTACCTTTACTTTTACAAACAAATATTACAGCTTTCCAGTACTGTATTTTTGCAGAAAGGCTTACCTTGGAACTTCCTGCTTCTGAACAGAGGGGAGCACTCCAGTAGTACAACCTAAAGGACCAGGTGTGCAGCCTTGGGGTCATTCTGGAATTACAGCTGTCTATGGAGGTGCAGGTAAGTTCTGTGTCCAGGGCAATTATTTACCAGCTCCATCAGGTACGCTGGCTGAGGCCCTACCTGTACCCTCTCTTGCCAGCATGGAACATGCTCTGGTTATCTCCCGCTTGGACTACTGCAGTGTGCTCTATGTCGGCTACCTTTGAAAGTGACTCAGAAACTACAACTAACCCAGACTGGTGACTGGGAGTGGCTGCTGGGACCATATAACACCGATCCTAAAAGAGCTTCATGGGCTCTCAGTACGTTTCCAAGCACAATTCAAAGTGTTGGTGCTGACCTTTAAAGTCCTCAACAACCTCAGCCCTGTATACCTGAAGGAGCGTCTCCACTTCCATTGTTCAGCCTGGACACTGAGGTCCAGCTCCGAGAGCCTTCTGGCGAGAAGTAAGGTTACAGGAAACCAGACAGAGGGCCTTCTCGGTAATGGTGCCCACCCTGTGGAACACCCTTTCATCAAGTGTCAGACAGATAAACAACCACACAACTTTCCAAAGACATCTGATGGCAGCCCTGTATTGGGAAGTTTTTAATGTCTGACGTTTTGCTATGCTTTTATTATGTTGGAAGCCATCCAGAGTGGCTGGCGCAACCCAGTCAGATGGGTGGAGTATAAGTTGTTCTTGTTGCTGTTTTGTTGTTGTTTACAGCTGACAGATTTTTAAGTCCAGCATTGGTACAAATTCAGTGCAAATCAAGCAACCTGCATGCCCAGTTAGGAAAATGGGCACTGCCTCTTTTGAAAAGCTACAGCTGGAAGCAGAAGTTGGTGCATTAAACCTGCCCTGCCACACAACGGGATCATCTGAAACCAAGTGTGTGCTTGCTTCAGTGGCCTGTAGTCAGTGGAGAAGTTACAAAGCCCTGGGGCGCTCTCTTCCTCTCCCCCTCTCTGATCTTTGAAGTGTGTCCCTCTTTCATTTCGCCATTCAACAGGCTGACATGCAAAAGCTTTGTTCAGACAGTTTAATTTAAGCCCTGCCACTGGTTCAACAAGATGATAAAATCCTCTTTGCTGTACAACATCCAGCATGCAGCTCCCTGTTATCTGATACCGTTTGAAGCCCCTCTCATGAATCCGCCCGATAGTGCAAGTACTCCAAACATGTCATAAACAACGTATTAATACCCTTGATTGAATTCCATTAGACTAAGAACTAGATGAAGTTTAGGCCAGCAGAGCAGGCCACTGCAATAAAATATAATTTGGACTAATCTTCCTGAGGAATGTCTCAGGCTTAAATCTGACAGTCGGCTATCGCAAGCAAAAGTAATTGCTTGTTGCCTACACCGGAGACTCTTTTCAATCCTAGTCTTTGTATGCGCTGCACCTTCCTGCAGGTGTCCCATGCAGCAGACAATCTGCCCCTTTGTTTCAAGGGGAAAATGCCAGAAGCCCAAATAATGAAACAGACTGTGGGGGGAGTTTAATGAACATGACTGATCCAGAGTGGAATTTGCAGAATCCTGAGACAAACAGAGATGTTAAGGCAAAGGCGAAATACAAAGAATCCCATCAGGTGAAATGTTAATTCAGGTGATCAGATTTTTAAAGCTGTGCCAGATTTAAATACCTCTACATCATCCTCCAGTGTGTACATTTTGACAGCTCCTTGCTATTGTCCATCCTTGCTAATGGGAAGGGCCGTAATATAATAATAATAATAATTTATTATTTATACCCCGCCCATCTGGCTGAGTTTCCCCAGCCACTCTGGGCAGCTCCCAATCAGTGTTAAAACAGTACAGTGTTACATATTAAAAACTTCCCTGAACAGGGCTGCCTTAAGATGTCTTCTGAATGTCAGGTAATTATTTATCTCTTTGACATCTGATGGGAGGGCGTTCCACAGGGCGGGCGCCACTACCGAGAAGGCCCTCTGTCTGGTTCCCTGTAGCCTCACTTCTCGCAATGAGGGAACCGCCAGAAGGCCCTCCGCGCTGGATCTCAGTGTCCGGGCTGAACGATGGGGGTGGAGACGCTCCTTCAGGTATACAGGACCGAGGCCGTACATTTGCTGCCCCAGGTTAGAGTGTCAGACTGAGAACCCCATACACGACCAAGCCAGCTATAACAGATGGTGTTCTCATTGTGTT